TCACCAAGACAGCTTCAGCTAAATCTGAGCTATTTGAACAACACTTTCATGATCGTGGACGTTATTAGATGATCGGGGCGGTGGGGTAGCCTAGTGGGTAAAGCGTTGGCTCGTCAAGCCGAAGACCCGGGTTCGATTCCCCACTTGGGTACAATGTGTGAAGCCCATTTCTGGTGTCCCCCGCCGTGATAATGCTGGAATATTGCTAAAAGCGGCGTAAAACCAAACTCACTCACTCACTATTAGATGATCGTTATCATGATACGGCTCCTAATGAACGTGAAGCACATAATGCGCCGCCGTGTGTGGCTAGTGGAGTGCTACAGTCACGGGATTGAGAGTCGTGTAGGCTTAATCCAGTACTGAATCGGAAATTCACTCGTTTAACATATAACCTACGCGCGGATGTGATACCAAGGTTTCCAATGGTTGATCAGTGCTCAGAATTTGGAGAGTATGATCTGGGGAGCTCTGAATGTTCGTTGTCTCCTGTCAAGGGGGTGATTTTATAGTCGGATTAACACTTGACGATCATGTTACATTGAAAGAACATGTTACTGTGACACATAGGCTGGATAGAGGGACTCACTGCATACCACAGATAGATTTATCATTGCTGACAGACAATAAAGTAATTAGCTGGGCGATAGGCATGTGTATATACAAGCAAGTAGGTTCACCTTACAGTGATGGAATAGACAGGTTAGTTGAATAAACTATCCTCTGACTCCTTTAGCAGTGATGCTGCAGTTCGAATACTCTTTAATCACACAAATCCTAATATACGTTAGGAAGGGTGTACCCATTCATTCACTCTAAGCACGTTATTTTATACGGGGTCGCTTTACACGATGACGATGATGCCTACTCTCTGACAGCTTGATATGCTGGACAGTGGGTCATAATTCAACTTGGTATCAGCAACTTGAGCGAACAGGATCTACACTTGGACTGTTTAGAACGCTTTAGTGTTGTATCTGATGTAAATGTATGAAATCAATCTTAAGATGTTGTCTTTTTACATTAGATCAAGCAGCAATTATCCGAGACTTGCCGACGATATTTGAGAGTTGATATGTATTAACGGAAAAAGTAACTGTGCATAACATAAAATTGCTTTGAATAAAAGTTATTTGAAAATAAATAAACATGCAGCAAAGCACTTTGCATGAAAATTGATGTCACATATCGCGCGTGGCACGCGCACTTTATGCACAATGAACTTACTCACTTTTTGCATGCTCTTTGACACCTGAAGTTCACACACCTGATATTGAAATTGAAGAACGGTTGATTATTCTTTGGCCTCTGAATGTTGTGGAAAACACGTTAATTTGAACATAAACTGAGCGTAAGTCATGCCACGACTGACAGAAAATTAGCATCTCCGCGCAGAGTGTATGCTGGAGACTGGAATGGCCCGATATGAAGTGGCCAGACATTTTGGTGGTCATCGAAACACGACCTCATCTCTATGGAGACGATTTCAACAAATTGGAAACACCAAAGATTTGCCTCGGACCGGCCGTGACGTCACGTCAGCAAGGCAACCACATTCGGCTGACCCATCTAAGGAATCGATTCTAGACTGCCAGTTTGACTGCTCGGACCAGTCCTGGCTTACGTCCAGTCAGTTCCAGGACTGTACGGACTGATAGAGGGAGCACAACATTCGGCCCCAACAACCTGCACCAACGTCACCGACAGGCACCGCGTGCAGACAGGAGACAAGATTGGGATGGTGTTTTGTTCACTGATGAGTCGAGATTTCATCTCGACAGCTCAGATGGCAGGGCGTGATTGTAAAGACGGCGAGGTGAACGGTATGCTGACGCGTACGTTGTTCAACATCAACAGTTTGGTGATGGTAGCGTTATGGTATGGGGAATATCACATCTCATGGTCGGAAACAGTTTGTCATTGTCAATGGCAATGTGACAGGTCTACGATACAGTGATGAGATTATTGGGCCCCATGTGCAGCCGTTCACGCAAGAACAGAGACACACGGTGCTGGATGTCTTCCCTCATTCCAAGAATCCGCACCCTCACGGCAGGAAACATTCTTTTACGTAACACGTTTCAGCAAGATAATGCCCGTCCACACGTCGCTCGTGTTGTGACAGATTTCCTGAGACAGCAGAATATTCCGGTACTCACCTGGCCAGCTGTTTCTCCGGACCTGTCTTCTATCGAGCGATGTTTACGTCAAGCCCAGAATCTTCCATTGACGTTAGCTGAATTGGGACAAGCGTTGGCTCAGACATGGAACAACATTCTCCAAGCTTTCTTCAATCGCTTAGTGTCAAGCCTGCATCAACGCCAATGGTGGGCACACACGATACTGAATTTGTTAACTGAGTTTTCATACCACATCTCTGCAAGGGCGTGTTACGATGTCTAGTGTCATATCCTGCATATTTCGATATTATCCTGTCAACAGTTAAACAGTGGTTAACCCATTTATGCATATTGTCCTTTTTGGGGGACGGGTACTTCAAAAAAGCATTTCTCTCCTGTTGTTGAAGGTAGAAAGTTGCAGTATAGACGTGAATGAAGCTGATTGTTTTGTGGTTGAACCATTCACATTACTTGTAGAGTTTAAGTTCTTTAAGCATGGTCACTTCCAGTGATAAGGCAGGTCCCCTGAAAAATTCGCCGAAGAGTGACGTAAGATGATTTTTTTTATTGGTCCCTATTTTAACTATGTACGTTCATTAGAATATGTTTAAATCTTTCGTTGTTCAAATAGAAAAATAAAATGAAAATGGTTTGCATTTTTTCCATACTCAATTTTCCGTCAAAGTACCGTCACAAAAATGGGACGTACACATTCATCAACTATGATGTTTAGTTCTTCAGAAAACATTTTATGGGATCAAGAATGCCCATGAAATGTTCAGCTTTCAATTTGTTAATACACATAGTTTCATATAAAAGCCAGTTTTATTCCATGAAAGCTTTCAAATGAAAAGAGTCAATTTTAAGATTTAAGAGGTTGATCTCCCCAACCTAAGCCTAATAAATTGCCTAATTTAAGTTTACTCATCTGCATATCGTCCCATATTTGGGACCCACTTTTGCAGTGTAAAAAAAGTATTGAAATATTTGTTTACTGATAAAAATTACACATCATTCCTTTCATTGCTTGCCAGGAGAAACCAGCTCACATAATTTGATGACAATCTAAGACCCTATGCATAAATGGGTTAAGGGAAACATCACAAATCGTGTTATTATCCCTTTGCATTCAAAAATGGCATAACATCAAATAATGCACAATTACTATATTCCAGTAATATATATGATACCAAAGACATAAGGCTGATATTTTACAAGTATGTTTATCCAATCTCATACAGAACATTTAATGCATAAACAATGTGTTGATCTGTTTATAACGTATGCTTGAACTCTTCTTATACATTTGCATGCACATCAGAAGGCACGAAAATATACGATTCCCTTTATTCCTCTGAACCCCTCTGATACTACATCAAGGGAAAATCATCATCTGTATATTCATTTGTGCCTGGTAAAAACACAGGTTTAACGAAATCTTCTAAATTGATGAATACTTGTTGAGAGAACCCAAACGGGATTCAAGTTTAGACTAGGTACACCAGCAAAGCTATATTTGTGCACTAACTATACTATAAAAAAGTGGGTGATATTCCATTTGGGGGTCATATCATTTGGGGAACCAAGTTGTAAGGATTTAGAAAATTGTTATTCCATTCACAACTACTTGCAATTGCCATGTTACAAGTTGGAACAAGACAGCACCGTGGTACAATCTTTCACAGTATCACAGTCAGCAATTAGCAGATTACAACCACGATGTCGATAGATGAATAACGTTGATGACGGACGTCGATCTGGTCAACCAAGGGCCACAACTGGTGCGCAAGTTCCTTCATTGCGCGTCGGTATGTGATGAAGGTATTGATTGCTCCAGGGTGACAACATAAGAGCACAGGGTTCGTACTGTAAGTGAGCACCCCAAACAGGAAAACACAACCACCTTACCCTGGCCAGCACTCAGGACACACTTGCCACCCATCGAACATGTCTGGGACATATTTGTACGGCACTTACGTCACCGTCAACAGTCAGCAACCACTCTCAACGAACTTGAAGTATGGATGGTATTTTGCATATTTGTTGGAAGTGAAATCAACGAAAATGTGTTTTAATAATGATGCTACATGTATAACCACTCCTGCTAAGTGTGAACACATACGCCTGAAGCTATCCTTTAAGTCAGTCGACCAAGAGGCTGATCAGAAAAGAAACATTTTCTCGGAGATAACATTTGATCCAACTTGGGTACAACCAATTGTTGCACCTTGCAAAGATTATGAGGAAGTTGTCATAAGTCGTATAGGTTTTATAGCGTATGATGTCCGTACATGCCACTATGGATACCGTGTAAGTAATGTCTTATGTCCGTACATGTCACTATGGATACCGTGTAAGTAAGTCTTATGTCCGTACATGTCACTATGGATACCGTGTAAGTAATGTCTTATGTCCGTGCATGCCACTATGGATACCGTGTAAGTAATGTCTTATGTCCCTACATGCCACTATGGATACCGTGTAAGTAATGTCTTATGTCCATACAAGTCACTATGGATACTGTGTAAGTAATGTGTCATGTCCGTACATGTCACTATGGATACCGTGTAAGTTATGTCTTATGTCCATACATGTCACTATGGATACCGTGTACGTTATGTCTGATGTTTGTGCATGTCACTATGGATGCCGGGCAAGTAGCGTCTGTCTGTTCATGTCACTATGGATACCGTGTAATTAGCGTCTGTCCCTTCATGTAACTATGGATACCGTGTAAGTAATGTCTGATGTCGGCATGTCAGTATGGATGCCGGGCAAGTAGCGTCTGTCCGTTCACTCCGATCTGGATAGCTTGTGAAGGTAACGTCTGATGATATCGACCTGGATAGCGCCTCAATTGTTACATCCTTCATGTTGTAGATGAGAGTGGGAGGCATGAGCTGCAGGTGGAATTATGTCACGGGGATCTGTGGCAGGCCTTTCACCGCCTGGGTACAGAGATGATCATCACCAAGTCGGGCAGGTACGACAAGTAGATACGTGAGAAAGTCTGGCATTGTCAATCTTTCTGTTTCAGTGTCACTTCACTATCTCGCACCACACATGCTTTAAGTAACAACTTAAGTCTATGAAGCCATCTTTTAACGACATAGTGAGCAGCTTTCTACTCTCACTCTGTGAGCATACAATTTATGAGTGGTTATGTGTGTAACGCAGGAGAATGTTTCCTGCCGTGAGGGTCCGGATTCTAGGATTGAGAGAAGAAGTCCAGTACCGTGTGTCTCTGGACTTCCAATCCCTGGATGACCACAAGTACAGATATGTCTACCACAGGTACATACAACAGTACCATTATGTCTACCACAGGTACATACAACAGTACCATTATGTCTACCACAGGTACATACAACAGTACCATTATGTCTACCACAGGTACATACAACAGTACCATTATGTCTACCACAGGTACATACAACAGTACCATTATGTCTACCACAGGTACATACGTCAGTACCATTATATCTACCACAGGTACATACATCAGTACCATTACGTCTACCACAGGTGCATAATCATGAACAGATTTGCCCACCATAGGGGCATGCCCTACTACCAGTATGTCCCCCAAACCGGCATACAGTATTCCTCGTGGGTACAAAGAATAGTACCTATAAGTATACTGAAGGTACATACACTTTTCCACATGTGTTTTTAAAATAATAGGTACAAAGACTAGTACCGATATGTGTACTACAGGTGCATACACTACTTCCCAAACCCACACCACATATATACTCTAATCATTTATACGAACTCCACTATGTCTTACCAGTACTGAAAAAGATCAGTTTAATTCTTCATGTCACGGGATGTGTTTTGTTTGTGCAGTTCCAAATGGATGGTAGCAGGCACGGGGGACCCGCCGCCAGCTAATCAACGCTACAGCCATCTGGACTGCCCACTAGGTGGCCGTCACTTAATTAGTCAGGTTATCTCGTTCGAAAAACTGAAACTGACCAACAGAGATGACCCCCAATCGGGCCAGGTGAGTCTGGCCAATGTGAAACACGCATGGAGATGTACCTGCTCCACTCAAACATCGTTTCTGTGTCTTGTCTTTATAGATCTACATTCATGCAGTAGAGTCTGTTCCGCATCAGTCTGTACATACCTGCCAAACAGTGGGAAAATATACGTATTACATGTTTCGAGAGTGTCGAATATCATGATTTTAACACCCGTATTTTCCTATTGAGATCTCCCTGGTGTCCATGCAAAGGTACATGCCCCGCATCCACGTGGACATCCTCAACTCCAACTTTGAAGTGCAAGCTCGCTATGTGACGTCGTTTCCACAGACGTCCTTTATGGCAGTAACAGCATATCAGAATCAAGAGGTACGACTAATACAGACGCTAAGCATACACGTGTTTGCTGCACGACATTATCCCTTTCCCTCTGTAGGGTATAACATTGTATGTCTTGAAGCAGACGTCATGTTCATAGGTATAGCCTACAACACAATCGTTTGGGATTTGATATAGTGCAGTTGTTATGATAGTGTTCTTCAAGACGAGGTAGATATGACCACCTATATGAGCAGTTGTTATGCTAGTGTTCTTCACCACGAGGTAGATGTGACCAACTATATGAGCAGTTTTTATGCTAGTGTTCTTCACCACGAGGTAGATGTGACCACCTATATGAGCAGTTGTTATGCTAGTGTTCTTCACCACGAGGTAGATGTGACCACCTATATGAACAGTTGTTATGCTAGTGTTCTTCACCACGAGGTAGATGTGACCACCTATATGAGCAGTTGTAATGCTAGTGTTCTTCACCACGAGGTAGATGTGACCACCTATATGAGCAGTTGTTATGCTAGTGTTCTTCACCACGAGGTAGATGTGACCACCTATATGAGCAGTTGTTATACTAGTGTTCTTCACCACGAGGTAGATGTGACCACCTATATGAGCAGTTGTTATGTATGCTAGTGTTCTTCGCCACGAGGTAGATGTGACCACCTATATGAGCAGTTGTTATGCTAGTGTTCTTCACGACGAGGAAGATGTGACCACCTATATGAGCAGTTGTTATGCTAGTGTTCTTCACGACGAGGAAGATGTGACCACCTGTATGAGCAGTTGTTATGCTAGTGTTCTTCACCACGAGGTAGATATGACCACCTATATGATCAGTTGTTATGCTAGTGTTCTTCACCACGAGGTAGATGTGACCGCCTATATGAGCAGTTGTTATGCTAGTGTTCTTCAAGACGAGGTAGATGTGACCACCTATATGATCAGTTGTTATGCTAGTGTTCTTCACCACGAGGTAGATGTGACCACCTATATGAGCAGTTGTTATGCTAGTGTTCTTCAAGACGAGGTAGATGTGACCACCTATATGAGCGGTTGTTATGCTAGTGTTCTTCACCACGAGGTAGATATGACCACCTATATGAGCAGTTGTTATGCTAGTGTTCTTCAAGACGAGGTAGATATGACCACCTACATGAGCAGTTGTTATGCTAGTGTTCTTCACCACGAGGTAGATGTGACCACCTATATGAGCAGTTGTTATGCTAGTGTTCTTCAAGACGAGGTAGATGTGACCACCTATATGAGCGGTTGTTATGCTAGTGTTCTTCACCACGAGGTAGATGTGACCACCTATATGATCAGTTGTTATGCTAGTGTTCTTCACCACGAGGTAGATGTGACCACCTATATGATCAGTTGTTATGCTAGTGTTCTTCACCACGGGGTAGATGTGACCGCCTATATGAGCAGTTGTTATGCTAGTGTTCTTCACGACGAGGTAGATGTGACCACCTATATGAGCAGTTGTTATACTAGTGTTCTTCACCACGGGGTAGATGTGACCACCTATATGAGCAGTTGTTATGTATGCTAGTGTTCTTCACCACGAGGTAGATGTGACCACCTATATGAGCAGTTGTTATGCTAGTGTTCTTCAAGACGAGGTAGATGTGACCACCTATATGAGCAGTTTTTATGCTAGTGTTCTTCACCACGAGGTGGATATGACCACCTGTATGAGCAGTTGTTATGCTATTGTTCTTCACCACGAGGAAGATGTGACCACCTATATGAGCAGTTGTTATGCTAGTGTTCTTCACCACGAGGTAGATGTGACCACCTATATGAGCAGTTATTATGCTAGTGTTCTTCATCGCGAGATGGATATGACCACCTGTATGAGCAGTTGTTATGCTAGTGTTCTTCACCACGAGGTAGATGTGACCACCTATATGAGCAGTTGTTATGCTAGTGTTCTTCACCACGAGGTAGATGTGACCACCTATATGAGCAGTTGTTATGCTAGTGTTCTTCAAGACGAGGTAGATGTGACCACCTATATGAGCAGTTGTTATGCTAGTGTTCTTCATCGCGAGATGGATATGACCACCTGTATGAGCAGTTGTTATGCTAGTGTTCTTAATCGCGAGGTAGATATGACCACCTATATGAGCAGTTGTTATGCTAGTGTTCTTCAAGACGAGGTAGATATGACCACCTATATGAGCAGTTGTTATGCTAGTGTTCTTCACCACGAGGTAGATGTGACCGCCTATATGAGCAGTTGTTATGCTAGTGTTCTTCACCACGAGGTAGATGTGACCACCTATATGAGCAGTTGTTATGCTAGTGTTCTTCACCACGAGGTAGATGTGACCACCTATATGAGCAGTTGTTATGCTAGTGTTCTTCATCGCGAGATGGATATGACCACCTGTATGAGCAGTTGTTATGCTAGTGTTCTTAATCGCAAGGTAGATATGACCACCTATATGAGCAGTTGTTATGCTAGTGTTCTTCAAGACGAGGTAGATATGACCACCTATATGAGCAGTTGTTATGCTAGTGTTCTTCACCACGAGGTAGATGTGACCACCTATATGAGCAGTTGTTATGCTAGTGTTCTTCAAGACGAGGTAGATATGACCACCTATATGAGCAGTTGTTATGCTAGTGTTCTTCACCACGAGGTAGATGTGACCGCCTATATGAGCAGTTGTTATGCTAGTGTTCTTCACCACGAGGTAGATGTGACCACCTATATGAGCAGTTGTTATGCTAGTGTTCTTCACCACGAGGTAGATATGACCACCTATATGAGCAGTTGTTATGCTAGTGTTCTTCACCACGAGGTAGATGCGACCACCTATATGAGCAGTTGTTATGCTAGTGTTCTTCACCACGAGGTAGATATGACCACCTATATGAGCAGTTGTTATGCTAGTGTTCTTCACCACGAGGTAGATGCGACCACCTATATGAGCAGTTGTTATGCTAGTGTTCATCACCACGAGGTAGATGTGACCACCTATATGAGCAGTTGTTATGCTAGTGTTCTTCACCACGAGGTAGATGTGACCACCTTTATGAGCAGTTGTTATGCTATTGTTCATCATCGCGAGGTAGATGTGACCACCTATATGAGCAGTTGTTATGCTAGTGTTCTTCACCACGAGGTAGATATGACCACCTATATGAGCAGTTGTTATACTAGTGTTCTTCACCACGAGGTAGATGTGACCACCTATATGAGCAGTTGTTATGCTAGTGTTCTTCACCACGAGGTAGATGCGACCACCTATATGAGCAGTTGTTATGCTAGTGTTCTTCACCACGAGGTAGATATGACCACCTATATGAGCAGTTGTTATGCTAGTGTTCTTCACCACGAGGTAGATGCGACCACCTATATGAGCAGTTGTTATGCTAGTGTTCATCACCACGAGGTAGATGTGACCACCTATATGAGCAGTTTTTATGCTAGTGTTCTTCACCACGAGGTAGATGTGACCACCTATATGAACAGTTTTTATGCTAGTGTTCTTCACCACGAGGTAGATGTGACCACCTATATAAGCGGTTGTAATGCTAGTGTTGCTCATCACGAGGTAGATGTGACCAGTGGCTTATCTAAGACAGAAGATATTTTGAGAACACCACAGAAGGCCCGATGGCACCATGGATGCATCCTTCATGGCCACAGTGGTTGTCTGGTGAATCTGTGGCAAACCTGTAGCGGGTGCTAACAGACCGATGACATGCTGATATCAGAGTATTGTTCAGCTCACGTTATCGGCAGACAAACATAAGTTCTTGATAACACTTCCTTCATCAGTCGATAGTGTTGATAGTTGGTGTCGTGTACTTGACATACAGGTTTCACGTGACCCCACCCCCGACCCTACCTCGTGTGGGGTGACAATGAAGATGTTACCTGTCTTAAATTCTCACGAATCTCATACAATCATCCATCTCTTAATACCACTCAAAAAGCATATCTGCTATCCACACTCTTATGGAAGATGAAAGAGCACATGTATCTCTTCATCAGTATTCTTTTTCAAATGTTGCTGGGTTTTCAGTATAAATATAACACAGCTGAAAATGTAACGTGCAGGACGATACCACGGCTCAGACGTATTTCATATTATTGCCTATACTTCATGTGCAGGATCGCAGTGTAACGATAGTTTTCAAAATAGGTCAACGAGTAGACATTGTGTTATTTTCGCCCAGAATCGACCGTATTAAGAAAATGCTGATCGAAATCAAACTTTGTGTAAATCATAATTGTTTTGGGGTACAATCTCTTGCTCTTAAATGTGGCACTTGCTTACAGTGGCACTATCACTCATTTAAAAGTACAACAGAGGTATTTCAAACGAATGTCTTTTACCATTATGTATTTATCTAAGTTTTCAAAAGTATTACGTCACATTTTCACTTCAAATATTCCATGTTACACAGCCAAATGCGTTACATGGAGCGTATGTGCTGAGATAAAAGAGATATGCACTTTTATTTAAACATCATTGCCTCAACTCGCAAGTGGCAGTGCGGTTATACAGTGACATCTTTACATGAAAATGTGACCTGTAAAGGCGGTATTCCCACGCCATGGATATCTGTGTGTATCTTTTCCACTTCCCTTCACAACTCAGACGCTGATAGCTGTGTCGTACAATCACCCTTTGTTCTTGCAGATAACCAGGCTTAAGATTGCAAGGAATCCCTTTGCCAAGGGCTTCAGGGAATCCGACAAGAGCAGGTACTTCTCCTTTATATCAGGGTGATCGAGTAAAGGCGTCTTTGTGCAACATCAGCGGATATTTTAGTTGTCTGATTATCTTATTGTGTTTAAATAGTATTTGCTCTGAAGTGTCTTCAAATGCTATACCCATTTGCATAGGGGTTCAAGATATTACAAACAGTGTTCACTGACATGTCTGTAAATGTTTACTGTTCTTATTTGTGTTTACTTGAGGACATCCCTTGAGGCCGCCATGTCATCCCTCTGTAGTTACATGATTCTCAGGAACACTTCTTCCAGGAAACGCTGTCTACCCCGTGAAGGTATATCACTTACTATCATGCCCACTCCATGAAAGAATATACATTACTCATGCCTATCCCTTGAAATCATGTGTACTTCATGAATGTATATCAGTTAAAATCTCTGTACTACCTTAGTATATATCCCATATAATCAGATGTACATCCTAAATGTATATCCCATGTCATCATGTGGACCTCCTCAATGTACATCCAATATCATCATGTGGACCTCCTCAATGTACATCCCATGTAATCACGTGGACCCCCCTCAATGTACATTCTATGTAATCATGTGGACCTCCTCAATGTATATCCTTTGTAATCATGTGGACCTCCTCAATGTACATCCAATGTCATCACGTGGACCTCCTCAATGTATATCCCATGTCGTCATGTGGACCTCCTCAATGTATATCCCTTGTAATCACGTGGACCTCCTCAATGTACATCCAATGTCATCATGTGTACCTCCTCAATGTACATCCAATGTCATCATGTGGACCTCCTCAATGTATATCCAATGTCATCATGTGGACCTCCTCAATGTATATCCCTTGTAATCACGTGGACCTCCTCAATGTACATCCAATGTCATCATGTTGACCTCCTCAATGTATATCCCATGTCATCATGCGGACCTCCTCAATGTATATCCCTTGTAATCATGTGGACCTCCTCAATGTATATCCCATGTTATCATGTGGACCTCCTCAATGTATATCCCTTGTAATCACGTGGACCTCCTCAATGCATATCCCATGTAGTCACGTGGACCTCCTCAATGTATATCCAATGTCATCATGTGGACCTCCTCAATGTATATCCCTTGTAATCACGTGGACCTCCTCAATGTACATCCCATGTAATCACGTGGACCTCCTCAGTGTATATCCCTTGCAATCAAATGGACCTCCTCAATGTACATACCAAGTAATCACGTGGACCTCCTCATGTATATCCCCTGTAATCACGTGGACCTCCTCAATGTATATCCTTTGTAATCATGTGGACCTCCTCAATGTACATCCCTTGTAATCACGTGGACCTCCTGAATGTATATCCATTGTAATCACGTGGACCTCCTCAATGTATATCACTTGTTATCATGTGGACATCCTCAACGTGGACCTCTTCAATGTAAATCCCTTGTAATCACGTGGACCTCCTCAATGTATATCCCATGTAATCACTTGGACCTCCTCAATGTACATCCCTTGTAATCATGTGTACCTCCTCAATGTACATCCCATGTAATCATGTGTACCTCCTCCATGTACATCGCATGTTATCATGTGGACCTCCTCAATGTACATCCCATGTAATCACGTGGACCCCCCTCAATGTACATTCTATGTAATCATGTGGATCTCCTCAATGTATATCCCTTGTAATCATGTTGACCTCCTCAATGTATATCCCTTGTAATCATGTGGACCTCCTCAATGTACATCCAACGTCATCATGTGGACCTCCTCAATGTATATCCCATGTCATCATGTGGACCTCCTCAATGTATATCCCTTGTAATCATGTGGACCTCCTCAACGTACATACAATGTCATCATGTGGACCTCCTCAATGTATATCCCATGTCATCATGTGGATCTCCTGAATGTATATCCCTTGTCATCATGTGGACCTCCTCAATGTATATCCCTTGTAATCACGTGGACCTCCTTAATGCATATCCCTTGTAGTCACGTGGACCTCCTCAATGTATATCCCTTGTAATCACGTGGACCTCCTCAATGCATATCCCTTGTAATCATGTGGACCTCCTCTATGTATATCCCATGTCATCATCTGGACCTCCTAAATGTATATCCCTTGTAATCACTTGGACCTCCTCAATGTACATCCCTTGTAGTCATGTGGACCTCCTCAATGTATATCCCTTGTAATCACGTGGACCTCCTCAATGTATATCCCATGTCATCATGTGGACCTCCTCAATGTATATCCCTTTGTAATCTTGTGGACCTCCTCAATGTATATCCCATGTCATCATGTGGACCTCCTCAATATATATCCCTTGTAATCATGTCGACCTCCTCAATGTACATCCAATGTCATCATGTGGACCTCCTCAATGTATACCCCTTGTAATCACGTGGACCTCCTCAATGTATATCCCTTGTAGTCACGTGGACCTCCTCAATGTATACTCCTTGTAATCAAGTGGACCTCCTCAATGTACATCCCATGTAATCACGTGGACCTCCTCAGTGTATATCCCTTGCAATCAAATGGACCTCCTCAATGTACATACCAAGTAATCACGTGGACCTCCTCATGTATATCCCTTGTAATCACGTGGACCTCCTCAATGTACATCCCTTGTAATCATGTGGACCTCCTCAATGTACATCCCATGTAATAACGTGGACCTCCTCAATGTATATCCCATGTAATAACGTGGACCTCTTCAATGTAAATCCCATGTAATCACGTGGACCTCCTCAATGTATATCCCTTGTAATCACGTGGACCTCCTCAATGTACATCCCTTGTAATCACGTGGACCTCCTCAATGTATATCCCATGTAATCACTTGGACCTCCTCAATGTATATTCCTTGTAATCAAGTGGACCTCCTCAATGTACATCCCATGTAATCACGTGGACCTCCTCAGTTTATATCCCTTGCAATCAAATGGACCTCCTCAATGTACATACCAAGTAATCACGTGGACCTCCTGAATGTATATCCCTTGTAATCACGTGGACCTCCTCAATGTACATCCCTTGTAATCATGTGGACCTCCTCAATGTACATCCCATGTAATAACGTGGACCTCCTCAATGTATATCCCATGTAATAACGTGGACCTCTTCAATGTAAATCCCATGTAATCACGTAGACCTCCTCAATGTATATCCCTTGTAATCACGTGGACCTCCTCAATGTACATCCCTTGTAATCACGTGGACCTCCTCAATGTATATCTCATGTAATCACTTGGACCTCCTCAATGTACATCCCTTGTAATCATGTGTACCTCCTCAATGTATATCCCATGTAATCATGTGGACCTCCTCAATGTACACCCCTTGTAATCATGTGGGCCTCCTCAATGTATATCACATGTCATCATGTGTACCTCCTCAATGTACATCCAATGTCATCATGTGGACCTCCTCAATGTATATCCCTTGTAATCACGTGGACCTCCTCAATGTACATCCCTTGTAATCACGTGGACCTCCTCAATGTATATCCCATGTAATCACTTGGACCTCCTCAATGTACATCCCTTGTAATCATGTGTACCTCCTCAATGTATATCCCATGTAATCATGTGTACCTCCTCAATGTACACACCTTGTAATCATGTGGACCTCCTAAATGTATATCCCATGTCATCATGTGTACCTCCTCAATGTACATCCCATGTCATCATGTGGACCTCCACAATGTATATCCCTTGTAATCACGTGGACCTCCTCAATGCATGTCCCTTGTAGTCACGTGGACCTCCTCAATGTATATCCCTTGTAATCAAGTGGACCTCCTCAGTGTACATCCCATGTAATCACGTGGACCTCCTCAATGTATATCCCTTGTAATCAAATGGACCTCCTCAATGTACATCCCATGTAATCACGTGGACCTCCTCATGTATATCCCTTGTAATCACGTGGACCTCCTCAATGTTGGCCTTGTAACCATGTGGACCTCCTCAATGTACATCCCATGTAATCACGTGGACCTCCTGAATGTATATCCCATGTAGTAACGTGGACCTCCTGAATGTATATCCCATGTAATCACGTGGACCTCCTCAATGTATATCCCATGTAATCACTTGGACCTCCTCAATGTACATCCCTTGTAATCATGTGTACCTCCTCAATGTACATCCAATGTCATCATGTGTACCTCCCAATGTACATCCCATGTAATCATGTGTACCTCCCATGTAATCACTGGACCTCCTCAATGTACATCCCTTGTAATCATGTGTACCTCCTCAATTTACATCCCATGTAATCACTTGGACCTCCTCAATGTACATCCCTTGTAATCACTTGGACCTCCTCAATGTACATCCCTTGTAATCATGTGTACCTCCTCAATTTACATCCCATGTAATCATGTGGACCTCCTCAATGTACATCCCATGTAATCATGTGGACCTCCTCAATGTGCATACCATGTAATCATGTGGACCTCCTCAATGTATATACCATGAAATCATGTGGACCTCCTCAGTGTACATCCCATGTAATCATGTGGACCTCCTCAGTGTACATCCCATGTAATCATGTGTACCTCCTCAATGTACATCCCATGTAATCACGTGGACCCCCGTCAATGTACATCCCATGTAATCATGTGGACCCCCTCAATGTACATACAATATAATCAGGTGGACCTCCTCAATGTACATCCCATGTAATCATGTGTACATCCTGAATGTACATACCATGTAATCATGTGTACGTCCTCAATGTATATACCATGTAATCATGTGTACATCCTGAATGTACATCCCATGTAATAATGAGTACATCCTCAATGTATATCCCTTGTAATCATGTGTACATCCTGAATGTACATACCATGTAATCATGTGTACATCCTCAATGTATATCCCATGTAATCATGTGTACATCCTTATGTACATCCCTTGTAATCATGTGGACCTTCTCAATGTACATACCATGTAATCATGTGGACCCCCTCAATGTACATACAATATAATCAGGTGAACCTCCTCAATGTACATACCATGTAATCATGTGGACCCCCTCAATGTACATACAATATAATCACGTGAACCTCCTCAATGTACATCCCATGTAATCACGTGGACCTCCTCAGTGTACATACCATGTAATCATGTGGACCCCCTCAATGTACATACCATGTAATCATGTGTACCTCCTCAATGTACATACAATATAATCATGTGAACCTCCTCAATGTACATCCCATGTAATCATGTGGACCCCCTCAATGTTCATACAATATTATCACGTGGACCTCCTCAATGTACATCCCATGTAATCATGTGGACCCCCTCAATGTTCATACAATATTATCACGTGGACCTCCTCAATGTACATCCCATGTAATCATGTGTACCTCATCAATGTACATCCCATGTAATCATGTGGACCTCATGAATGCATATCTCATATAATCACGTGGACAGTGTATACAATTTACGGAAAAGGGTCTATATAGCAGCAGACATATTTACAGGCAACCAGCTTTCAACATTATTTATACCTTAGAAACTTTTGTAGTTCTGACATAATCGATAACAAAAAGAAAACAAAATATACACATGGGGAAAAAGTATCGCAACACTTCACATTTTTCATACTGTCAATAAGTTACCATTAACCACGACAAAGTAACTTACCCAAACCTCAGTATGACTTACTGAGTTATTACTGCTAAATCTGACTAAACTTCGGTCACATGTCACAATACGCGGCCGAATTTAGGCGATTTTGGATTATTAGTTTGCTGTTTTCTAGCCAGTCGGCTGGTAGTTATGGCAACCACCATCACAAAGACATGCCAACATTCCGCATACCAATAATCTGTCATCTTTGAGCAGTTGTCAGTAGAGGAGGGCCCAATAGTTGCTTATCAATAACGAAATCAATTGATTTTCCAAGTTATCGAGTTGTAAGAACAGTTTCCTAAAATGTGCTTAATGACGGGTACATGTATTGTACGTGACGCTCGTACTTGACTGTAGCACTGTATCTGAAATCAATATTCATACAAACATATATAATTATGACATATATAAATGGCTATATGGGGGTTAAAAGTAACAGGTGTTACCATACATGTTCCATGTGTATTTTTAGAACTATTTCTAGATACAATTTTAGATAAAATATTAGCGAGTTCGTAACCCCAAACTTGTTTGTTACCATACGTTTGTATTACCTTTACCTGTGCTGAGGGGGTCGGCCGAAATATAAAGTGACATTTATTCCACGTGTACTTAGTGTCAAGTAGCATTGTAACAAAGGTTATAAGTGGTGATATTCAGATTGTCTCATTTTGCAAACAGGGATAGGAAAATTATGTCGGATATAATTTTTTTTCTTGCAGCAACAGATCTGCCAAAGAAAATCTTCAAACCATCTCCGACTGGTGTGGTTCACACGACCACAACGAACCGTTGGTTGCATGCAGAATCAACAGCCAATCACTGCCTTGTACATGCTGTTCCAGTCTCGATCTACGGCCTATCAGCGTGTTGTTATAATTGGTCACGTGATGACGAGTTAAAGGAGTCGGCACAATCTGTGTGTGACATGTGCTGTTCCCTCCCCTGCTGGAGGTACCCAGGTCTTCAACATCCTGGAATTTTTGAACCGTACCAACAAACATTCCCAGGCTACCAGGCCAGCATTAAACCTGACATTATTCCTGACTCAAAGATCGATATTAAACAGGAATTGAAAACTGACAGTTAGAACAGGCGCTTGAGGGGAACCCGTTACTTTCCTGGAGAGATCTGTGAACTGATTTTGTTTATAAAACCTGCCTGACATTGTGTTCTTGTACAACTTTGTGGGTCTTGTCTGGTACTGGACTGAATGAGATACGTCATTTCAGTACTTTGATTCACGAGCATAATTTCAGTTAATTCGTAAATAGATAATATTTCTTTGTCATATCACCCTAAAGAACTTCTACTCCGGGGTTTTATTTCAGGTGAACAGTTGACTATGTTTATGACGGGTGCCACCGGTGGGGCAGGATACGTTCACCTTTTCGCGAACACCTGGTATCATCACTTTTTCATAGTGATTCATAAATACATGCTCTGTCATAGTATCGCATGGTAACAATCACTGGATTGTCAGGTCCAGACTCGATTTGTTTACAAACAACAGCGTACAGCTGTTTTATTGCTGAAACAAATATATACTCATGATATAGTCACAATTGTACAATCGACGGCGCTTTTAGCAGCGACTTATTATGCATGTGGAAAGGATTTTGCCTCTTTTATTTTCGTGTCACATAATCAAATGAATGTACACGACTTGCTCATGTAGGTCCCGAAAGGAGCGACCTGCATGTACTCGTCCAGTTTATTGTTGCTATGACCTGGTTGAAGTAAGGTCTTGAAAGTTCTATTATAAGCATATCGTGAACTATCTTCTAAAGTGGAATGCCATTCCTGGTGAAACATATTAACAGACCGAGTTCTAAATTCATTAAGAAACATGTCTACACTTACAACTGACTGACATAACCATATAAAACCATAACCATGGGAAAATAGAAGATTCCTTATATGCGATACCCATGTAACTTTCCCCATGTTATCTAAATGTAAAAGCATGCTATAAGCTACTTTGGGGAGACGTTGCTCGTGCATATGAAGAAGTTTGAACCAATATTTTAAACATCTAATTTGGGAATTAATATATAATGGGTATCTACCACATTCACCATATACCATGCAATTTGGTGTAGAGGATCCAACACAAAGAAATTTTTTACATGCTAATAAGTAGACCTTCTCCAAACATTCATACCGCTGAAATCCCCATACTTTTGAGCCATAAAATAAAATTGGTTGTATCTGGGTTTCAAAGAGCTTAAAGAATATGTTAGGTGACATGGTTCCAACTTTGTGGACAATAGACATTACACTTATTAAAGCTTTCTTTGCACGCAATGATAAATCTTTGGTACATTTTTTCAAGTTCATTGTTTGTGAAAACCAGATTCCTAAATATGTATAATGATCCACTACATTGACTTACTGACCATCAAATAACCATCTTTCTTTCAGGGCTATTGGACCACCTTTCCTGAAGATCACAATTTTAGTTTTTTCTAGATTTACTGATAATTTCCAATCTTTTGTGTATGCATTTAGAATATTTAGTTGTCGTTGAAGACCGACCACAGTATCTGACACTAAAACGACATCGTCTGCAAAAAGTAACATCAAAACTTCTATTAGGTCTGGAAACATTTGGATACCATGTTTACCATTTGAAGCTATTTCAATATATAATTCATTTATGAAAAGTGAAAATAAGACAGGACTCAGAATACAGCCTTGTCTTAAACCCAAAGGACAATCAAAGAAATCTGTTTCACCCTCCCTGCTACGAACACATGACCTCACATTACAATATATTGCTTTTATAATAGCAAACATTTTCCCCCCGTAGTCCAGCTTTCCGAAGACATTTCCATAGCTTAGAGCGGTCAACCGAATCAAAAGCTTTTTTGAAATCTACAAATGCTACAAACAATTTATGCTTTCGTCGTGACAAAGTCTTTTGGATAAGTGCATGAAGAGTAAATATATGATCTGATGTTGAATAATTCTTTCTAAAGCCAGCTTGAAATTCAGGAATTTTATCACGCATGTTCGCCCATTTAGAAATTCTATTATTTAGTATTGTTGTAAACACTTTTCCAAGGATGCTCATCAAATAAATACCCATGTAGTTGTCTGGGTCATTCCGATCACCTTTTTTTATGCAGTGGAATTATTATAGAACATGACCAGCTGTTTGGGAAAATACCTTTCTCAAATAGCTTATTAAAGCATTTGCCTAGAAAAGGCATAACTAGAAACCTGGAACACTTCAACATTTCAATAATTGTATCGTCTGCTGCTGCTTTTCCCTTTTTCAGGTGATCTATTGCACCAAATATTTCGCTTTCAACAATGGGTGAATCTAGCACAAGTTCATCAACATCAGTATAGCATTCAGTAAAATCATTTTGCATGTCATCAATTTCCATGTCTAATATTGTTTCATTTGAAAAAAACTTCTTAAAATGACTAAGCCACTGTGTTTTTGATATGTTATCCTTAGCAGGGGACCGATATCCTTAGCAGGAGACCGATATTTGAGGGATCGTATTTCTTTCCAGAAAGATGAAGCGTTGTTCATAGAATTTACCAATTTGTCTTGTTTACGCCTACGCAAATCAACTTTGAATTTCCGACAACAATTCTTATATTTATTCCTACTTTCGCAATATTTCTTTCGGTCAAGACTAGCACGAGTTATTCTAAATCTTCGTAGTACCTTGCGGGCGTTCCGTCTTGCAGTTCTGCATTCAGCATTAAGTGAGGTCTTTTCATTTATGTTATATTTTAATTCTTTTCCCATACAAGATGATGAATCCAGCATTTTTTGATCAAAATCATCAATTGCCCCCTCAATGTTATTATCAAGTTTATCGAAGAGTAGGTGTGTAATAGACGTTATACTTTCATTAAGCTTATTCAGATAATTGTCAGATAATTCGTCATTCCATATTAATTTGTTTTTTAGTGACGCCCTCGGATGTTAGCTTGTTAATTGTTTGATTCATATTGGGGAATCTACAAGTCAGTTCTAGAGGTAAGTGATCAGAGTCCAGACGAGCGCCAACATTCAGCATGTCAATATAATCAAAGAAATCGGGAGAACATATAAAGTAATCATTAACGCTAGCACCTTGATTTCCACAATGGGTAAATTCTCTCAGGGTATCTCCATACACTCTCCCATTGACAATGAACAGCTGGAATGTATACAACATATCTAACAGCAACTGGCCAAATTTGTTAATAATGGTATCATGAGATTTCCGATCTCCAACAGATATGTTTTCATCTTCAGGAAACACACAACTACTATGAACAACATCGTGTTGTAAATCGGCGAGAGGATTATTCACTTCACCTGTACGAGCATTCATATCTCCACATACCACACTAATACAATCCCTAAACTTCGACTGATTATCTAACAAAAAACTCTTCAAGCTGTTCAATACTACAGTCTGAGCTCACGTGGTTAAAATACGACGAGCCAGCTGGTGGTATGTATGTACATAGCAAGTTTACACTTTTATCAGTTTTAAGTAACACATTTGATATGTTCAAGCACAGGAGGTTATGAACCTCTGATTCAATCATCTTACAAAATTTGCTTACTGATTGATGGACACATACACACACACCACCTGAGAGCCTGCCGTAGTCAGATAACTTTATTGCTGGGCTGTAATAGATGTCATAATCAACTAACCAGTCGCTGCCAAATCCGCAGTCGACAAAAGTTTCCACAAGACATATTATTTGAAATTGTTTTAAGTACGATATAAAATCATCGTCAACAATTTTGCTTCGTAGACCGTTAATGTTCCAACAGAGGAAAGCGAATGTTTCGCCGGGACAGTCAGCGTTTACTGTAGCACCGGTTTTAACCGTGTTATGTCCTTGTGGGTTAATATCCGGGCCTCGGCCAGTTCCCTAGCTAGCAGACACGTTTGCGGATGATTTTCCGAGCGATCTTCTTGGTAATGGTCGTCTGTCTCCTTACGTTTCTGTAGTGCCAGACATCGCCGAAGTTGGTGTTGTTTCTACTGTGCGAGGCTTTGTTATCAATCGTCCATCCTTGAAATACCCAAACTTGTTGGTCCCCTTAAGCGCCTGCAACTGCTGACATTGACGTGACATAAGATCACTCGAAATTCCAAGTCCTCCTTCCTTGAATGTTGGTCTCGCTTTCAAGGCACGAACTTTGTCGTCAGACATATGTAGCTTTGCAATCATTGGGCGAGGTCGTGTTGCATTTTCACGTTTAACGACAAGCCTGTGAGCCCGTATGATGTCCAACGACTGCCACGTTTTGAATTTAGCATGTTTATTGAGGACAGATAGCACAGTGTCTTTACACGCCATTGATTTTTCATCGCCTGCTGCTTCAGGGATACCGTGGATGAGAATATTGTTACGTCTGCTATATGACTCAAGTCTGTCCAGTTCATCATCCACTCTTGAAATGTGATCAAACAGAGCGTCAACCTTGCCTGAGAGTGCGTCGATGTCCTCATACATGATATCATGGTTTTGTTTCATGGTGTTTAGATAACTATGAAGTTCTGTAATAGAACATTCCATTTTTTCACACTTTGAATTTATATTGCATACATCGTTCTTTAGCTCTGAGATTTGAGTACTTAAATATGATTTAGCGTTGCGTATTTCAGATTTCATGTCCCCAATTTCTGCAAGTATTGTTGCCTGTACGTCTTCAAGAGTTGTTGGTCCCGGGTTTGTCTCTATATCGTTAGAGAACAGTAAGAGCTGTGTTATGACCCTCATGGGAAGCCCGTCGCCCCCAAGGAAACATTTTCCTCGTGCATGTGAGGCAAGGTTGGATGACAAAATCTGGGTCACAACACGAGTTGGTGACGTCACATGAAGCACAAAGGAATGTAGTAGGCTGATACGTGACAACAACCATGAAGAGATCATTTATATGGGACACTTACACCTTTGGTATCCATAGGATTGATTTATGTGAATTGTATATGTTTTGGATGTTCGTGTCAACTTTAATCTCAAATATGACTGTACTTCAAAGTGAACAGAAAAGTAAATCAATGTCTTTTCTTCACTGTATTTTGTCCGATCCACATCCTTCTAAAGGATCAGATATTTGACGTCTGTGTAGGGGAAATGTGTGACATGCACACTCTTTGGTCCACTGGATATGAAGGAAAAAATGAAGAAAAAATAGATATGCAAGTTTTATATAGGATGTATTAATATGCATAACGAGCAGCATGGCTGACATGTACCTAAATGAATTATTTTAGATTTCAGGAAGGCTACATTTGAAGATGACCAAGTCATAGATTTTGTTGGGTAGTTAGATACATGTACCTGGTACCGACATCAGGTGAAAACCCCATCTGTGGCCAGGGACTTGTTGGAAGTTCTTTAAACGTTTATCACTCATTTTAGCGATTATGTTGTATATAATCAGGTCTCAAGTATGGGAAGGAACAAGGGCAAACGTATGTACAATATCAATACCGCAAACCTTTCCTTAACTTTAAACTTTGTGATTTCCAGTGGGCCAAGACGAGCCCTTTTGAGTAAATGTATAAACTGTCTCGCGTAAGGTAAATACACCAATCTGGTAATCTTACTGCTTGTATCATGTACCGACGCCAGCGAGTAGGAGAAGAAAACCCCCAGATGTTGAGCTGGAACGCCAAGGCACGATGGGGTATAATCTCGGCTCTTCATTGTGCTTCTGATTTCGAGTAGTTATTCCGCTCATTGTGTATATGTTTGGATGTTTGTTAAATATTACGCTTTAAATGTTCTGAATCAGTGATTCCTTGTCCAAAGATTACCTGTTAACACATGATATTTCTGATATCTTTATTCATGATCAAAGTATATACCTACTAAACAGCCTGAGGAACACATGGCGTCAACATGATGTCAATAAAGACAAGCATTTCATCAATCAAAAGAGAGAAATATTCCTTGTTTTGTTCTAAGAAGGGAAAACGTGCTTCAGGACTATTGATGCTCGACTCCAGGGTGAGTGGGGGACGCGCAGAATTCTGGACCAGTCTGGAACAAACCAGTTATCCATGTCATATGTACTGAACATCAATGAAAACGCACCAGTCTAAAATTGTCCATATTTTCATCAAGATGGATTTCAGCATGACAATGATCAATGAATATAACAAACATGAAGTCGAAGGGCATGTCCAGTTGAAAAAATGCTTTAGAAACAAATTCCTGTCCACAGTATGACTCTTAATTCCAAAATGCATCAACATGCAGCCACGCCATGAAAAAAGCGCGAATTCCATTCTGAAATCATATTGACTGTGACATTAAAAGCAGGTGTATGAGAACCGATTCTCATTGCTTCACTAACGATTGTGAAACGAGGACAGAGGTTAACACCTCACGAAAGAGAACGTGTACTAGGCATGATTCATATTGCCACCAGCAGCAGGGATATTGCTCGACAACTTGGACTTGGCCACTCCACCATCGTTAGGCTTAATAGATGACATCAGTAGACAGGCAGCACCTGTGACCTTCAATGACCTTGGCAACAACGTGTTACGACGCTCCATCAGGATCGCCATATTGACCTTGTCCATATCAGTGATTGAACACTGCCGACTGCCAGTTCAAGGTTGACGTGGGGGTCATCAGCGCTGACTCCATGCGACGCCGTCTACACGCTACAGGGCTCCATGCTCGACGTCCTTACGTTGGACCAGTTCTGACTGACAGACACCGTAATGAGCGTATACAATGGGCTAGCAGGCATTTTCAGTAAAGGTTACAGTAATGGCATGGTGTGGTAGTCACTGACGAATCACGTCTTCATCTACGTAATGCTGACGGCCGATTACGTGTTTGGCGTAGACGTGGTGAACGTTATGTTGATGAGTGTGTGGTTCAGACAGACCTTTGGGTGGTGGGAGTGTCATGGTCTGGGGTGGAATAAATTACAATCACAGGACTGCCTTCATGTCTGTCAAGGGAGAGTTAATGCCCTTTATTACCGTGATCAGATTCTTCAGAATCACATCGTATCTGTCTTCAATCACCAGGACAACGCACGGGCACACACAACAAGACTTTCCATGCAGTATCTGGCCCAGCAACACATCCAGGTTATTCATTGGCCAGTACAGTCGCCAGATGTATCCCTCATGGAGCACTTGTGGGATGAAATTGGTCAAAGTATTTCGTGGCGACAACAGATTCGAAACATCCGGGAACTTGAGGCTGCACTACTGCAGAAGTTGAATGCCATCCTCAAGAACTCTTATTCGGACGCTTATTGACTCAATGAGGAGACGTTGAACAGCATGTGTCGATGCAAATGGCGGTCACACGCGATATTGACTTTTCGATTTGACCCCACGTGTGTTTGATCCTTTCTGTCTGTGGAACATTTCAATGAATGAGTGTCTTTTCTGTGTTGTTGTTTGTCAGTCGTTCATCTGTTATTATCCACTCAAAAAATATCAATTCCTTACACGTGCTTTTAATAATCTGAACTTTTATAAGTGGTGCGTTTTCAATGATGTTCAGTATATTTCCTCTTCCATTGAGCCGATCGCTGCCTACGATACAATAATTGATTACAGAAGGTGAAATATTACAATTCAAATGTGTCTACGAGTTGTTATACAGTCCTTATTCACCTCGTCAAATTCATATTTTCGTCCTCAGATCCTTTTTAGTGATGATGTTCAACAGGCAATATTGATCCTCAGCTTCGTCATGGTTAATCTTGGACATTAAAGGATACTTCTGTCAGTGTCGTCCGGTGAATCTAAAACATTAAAGGATGCTTCTGTCGGTGTCGTCCGGTGAATCTAAAACATTAAATGATGCTTCTGTCAGTGTCGTCCGGTGAATCTAAAACATTAAAGGATGCTTCTGTCGGTGTCGTCCGGTGAATCTAAAACATTAAATGATGCTTCTGTCAGTGTCGTCCGGTGAATCTAAAACATTAAAGGATGCTTCTGTCGGTGTCGTCTCGTGAATCTAGGACATTATGGGACGCTTCTGTCAGCTTCGTTATCTGGTGAACCTAGGACATTAAAGGATGCTTCTGTCAGTGTCGTTGTGTGGTGAATCTAGGACATTATAGGACGCTTCTGCCAGCTTCGTTATCTGGTGAATCTAGGACATTATAGGACGCTTCTGCCAGCTTCGTTATCTGGTGAATCTAGGACATTATAGGATGCTTCTGCCAGCTTCGTTATCTGGTGAATCTAGGACATTAAAGGATGCTTCTGTCAGTGTCGTTGTGTGGTGAATCTAGGACATTATAGGACGCTTCTGCCAGCTTCGTTATCTGGTGAATCTAGGACATTATAGGATGCTTCTGCCAGCTTCGTTATCTGGCGAATCTAGGACATTATAGGATGCTTCTGTCAGTGTCGTTGTGTGGTGAATCTAGGACATTATAGGACGCTTCTGCCAGCTTCGTTATCTGGCGAATCTAGGACATTATAGGATGCTTCTGTCAGTGTCGTTGTGTGGCGAATCTAGGACATTATAGGACGCTTCTGTCAGTGTTGATGTCTGGTGAATCTAGGTGAGGTGAGGTGAGGTGAAATTGGGTTTAACGTCGTACTTGAGAATATTTCGCTCATATGACAACGTGCATGCGTGTGTATGTGTATGTGCGGCTGCTTGTACTAGTCCAGACTGAAGCTGGTTTTATAGTGCTAGCCCACTGAGATACCATGCCGCAGTGAAGCATGAATACCCCACTCAGACACATTATACTGACTCCGAGCCGACCAGTCCTTGTTGTACCCATTAATGCCGAGCGCCAGGCAGGGACCAACAAGTACCATATTTTAACGTCTTTTGGTATGACGCGGTTGGGGATCGAACCCGCGACCTTCCGCTCTCCGGGCGGACGCTCTAGCCGCTACACCACGGAGGCGGTTGGGTGAATCTAGGATATTATAGGACGCTTCTGTCAGTGTCGTTGTCTGGTGAATCTAGGACATTATAGGATACTTCTGTCAGTGTCGTTGTGTGGCGAATCCTGACGTGTTTGCTTTAATATCGTTATGTGAGACATCAGAGACATCCTTGACAATTTAACAACAGCTGTTTAGAGACATCGGTTCTGAAGAGAACATGTCACAAGGAACACATGGACATGTCACAAGGATTACAATTTCCACATCAGCAGAATTTATCCCCATGTAACACTAAACTGAATGGTGGCTAGATCACATTGAGTGTTATACGACTTAAATACAGGATGGGTTTCAGTTGAATGTGGCTACCGGTCGGTTTGCTACTTACAATCTGTTTTGAAGGGCTACACACGGGGATAGCTGGCCTCGCTGGCTATTCCACACTGGTTGTGTTTGTTGCGGGTCATCTTCACATAGCCGCCTTCACCCCACGATAATCCCCAGCTATAAATACACAAAACGGGAACAATTACACGTAATTCTAGGATTGTGTAGGAGACTTTTTCTTGAAAAGTTCAATCTGTCTTTTACTTTACAAGCTAAATTATGCACCAGCTGACCACAGCGAAATATCCGCTGACAGTCAAACATGTGTGGATACTGGCTAAACGACTGAGCTCTTAGTAATTACATATCTCTTACTTGAAGACATTAATTCAACCTTGAGCACTATCAGTTCAAACGAGTCCTTTCAGGTCATACATATACCTGTGATGTTTTATAATTGGTCCAGAACAGATATACCTGTTTTTGACTAGCCAGTAGTCCAGTCCTTGCAGTGTGCCGTATCCGGCGGCCAGCACGGCGTGGTCCAGGTTGGTCCTGCTGCACCGCTTCTCGCTGTAGACACCTGCAACCAAGGTTAAGATTGGAAATCAGGGGCTGATAGCTATGTGCAATTCCAGATTTGTCTAACATATACATGTTCCTTTCATGGCAGATGCATATGTATACTATTGCCATGAATGATTCAAGGAATATGTCACCACCAACAGATTCCAAAAGCTTGTGAGGGACCACCTTAAGTGGACATTACCCAATTACAAAGCAGCTTTCTTTAGTCTTACAGCACTAGTTAGCGTATTTATTTTCAAATACCACCGGGTGTATGGCATCAAAGCTGCATATAGGCTTCGACAACTGGACAAACTCTACATTATAATGTGACTCTCCACAAATTCTTAGTTGGTTAATTTTGTAGTGATTCAGTGAAAGCTTTATTCTTTACATTGACTTCATATATTGAACACATATATCATCATCTTTTAAAACCTGCCTATTTTAAACATCTATATATCTATATAAGAACCGAGTCCAGCACATCCGGGAACCGAACCCACGGACCCAGCAAAATGCACTAGAATCTGTACTTTACTGAGAAAGTACAAACCAAAATATAGCATATGTTACAGTTGACCAAATAGCACTGTGTATTCTTAAACAGCTATAGTTTCTAAGTAAAAGGATACAAACTGAAGATATTACAATGTTAATGTTTAGGAATAATATGTACTCACAGTTGTTTTAATTTATCTTTCTTAACACACTTATCAACTACTGAGTAAACTCTGGTAATGATTTACGTAAAATATAGTCCTTTGTATAAATATTAAATGTCGAAGTTACTTGTGCAGTGTATGCACAAAATACCCACAGACTTGGCGAGTGGAAAACAGATGTTTCGATTTCACCTTGTATTGAAAAGGGTTTGTAGTTTTCAAGCAAAGAACCATTACCTGCAAAGAACCATTACCAGACCACAGCTGATGTTAAATTTGTATTACCTGGAGGATGGGCCAGGCAGGTAATTCGTGAGAGAGGAATTACTAATGATTCCTCACGACACGGTGTTACCTCCAATGAAACACATAGACATAAATATATAAAAATGGGGGGGGGGGCTGTATATTGAACGATAGTTGATGATTTGTGTCCACTCTAAAAACCCCAAAGATGCACGTGCAATCCGTTCACGAGATTTCCGTGCTTCACCACCTGTTGCAGTGATACTGTTCGCCCAAACACAACATTTTTCATGGCAAATGTTACTGAAGCGTTGTGGCGATTGTTTAGCTTCATAACTACCTACAAAAATTGAGTTCGAGTCCAAATTGTAAAATTAAATTTTGGTATCGCTTCTTTTGCCCGTTAGTTTATTTCATACAATGACATGGTATGCATTTTATTCAGTATTATTACCACATGAAACGTTGTATAATGCTTACATAAGCGCCAGTATCGGTTTAATTAAAAACTAAATTACTGGGCGATGACCGATGACTACTATACAGCAATTTACACAATAGCACATTCAATCTTATTTGTATATATGCATACAGAATGTTCAGAATGTTTGTGTGTAATGCATATCGTAGGATACCTTGGATACTTTGTTCACTACCGTTGTTAGCAAGGTGTGCTTAGTGTCGATGTACATACGTCTTGTGTTTGCAATATCCTAGGAGTTATTGTCCTTGGTGTATTTGGAAGGTCATGTGCGGGACTTCCATGGCAACAGACAGGGCACACAGATCCTACACCTGACTGACTTACCTCCCTTGTACATCTGGAAGGACCTGTGCGAGGCTTCATTGGCAACCGTCACAGGACACTCAGATCCTACACCTGACTGACTTACCTCCCTTGTACACTGGAAGGACCTGTGCGAGGCTTCATTGGCAACCGTCACAGGACACTCAGATCCTACACCTGACTGACTTACCACCCTTGTACAACTGACTGGACCTGTGCGAGGCTTCATTGGCAACCGTAACAGGACACTCAGATCCTACAACTGACTGACTTACCTCCCTTGTACAACTGGACGGACCTGTGCGAGGCTTCATTGGCACCCGTCACAGGACACACAGATCCTACACCTGACTGACTTACCTCCCTTGTACAACTGGAAGGACCTGTGCAAGGCTTCATTGGCAACCGTCACAGGACACTCAGATCCTACACCTGACTGACTTACCTCCCTTGTACAACTGGAAGGACCTGTGCGAGGCTTCATTGGCAACCGCCATAGGGACACTCAGATCCTACACCTGACTGACTTACCTCCCTTTGTACAACTGGAAGGACCTGTGCGGGGCTTCATTGGCAACCGTCACAGGACACACAGATCCTACACCTGACTGACTTACCTCCCTTGTACAACTGGAAGGACCTGTGCGAGGCTTCATTGGCAACCGTCACAGGACACACAGATCCTACACCTGACTGACTTACCTCCCTTGTACATCTGGAAGGACCTGTGCGAGGCTTCATTGGCAACCGTCACAGGACACTCAGATCCTACACCTGACTGACTTACCTCCCTTGTACACTGGAAGGACCTGTGCGAGGCTTCATTGGCAACCGTCACAGGACACTCAGATCCTACACCTGACTGACTTACCTCCCTTGTACAACTGACTGGACCTGTGCGAGGCTTCATTGGCAACCGTAACAGGACACTCAGATCCTACAACTGACTGACTTACCTCCCTTGTACAACTGGACGGACCTGTGCGAGGCTTCATTGGCACCCGTCACAGGACACACAGATCCTACACCTGACTGACTTACCTCCCTTGTACAACTGGAAGGACCTGTGCGAGGCTTCATTGGCAACCGTCACAGGACACTCAGATCCTACACCTGACTGACTTACCTCCCTTGTACAACTGGAAGGACCTGTGCGAGGCTTCATTGGCAACCGCCATAGGACACTCAGATCCTACACCTGACTGACTTACCTCCCTTTGTACAACTGGAAGGACCTGTGCGCGAGGCTTCATTGGCAACCGTCACAGGACACACAGATCCTACACCTGACTGACTTACCTCCCTTGTACAACTGGAAGGACCTGTGCGAGGCTTCATTGGCACCCGTCACAGGACACACAGATCCTACACCTGACTGACTTACCTCCCTTGTACATCTGGAAGGACCTGTGCGAGGCTTCATTGGCAACCGTCACAGGACACTCAGATCTTACACCTGACTGACTTACCTCCCTTGTACACTGGAAGGACCTGTGCGAGGCTTCATTGGCAACCGTAACAGGACACTCAGATCCTACAACTGACTGACTTACCTCCCTTGTACAACTGGACGGACCTGTGCGAGGCTTCATTGGCACCCGTCACAGGACACACAGATCCTACACCTGACTGACTTACCTCCCTTGTACAACTGGAAGGACCTGTGCGAGGCTTCATTGGCAACCGTCACAGGACACTCAGATCCTACACCTGACTGACTTACCTCCCTTGTACAACTGGAAGGACCTGTGCGAGGCTTCATTGGCAACCGCCATAGGACACTCAGATCCTACACCTGACTGACTTACCTCCCTTTGTACAACTGGAAGGACTCCAGCGAGGCTTTATTGGCAACCGTCACAGGACACACAGATCCTACACCTGACTGACTTACCTCCCTTTGTACAACTGGAAGGACCTGTGCGAGGCTTCATTGGCAACCGCCACAGGACACACAGATCCTACACCTGACTGACTTACCTCCCTTGTACAACTGGAAGGACCTTTATGAGGCTTCATTGGTAACCCGTCACAGGACACACAGATCCTACACCTGACTGACTTACTCCCTTTGTACATCTGGAAGGACCTGTGCGAGGCTTCATTGGCAACCGTCACAGGACACACAGATCCTACACCTGACTGACTTACCTCCCTTGTACAACTGGAAGGACCTGTGCGAGGCTTCATTGGCAACCGCCACAGGACACTCAGATCCTACACCTGACTGACTTACCTCCCTTGTACAACTGGAAGGACCTGTGCGAGGCTTCATTGGTAACCGTCACAGGACACACAGATCCTACACCTGACTGACTTACCTCCCTTGTACATCTGGAAGGACCTGTGTGAGGCTTCATTGGCAACCGGCCACAGGACACTCAGATCCTACACCTGACTGACTTACCTCCCTTGTACACTGGAAGGACCTGTGCGAGGCTTCATTGGCAACCGTCACAGGACACTCAGATCCTACACCTGACTGACTTACCTCCCTTGTACAACTGACTGGACCTGTGCGAGGCTTCATTGGCAACCGTGAACAGGACACTCAGATCCTACAACTGACTGACTTACCTCCCTTGTACAACTGGACGGACCTGTGCGAGGCTTCATTGGCAACCGTCACAGGACACACAGATCCTACACCTGACTGACTTACCTCCCTTGTACAACTGGAAGGACCTGTGCGAGGCTTCATTGGCAACCGTCACAGGACACTCAGATCCTACACCTGACTGACTTACCTCCCTTGTACAACTGGAAGGACCTGTGCGAGGCTTCATTGGCAACCGCCATAGGACACTCAGATCCTACACCTGACTGACTTACCTCCCTTGTACAACTGGAAGGACCTGTGCGAGGCTTCATTGGCAACCGTCACAGGACACACAGATCCTACACCTGACTGACTTACCTCCCTTGTACAACTGGAAGGACCTGTGCGAGGCTTCATTGGCACCCGTCACAGGACACACAGATCCTACACCTGACTGACTTACCTCCCTTGTACATCTGGAAGGACCTGTGCGAGGCTTCATTGGCAACCGTCACAGGACACTCAGATCCTACACCTGACTGACTTACCTCCCTTGTACACTGGAAGGACCTGTGCGAGGCTTCATTGGCAACAACAGGACACTCAGATCCTACAACTGACTGACTTACCTCCCTTGTACAACTGGGAAGGACCTGTGCGAGGCTTCATTGGCACCGTCACAGGACACACAGATCCTACACCTGACTGACTTACCTCCCTTGTACAACTGGAAGGACTGTGCGAGGCTTCATTGGCAACCGTCACAGGACACTCAGATCCTACACCTGACTGACTTACCTCCCTTGTACAACTGGAAGGACCTGCAGGCTTCAGGCTTCATTGGACAACAGATCCCACAGGACACACAGATCCTACAACCTGACTGACTTACTGACTGACTTCCCTTGTACAACTGGAAGGACCTGTGCGAGGCTTCATTGGCAACCGTCACAGGACACACAGATCCTACACCTGACTGACTTACCTCCCTTGTACAACTGGAAGGACCTTTGCGAGGCTTCATTGGTAACCGTCACAGGACACACAGATCCTACACCTGACTGACTTACCTCCCTTGTACATCTGGAAGGACCTGTGCGAGGCTTCATTGGCAACCGTCACAGGACACACAGATCCTACACCTGACTGACTTACCTCCCTTGTACAACTGGAAGGACCTGTGCGAGGCTTCATTGGCAACCGTCACAGGACACTCAGATCCTACACCTGACTGACTTACCTCCCTTGTACAACTGGAAGGACCTGTGCGAGGCTTCATTGGTAACCGTCACAGGACACACAGATCCTACACCTGACTGACTTACCTGCCTTGTACAACTGGAAGGACCTGTGCGAGGCTTCATTGGCAACCGTAACAGGACACTCAGATCCTACACCTGACTGACTTACCTCCCTTGTACAACTGGAAGGACCTGTGCGAGGCTTCATTGGCAACCGTCACAGGACACTCAGATCCTACACCTGACTGACTGACTTACCTCCCTTGTACAACTGGAAGGACCTGTGCGAGGCTTCATTGGCAACCGTCACAGGACACACAGATCCTACAACTGACTGACTTACCTCCCTTGTACAACTGGAAGGACCTGTGCGAGGCTTCATTGGCAACCGTCACAGGACACTCAGATCCTACACCTGACTGACTTACCTCCCTTGTACAACTGGAAGGACCTGTGCGAGGCTTCATTGGCAACCGTCACAGGACACTCAGATCCTACACCTGACTGACTTATCTCCCTTGTACATCTGGAAGGACCTGTGCGAGGCTTCATTGGCAACCGTCACAGGACACTCAGATCCTACACCTGACTGACTTACCTCCCTTGTACAAATGGAAGGACCTGTGCGAGGCGTCAATGGCAACAGACACAGGACCAACAGATCCTACACCTGACTGACTTACCTCCCTTGTACAACTGGAAGGACCTGTGCGAGGCTTCATTGGCAACCGTCACAGGACACTCAGATCCTACACCTGACTGACTTATCTCCCTTGTACATCTGGAAGGACCTGTGCGAGGCTTCATTGGCAACCGTCACAGGACACACAGATCCTACACCTGACTGACTTACCTCCCTTGTACAACTGGAAGGACCTGTGCGAGGCTTCATTGGCAACCGTCACAGGACACACAGATCCTACAACTGACTGACTTACCTCCCTTGTACAACTGGAAGGACCTGTGCGAGGCTTCATTGGCAACCGTCACAGGACACTCAGATCCTACACCTGACTGACTTACCTCCCTTGTACAACTGGAAGGACCTGTGCGAGGCTTCATTGGCAACCGTCACAGGACACTCAGATCCTACACCTGACTGACTTATCTCCCTTGTACATCTGGAAGGACCTGTGCGAGGCTTCATTGGCAACCGTCACAGGACACTCAGATCCTACACCTGACTGACTTACCTCCCTTGTACAACTGGAAGGACCTGTGCGAGGCGTCAATGGCAACAGACACAGGACCAACAGATCCTACACCTGACTGACTTACCTCCCTTGTACAACTGGAAGGACCTGTGCGAGGCTTCATTGGCAACCGTCACAGGACACTCAGATCCTACACCTGACTGACTTATCTCCCTTGTACATCTGGAAGGACCTGTGCGAGGCTTCATTGGCAACCGTCACAGGACACTCAGATCCTACACCTGACTGACTTACCTCCCTTGTACAACTGGAAGGACCTGTGCGAGGCGTCAATGGCAACAGACACAGGACCAACAGATCCTACAGCTGACTTTAGGTCCGACTCGCTGCCCTTTCCAATGTCGACGTGACCGGTGCAGTTTGCGACCACTTTGGAGCCCTCATATTTGCACATAGAATCCTGCAATGCAAATGTTCATGGTGTAACCACAGACTTACTGGAAGCCAGTCTAAGTAACCTTAGGCTCAGAATTATTCGTTACACTGCTATACTAACAAAACCTAGTAGAAGGTCGCGTCAGCTAACCTTTTGGACTGACCAATCAGAACACAGCTTACCAAATCGCGTAAGTTCACAATCGCACATACCGTTTGAACCTTTACCTAAAAAACTCGAACGATTCCGAATGCTATTTTCCGCACGATCGCTTCCGAGTGATACACTCAATGAGTAAACAGTCGCAGAAATTTTTGTTAATATTCAAGGATGTCATCTTGCGAAATTATAAGCAAATAGTAACCATGTCATTAGAAACCCATAAGCGTACTTTCTACATGTCAAATATCTGCGTTTTATGCGGATTTTCGTTTGTTGATAGATCTGTGTCAGCGACCAGGGAAGAGAAAATCCCAAAACCGCTTCGTAAGTCCTGCCGAACCCTAACAAGTAGTCGTTGTCTGATTGGTTAAATCCGTTCGGCCGTCTCGCGTTTGATTGGACGTTCATAGGTTGCTCAAAGGTTAGCTGATGCGACCTTCTACTAGGTTTTGTTAGACTCAATATAGCAGTGTAACGAATAATTCTGAGCCTAAGTTTACTTAGACTGTACTGGAAGCATAAGTGGGACCCCCTTCATTGCAGGAGAAGGGGTGTGGTGGCGTGTGGTAAGGTTTCCAAGCTTTCTGATGCACGAATATACTGAAATAATTACCCTACCCTCATGCTTTTATGTTTGGAAGGATCCTAGCCATTTTTACGACCCTTCTTGGAAAATCATCTTTCATGTTTATATATATTATGTTTTTTTAAAACAAAATGTGACTTCCAGCAAAATCAGCTTTAATTTTTCTATAAACCTCCTTTACAGAATGTCATATTTTGGGGTGTCCCTCCCCTGATGTACTCACTAATCACTAATTCCTTCTCCCCAATCCCTCTATTAATAATATATTACCACTCCCTATAATTGGGAACATCCACATCTGGTGGACTCACAACATAAGTATCAATTTTCAGAGCGCCCATTTCTCCGATATTAGTTTTCATGTAACCATCCCTACACAAAACCCAAGGGAGTCGATGGTAATCTGTCAGGCCAAATTTAGTCGAGCTTACGTGAGCCAAGTACGGGTAGGCGTTCTCCAGTTCAATGCCGTACTCTGCGATATAGTTGAAGGCGTAGTCCACCCATCCACCATTACAGCCGCTCTCGCTGAATGTCCGCGAACAGTCCACCAGCTGCTGCTCGCTGAGGGAGATGAGGCGACCCTTCTTACGGAAGTGTTGGCCTTCCAAGGAGCCAGTCTGCAGGGATATACACATAGTGTGTAAGAAGGGAATTTAAACTACAAGATTTTAAACTAGAATGTGTTATTCATATTACTAACCATTCCGTTCGGGGACATAACGCAATCAAATGATGTAGTGGTAGTGCTGTCGTAACGTGTATATAGGCATATATCAATAGTGTTGTAACGTGTATATAGGCATATATCAATAGTGTTGTAACGTGCATATAGGCATATACCAATAGTGTTGTAACGTGTATATAGGCATATATCAATAGTGTTGTAACGTATATACATTATATATGTGGTTATAATGTGACTGAAAACTCACCGTGCTGAATGCCCAACAGGAACCACACTGACCCTGAAAGAGACATCACGATCGTTATCCCCTGTGGCTACATGGCTATCGTGATACACATAATGAAATCCAGGTTATAACATGCATTAGCTAATTATTCTAACACGTATCCAGGTTCCCATGTGCAATTGAGATTGGTATGTTTTTTATAAAGAAAGACTTTGTAGCTGTGTTTAAACGAAACCTAAATGCACCTAAATGCAAAATTTAATGTAGACAAGGATTTTATAGAATGAAAGGATACGATTACAGCTTCTGGTAGCATACGGGCTTACGTTCATACCTTGTGATTCGACATAGAAAATACACGAACTACACACAAACAGGAAGAACAAAAGGTAAATAGAACCCCACCCCCACCCCCACCCACACACACACTTACCTGATCTTTGACAGGGGTGACATACCCACGAGTTCTCCAGTCAATCTGGTGCGGCAGTAGGTCGTCTGCCAGAGAGACGTGTACAGGTGCTCCGTGCGAAGTGCGCTGCATGCTGTGATCCAGATGCATGTAACTGCGAAACTCCCCATGTGTCTGATGGAGATGCACAAACATTACATAAACACAAATTGTGAGAGAACACGTAGCATAAGTATCCGCTGTACCGTGGTGGGGATCATTTGAAAGCATGTCGACATTTCTTTTCCAAATAAAGATAGTTCATGTATTGCACATTGCAGTATTGTTCGGCAAAGGAAAAATGTGCTCGCATGTAAAATAACATTTTGAAGAAAACTTACAAAGACAGATATACGTCAAATCCTCACACCCCTCTGTTCATGTTGGCATGTAATGAAATAATAATAATAATAATCGACCTTCCAGACAAATGATATTGGCTTTTGTCTTTATGTTTGGCAAACCAAGCTGGCAATTTCGTAACTGTTGGGACAATTTCCAATTGTTCAGATCGAGAGAGTGGGAGAAAAAGAATCTACCAATTGGCGTTGTGATTGTTTCCAAGTAGGGCCTGTGGCGGACAGGAAATATAGCTGCTAGCATTCAACATGCGTTAGATATTATACTTCCTTTGTAAAGTACAAATTCTAGTTCTTTGATGGGACATGGGATGAACACTCTCAGAGTGCTTGACATAGATAAACAATTCATTGCCGGCATTTACATTGATCGCACGGTACGAGGAGCGTTCAATAAGTAGTCGGCCTGACCTAGAAAATGATACAAATACCGCTGTTTTTATGTTTTATTTTTCTACATATAATCTGTCAACCTCAAGCAAATTGGTTTTGCTATGTTCCAGCCTCACGATCTCCATTTTGTTTTTACCTTGGTACCCCCGAAAAACGCAAAATCTGCAGTAAATGCCTCACAAACTTCAGGAAACAAAATATGCAAGCAACATGTTGTGTGTTTGAGATAGGCAGAAGTCCGCTAGATTCAAACTTAGATATTAAAGTGCATAAAAAAGCAATTTGAAACTACAATCGCTTGTTAAAGTGGCTTATGTTTACTGAAAGAGCTTGTTTTGGAAACACTACCCCTCTTCCCCCACCCCTTTCAGATGACGTAATCATAAGGACATATCTTATTCTAATGTTTTCACTTTCTAATACATAATGCCAAGGGTTCAAACTAAATACTGAATGGTCACACAAGTGTCATCTCTCAATATATTGTAAAGAGTGCCAGCTTGAATATCTGGACACAATGTTTTTGAAAGATTAAAATGGGGGTATCCTTAAAAACAGCCCCCGTCTAAATATAAATCAAGCAATCCAAATCTTTGACTGTTGATTATGACGGGAAGTCATCCAATACTATACTGAACATATTTTATATCATATTTTCTGAGGGCATACCATTATCCAAGAGGTACCAAATGACACCCCTATGTGTTGTGATGACTAATATGTCGTTAACCACATTACCCGCATATGTGATTTTTTTGGATATGGCTTTGCTAATGATTCCTTCAAAATAAAATGGAAGCTTTTCAAACATTAGACATCGAGAACATACACAGCAAAAATAACTTAGTTTCCGTTCTTGCGGAAACCTACTGGATATTGGGTAATGTAGGTTTCCGCTCAGTTTCAGTATCCGGAAACAGACAATGAGAGTTTCCGCATAGTTTACAAAACTGAAACTAACACTTGTAGGTTAGGCTGGCTTCTTTTTGAACGCCCCATCGTGTTAGTGTTCATGCAGATCAACCCCAGGATCTTGTTTCGACAATGCGAGACCCCACACAGCTGGTTCTGGCCAAGCACGTCGGTGTTTTGAACACAGTACCAATCATGGTAACATGTCGCCCTGAGTGAACTCTGTGACATGTTGCCCCAAGTTTTCTGTGGGATACGGATGCGGACAATCTAGATATAGAGTCAATATGGTGTTTTCGGTGTTTATATCTTGCCAAATGTTATTATTTAGACACACACCATTTGCATCAACATATGTTTTCTTGGTTCTTTGTCATTTTGGAAGACTGGTCTGTGTGTTTTCCTGTGATCGTTAGTTTCTACGTATATAGTCCGTCTCTGACTCTGGATTCTTGTCAATGTGAGGCACACTACACGTAAACACAGTCTCAATGGGAATCTGACTCATTCCATACCATGTCAGCGAACTGGTTGATGCCCAGGTAGAAGGAGATGGCGCCGTTCTTGTACAGTTTGTTGTGGTCCGCGATGTATAGCAGGTTGTCTTTGAAAGTCTCGTACCTTTGCTTCTCTGTCTCAAAGTCGCGGAATATTTTACCTGAAATAAGTCTCGACGTTACCGCCTTGGTTCAGCTTAGATTAATTATCACTGGGCGTTTTCTGGTCTGGAGGAAATATATACATATATACATAACCTTATACATAACTGAATAGAAAAAGTGTATAGGTCAGGCCAGAATCAAATAACAGGTGTATACTAACGCTTAGTCTGAATATATATAATTTTAATAGTAACAGATCATTTCATTTCAAATGAAAAGGAGCCCCAGTGAGATGAGAGATTCAGACTCTGTCACCCGATCCCTAGAGTGAGTCAGCTATCATGCAGATGAACGGACCCTGAAACTGAGGAAATCTAGACTATCTTTAGCTTTAGCATTGTACAAAGGACTGGACAGAAAGGAAAATAGCATGGTCGATGGACTGTGACATAAACTATGGGTTGCAGCTCGTGTAAAAGATTTGCTTGACAAGTTTGTGAAGGGAAATCTGCAGAGGTATTTGACCACACAGAACCAGCCTGCTGCACGCCGATAATCCACGTGGAGTCATAAACCGCAAGCAAACCCGTTCCCTTCGATCTTAAATATTAATTCATGTATTGTTAAATGTAAACAGAATAATAACTGCTACATTATGACTAACTTTCATATATCCAAGTTACTGTTATGCCGAACTGGTTATGAATGGTCACAAGTGTACTTATCGTTCACGTTTTATGGATCCATTTCTAAGTACCGTGTGTGTTCTTGAAAATCTGCCACTCTTCATAGACGGAGAAGGATGTCCTCGCTGCTGTCGACACCTGACGCCCAGGGCTACTCATGTTGAACTTCTCAACAAGCAGAAAGTGTCCCATGACACACGACAGATACATCGACACCAGTAGAAGGTACTGCATGTTGTCACTGCAGACGTTTCCTAAGGAGCTGGAACTAATGTAATATAAGATTGTCCTAAGATGCAGTGAGTTTTTCAATATACAGCACAGCGTGACGTCACTTTCTTATCTGTCACCTATTATGAAATTATACTCTGTTTGACTGGGATAAGACATCCCAATTTAATTAAGTACTTGCTCATTAGCCCTGTCCCTCTGTAGCTGATAGCAGCCAAAGTTGAGTTACATTGGCCCAAGTCGGTGTTGACGTTAGAGGACAAATATACTGGAAACTGCAAAGTTGCATCTTTTATGGGATTATTACTTACACAAGTTCAAAATCAGAAACGGCCATTTCTTGCCGACTTTATATAGTCTTTGAAAGGAAAGCAAGCCTAAATTGGTGAGGTCTCAGCCTCATTCGTGGATGAAAGAACGCTCTCATTTAATCTCGACTACCCGATTATCATGGCCAATCACAGTCCACCAGGGCACCGAGCATCATCATGGCCGACACGTGCCACCTCCAGACATTGTACCAGGCCGTGTGTAGTGCCTGCCAATCACAGTCCACCAGGGCACCCAGCATCATCATGGCCGACACGTGCCACCTCCAGACATTGTATCAGGCCGTGTGTAGTGCCGGCCAATCACAGTCCACCTGGGCACCCAGCATCATCATGGCCGACACGTGCCACCTCCAGACATTGTACCAGGCCGTGTGTAGTGCCGGCCAATCACAGTCCACCTGGGCACCCAGCATCATCATGGCCGACACGTGCCACCTCCAGACATTGTACCAGGCCGTGTGTAGTGCCGGCCAATCACAGTCCCACCTGGGCACCCAGCATCATCATGGCCGACACGTGCCACCTCCAGACATTGTATCAGGCCGTGTGTAGTGCCGGCCAATCACAGTCCACCTGGGCACCCAGCATCATCATGGCCGACACGTGCCACCTCCAGACATTGTACCAGGCCGTGTGTAGTGCCGGCCAATCACAGTCCACCTGGGCACCCAGCATCATCATGGCCGACACGTGCCACCTCCAGACATTGTACCAGGCCGTGTGTAGTGCCGGCCAATCACAGTCCACCTGGGCACCCAGCATCATCATGGCCGACACGTGCCACCTCCAGACATTGTATCAGGCCGTGTGTAGTGCCGGCCAATCACAGTCCACCTGGGCACCCAGCATCATCATGGCCGACACGTGCCACCTCCAGACATTGTACCAGGCCGTGTGTAGTGCCGGCCAATCACAGTCCACCAGGGCACCCAGCATCATCATGGCCGACACGTGCCACCTCCAGACATTGTACCAGGCCGTGTGTAGTGCCGGCCAATCACAGTCCACCAGGGCACCCAGCATCATCATGGCCGACACGTGCCACCTCCAGACAGTGTACCAGGCCGTGTGTAGTGCCTGCCAATCACAGTCCACCTGGGCACCCAGCATCATCATGGCCGACACGTGCCACCTCCAGACAGTGTACCAGGCCGTGTGTAGTGCCGGCCAATCACAGTCCACCTGGGCACCCAGCATCATCATGGCCGACACGTGCCACCTCCAGACATTGTACCAGGCCGTGTGTAGTGCCGGCCAATCACAGTCCACCAGGGCACCCAGCATCATCATGGCCGACACGTGCCACCTCCAGACATTGTACCAGGCCGTGTGTAGTGCCGGCCAATCACAGTCCACCAGGGCACCCAGCATCATCATGGCCGACACGTGCCACCTCCAGACATTGTACCAGGCCGTGTGTAGTGCCGGCCAATCACAGTCCACCTGGGCACCCAGCATCATCATGGCCGACACGTGCCACCTCCAGACATTGTACCAGGCCGTGTGTAGTGCCGGCCAATCACAGTCCACCAGGGCACCCAGCATCATCATGGCCGACACGTGCCACCTCCAGACATTGTACCAGGCCGTGTGTAGTGCCGGCCAATCACAGTCCACCAGGGCACCCAGCATCATCATGGCCGACACGTGCCACCTCCAGACATTGTACCAGGCCGTGTGTAGTGCCGGCCAATCACAGTCCACCAGGGCACCCAGCATCATCATGGCCGACACGTGCCACCTCCAGACATTGTACCAGGCCGTGTGTAGTGCCTGCCAATCACAGTCCACCAGGGCACCCAGCATCATCATGGCCGACACGTGCCACCTCCAGACATTGTACCAGGCCGTGTGTAGTGCCGGCCAATCACAGTCCACCAGGGCACCCAGCATCATCATGGCCGACACGTGCCACCTCCAGACATTGTACCAGGCCGTGTGTAGTGCCTGCCAATCACAGTCCACCAGGGCACCCAGCATCATCATGGCCGACACGTGCCACCTCCAGACATTGTACCAGGCCGTGTGTAGTGCCGGCCAATCACAGTCCACCTGGGCACCCAGCATCATCATGGCCGACACGTGCCACCTCCAGACATTGTACCAGGCCGTGTGTAGTGCCGGCCAATCACAGTCCACCTGGGCACCCAGCATCATCATGGCCGACACGTGCCACCTCCAGACATTGTACCAGGCCGTGTGTAGTGCCGGCCAATCACAGTCCACCTGGGCACCCAGCATCATCATGGCCGACACGTGCCACCTCCAGACAGTGTACCAGGCCGTGTGTAGTGCCGGCCAATCACAGTCCACCTGGGCACCCAGCATCATCATGGCCGACACGTGCCACCTCCAGACATTGTACCAGGCCGTGTGTAGTGCCGGCCAATCACAGTCCACCTGGGCACCCAGCATCATCATGGCCGACACGTGCCACCTCCAGACAGTGTACCAGGCCGTGTGTGGGTGCCGGCCAATCAGTCCACCAGGGCACCCAGCATCATCATGGCCGACACGTGCCACCTCCAGACATTGTATCAGGCCGTGTGTAGTGCCGGCCAATCACAGTCCACCAGGGCACCCAGCATCATCATGGCCGACACGTGCCACCTCCAGACATTGTACCAGGCCGTGTGTAGTGCCGGCCAATCACAGTCCACCTGGGCACCCAGCATCATCATGGCCGACACGTGCCACCTCCAGACATTGTACCAGGCCGTGTGTAGTGCCGGCCAATCACAGTCCACCTGGGCACCCAGCATCATCATGGCCGACACGTGCCACCTCCAGACATTGTACCAGGCCGTGTGTAGTGCCGGCCAATCACAGTCCACCAGGGCACCCAGCATCATCATGGCCGACACGTGCCACCTCCAGACATTGTACCAGGCCGTATCAGGTAGTGCCGGCCAATCACAGTCCACCTGGGCACCCAGCATCATCATGGCCGACACGTGCCACCTCCAGACATTGTATCAGGCCGTGTGTAGTGCCGGCCAATCACAGTCCACCTGGGCACCCAGCATCATCATGGCCGACACGTGCCACCTCCAGACATTGTATCAGGCCGTGTGTAGTGCCGGCCAATCACAGTCCACCTGGGCACCCAGCATCATCATGGCCGACACGTGCCACCTCCAGACATTGTATCAGGCCGTGTGTAGTGCCGGCCAATCACAGTCCACCTGGGCACCCAGCATCATCATGGCCGACACGTGCCACCTCCAGACAGTGTATCAGGCCGTGTGTAGTGCCGGCCAATCACAGTCCACCAGGGCACCCAGCATCATCATGGCCGACACGTGCCACCTCCAGACAGTGTACCAGGCCGTGTGTAGTGCCGGCCAATCACAGTCCACAAAACACATTGCCTCCTTCATCCTCTGCATTACAAATACAGCATACTTTGCTAGGTTACTCTCTGTTGACCAGCAATACATGTAAGGCAATTAAAAGCCATTAGCTTAACCTTCCGTGCTATGGACGCCCTAGACAGATGTTATCGGTGCATGTCAGTGAAGCAACGACACGGAATATTTAGATCGGGAGTATTTGTGTCATTCAAGCGTAGGAGACTGGCTGTCAGTTAATTATTACCATCCTCTTGATAAGATGGAAAGAACCCCTACTAGAGACTGGGTGATCTCTGTTTAACCCTGTGGGAGCAGGATCTACCTGGGTGGGATCAAAATACAGAAAGTCAGGTAACACATTACACAGGCGACAGTTATCAGGAGCTGCTGGAATTATTTTAAGTCACAGTGCACTGAGGGCTTTCTGTACGGGGACAGGAGAAAGAAGGGGGACACTACCTCGAGACAGCATTCAGGATTAACCAGAGGGCTCTAAAGCCCCGCTTCTACTCGAGGTTCAAAACGGTGATATCCAGGCATCACAATGGGAAGTTTCTGCCTGACATTTACAATCTGTAGTAGAAGGATTTCCTACATTGTTATCTTACCTATGACCTTCTTATGTGTGCTAAATACTATATCACTGTGAATTGTTATTATTGTAGCTTAGTTTCAAAATCCACTGTGCAAATGTGAAGAAGGTTAAGGAGGTAATCTATGCTGTCATAAAATTATGCATGGTTTTTGAATTAACTGCAGTGCCCTGATGCCCTGTGGATTGTATTTTGTATCATTCATGCATCTACCTTATTGTACTTATGTTGTGGTAGCCGGGGGTCTAGTATACTGAATACAATGGTTTGTCCGCAATGTGACATTGGCACTGTAGCTTTCCCAAGGTTGTCAGCAGCAACCTGCAGCAACCAATACAGGACCAGACGTGTCCTGTTACGGGTGTTCGGATATCTGATAGTGAAAGTATTAGTTTCAGATAATTATGTTGCTAACAATACTTTAAACGCATTTCCATTCGCAACCAGGAACGTAAACAATGTTCACCCATACTTGCTTGCAGCTTGTTTGTATTTACGATTTCCTTCTTATCAAGGAAGCTATAACATTCAGACAAGGAAGTATTTCGGTGAGTAAATATCAATTCGTTATAAGGTTTAGCTGGCACTGATCAAAGTTTAAACCACTAGGGTAACTTCTATTCATATAAAAGCCCCAGAAAACGTTTTACAAGAAGACGTCATGGATACCTTGATAAGCACATTGTTTCTTTGTTTCTAAAAAGACACTGTATTCACATGTGAAGCATGCCGAGGAAGTAGTGACATAAAACTGCTTACATAGGTTAGAACATGCCCAGTCCGTCCTCCTCGCTCCTATAAATACCGCTACCTACCTCGCTGTATACACCCAGTCTGTGATCCTCTCTCTTACAGATACCTACCTCGCTGTATACATCCAGTCTGTGATCCTCTCTCTTACAGATACCTACCTCGCTGTATACATCCAGTCTGTGATCCTCTCTCTTACAGATACCTACATCGCTATATACACCCAGTATGTGATCCCCTCTCTTACAGATACCTACCTCGCTGTATACACCCAGTGTGTGATCCTCTCTCTTACAGATACCTACCTCGCTGTATACACCCAGTCTGTGATCCTCTCTCTTACAGATACCTACCTCGCTGTATACACCCAGTCTGTGATCCTCTCTCTCACTGTATACACCCAGTCTGTGAGACACTCTCTTACACCCAGTCTGCCCTCGCTATCGACTCCGATATTATATCTACTTCCTTGATGGGTTCAAACAGTCATGATTTGACAACCGGATTACTATGGAATCATAATGGGGACATCGTTGCCTTATCTCACCGTCGCGTTATTGCACTTAAAAAACAAACAAAAGTAATACAATTAGGTAAAGTGCTAAAATGCAAACAATGTCACGCTGTCGCACAGCTGTCTGCACTTAGAAGCATCTATAAAGGGCTTTAAAATGCGTCACATCGCGACAGCACGACATATTTTAAGGGAACTGATGAGACTGCCAATAACACAGGCCGGGCCATCGGGTAAAACTGAAAAGGGATTGCATATAACTAAATCTACAGAGATGCGCACTAGTACACTTCCGTCGTCAACTCCGTCGTCCACCAATGTATAGCTTTCCCCAAGTTTGAAACAAAATGCATAATATTTAACAATGAAATAACTGCATAAGATAGGTACCCTCAGATGGCCTTATGCTGTGCTATGGAAGTATCGGGTACCCTTAGACGGACTTATGTTGTCTTATGGAAGCAGCGGGAACCCTAAGACCGACTTATTTCAATTCAGTTCTTTTATTCGGTATAAAGGCCAACGGCCTATGTACAACATAATACAAAATAATCATTATAATGACAGATCGGAATTTCTGAGAAATAGAGCTTCCTTAATAAATTTTTGCAACATGTAGCAAAATAGTTATCTTATTACATGTTAAAAGAATTTTAAACTTAAACATCGTGGGTGAATTACAATAATATACTCTCCCAAAAAAGAAACGCATATAGGATTTCAACTGCATTTTTATGGGTTTTTTTAAACATCTTTTAGGCTTTATGAGTCAATGAAATAAAGGGAAATTGCACACTGGGAATGCAGACTTATCCGTCTTTGGCACCAACTCGAGGAAAGTCAGTTTGAGTGTCACATGGAGACGTGTGGTGGTGCTGAAGTCAATACCTCGTGTGACCACCGTGGGCATCCAGAACTGCACGGCATCGCCTCGGCATCGAACGAATAAGTCTCAGAATCTCGTGTTGCCCAATAGCAGCCCACTCTGCCTGGAGTGCCTGTGCGAGTTGCTGAAGTGTCTGGGGCTGAGGGTTACGGCGTCGCACCCGTCTGTCCAGGGCATCCCACAGATGTTCGATCGGGTTTAAGTCCGGTGATCTTGAGGGCCAGGGGAGCACATTGATGTTGTGGTTCTGGAGGAAGTCTCTAGTGTGACGTGCTTTGTGGGGCCTGGCATTGTCCTGTTGAAACAACTCCCTCTGGCGATCAATGACTGGAAGGAGGTGTGGGCGTAGGATTTCGTCACAGTACTGTTGAGCTGTCAGGTTGCCCTGGATCATCACCAAATCACTTCTCCTACGGCAGGTGATCGCTCCCCACATCATAACACTCCCCCGGCCGAATCTGTCCACCTTGGGAACGCAAGCGTCGGCGAGACGTTCACGTCGACGTCTGTACACCCGCATTCTTCCATCGCGTTGTTCCAATAGAAATCGTGATTCATCACTGAACCAGATTCTACGCCAATTCGGTAGGTTCCAGGTCTGAACGTTGGTGCACCATTGAACTAGATGTCGACGATGTTGTTGTGGAAGCACAGGGCCAACATAAGGTCTTCTGGCACGTAAACCAACCTCTCTCAATCTGTTCCTGACGGTCCTCAATCCGGGTATTTGTCGAGCGGTACTGGTCGCCGTAGCTGTTCGATGACGCAGGTGATGTACCCGGATGTAGCGACCCTGCTCCGTAGTGGTCGCTCGAGGTCGCCCATTACGAGGGGCGTCTGCTCCCGCATTCTGCCGGCGATATCTCTGCCAGAGCTGTGAAATGGTGATTTGGTGAACATTCATTCGTCGGGCAACTGCACGTTGAGACTGGCCAGCTTCAAGCAAACCAATGGCGACACTTAGACGTGGCATTTTGCGTTCGTCAACAATATTCCAAATACAGTGAATAATCGACAGACAGCGATCAACCTTTTATACCCATCATTGAGACTATCTGATCCCCAACTTTCACGTGCATTGCATGTGAATTGTGTATTCTGTGACACTACACGCCGAAATTGAAAATCGTGCTGTTAAATACGGGTATTTTACGGATGGTGCGTTTTGTTGTGATGTTTCAAAACATAAACACCATAGGACTCATAAACAGAGCAAAACCTTTTGTACAATGAATCACGTTTTAATTCATTGCTACATGAAATTGCTATTTTCATGATGCGTTTCTTTTTTGGGAGGGTATATCTTGGTATATATTTTGATCTGAGATAGTCATACAATGGACATTTTAGAAGGAAGTGATATTTATCTTCTACACAACCTAAAGCACAAAGTGTACATATTCTATTACTGCGGGGAATGCCACCCCGTCTGCCAATATTACCATTAAAGGAAGCTCACACATTCGTAATAAACATACAAGTCTTCTGTATTCTCTTTCTGGGATAGCACACAAATGATATTCAACTGACAAAAGAGATTTATATTCTTTATAATTACATAATTTACTTGAATCACAAATGTTAGAGTACCAATTTTGTTTATTGCAGTCTTTAAGTCTTTGTACAAAAGTATTAAGAAACATGTTTTTATCACCCACTTCATGTGTGATCCACACTAAACCAAAGCCATAACTAAATAGTAAGTGTTTAACCTTTGAAGCCCAAGTTATACGATTACAAATCATCTAATGATTTACATAATAAATAGCATTGTTTTGGATATCTAAAAGTTGGCATTGCTAACAATTTTAACCAAATGTAATACATCGTTTATGATAATCAATAAACAGACCATGTCTACCGCATTCACCCAAAGCAGCATCATTTGAGACATAATACCCAACACCTAAAACATATTTACAAAACTTAATCTGAAAACGTTCAACATATTGATTTTGAGAAAATCCCCATACCTCACTGGAATAAAGTAAAATTGGTTTTATCTGTGTATCAAATATCTTAAATAAAACAGTGGGAGAAATATTCTTTAACTTATACTGTAGGTGTTTAACTGAAAATATAGCCTTATTGGCTTTCTGAACAAGAACATTAATTGCTTTTGACCAACATAATCTTTTAGAAAATGCAATTCCCAGGTAATTATAATACTTTGATATCTTAACCTGATCACTTCCAAACATCCATTTTTCTGTTCCCCTTAGCTTACCACCGTTTCTAAACACTAATATCTCTGTCTTATCTAGATTAACATTTAATCCCCATTTAATACTATACTGCTTAAGTACATCAAGTTTTCTCTGCAAACCAATAACACTGTTATCAAACACACACACGGCATCTGCATAAAATACCAACAATATATCCATAAATTCTTGACCTACAAAAATACCCCTAACATTGGATTCATACAACATATTTTCAAATTCTACCACAAACAATGAGAACAGCAAGGAGCTGAGTACACATCCCTGTTTCACACCACTCAATGTATCAAAATAATTGGATATTGACAAATTAGTTATTTTAACAACAGATTTTACATTTGCATACATATCAAACAAAACCTTAAATAGTTTACCATGAATGCCCCTTTTCAACACAGAGTACCATAATAGTTTTCTATTAATAGAATCAAATGGTTTTTTTTTTAAATCAACAAACAAGCAGTAAAACATACTTTTGTACTAAACATTGTAAAATAAAAATGTTGTCTAGAGTGCTGTAACCAGCTCTAAACCCTAATTACAACAGCTGTTAGACAGCATGTTAACCTGTTCCTCCTCGTGTCGTTCTTTCTTCAGACGACATAGATGTCGATACAAGTTTCTTAATAAACGAAATTCAGTCCAATATAAAGAGATGCCAGTTTTCCTAAACATGTCCAAGTTTGAATATTTAAGCTGTTTCAAGTGTCTACACTCCTCGTCATACCAGTAAGCACTACGAGGTTGAGAGGACAAACCTCCGTGGACTCGCATACCTACCTGTTCTGCACTACGGGTTATACAGGAAGCTAGTTTGGAGACAGCGTCGTCCACACTCCTCAGAACATCGCTTGTGAAGTCATGAATACCATAAGATGACAATTCACATGTGAAGCTACCTGAATAATCGTATATCTTTTCATCCTTCCATTTACGTTTAAGAACAGAAATTTCTTCGTTATCACTCACGTCAACTTTGTCACGCTGTATTTTCGTTCGAAAGGTCAATAGAATCGGCAGATGGTCCGATTCACATCGGGTATCAGTCTGAAAGTCATGATCTATTTCAAACAGATCAGAGGAACATAAGCAGTAATCACCAAGGCTGGTGCCACTGGCAGTATAACATGTCATATCACCGTTAGGATCAGATTCACATCGGCCATTCATCATGTGAACATTGAACGAACAAGAGAGGTCTATTAAATCTGTACCGTAAGAATTCACAATGTTATCTTTGCTTTTCCTAGGTGTTTGAAAACTGTCAGAGATGTATTCCATATCTTCGAGAATCGGAATGTGTTTATCATCATCACGTAGAATATAGTCTCTCAGGTTCCCAGTCCTCGCATTCAGATCACCCATGATGATGTACCGAGTGTCCGAAATGTCAATGTCGGATAAACACGACAATAAGGAGTGTTCCAAATAGTCCAATCCTTTCAACAATCTAGAATCACTCTTTACTTATGTTGTCTAATGGAAGCGTTGGGTACCCTTGGACGGACTTATGTTGTCTTGTGGAAAGCAGCGGGTACCCTAAGACGGACTTATGTTGTCTTATGGAAGCGGTGGGTACCAGCGTCTACATGGGGTACTGCAAGTATCTCAGTACTACTAAAGCTACCAAACCTTTCTGCTGTTGAACTCCATTCTGATTTCATATATTTTTACAAAGCGTACCCTTTGTTTTATTGATATATTTTGGCGGGCACATGACCAGAACCGTCTACAGTGTTTACTGGAGTATGAGTCAATGCTGAAGATGTAACACGTGTCATTTGACTTAACGACCATAGAACCGGTAACTCAGGAACATTGTCATTGTTAGCAGTTTATGTACTTCAAATACAGCACATGTGTATAGTGTCTCTTATATACAGGTGGTATTGTTTCCTTCCGTGCTGTTATTTACTGACAATAATGTGCACAGATGTTTCTCTCTATGAGTAAAGAGGAACAATTCAGACAGACAGACAGACAGACAGACGTTTTAATCAGTAAAGAGTCCTTCGTCCCATAATACAATCAGATGACATTGTATTTAATAACAGTGAGCAGTTTGACTTCACCGCTCTACATCCTGGAGTTAACCAATGTCTGCACATGATATAAGTATCAACCAACATTCTATATAACATCATCATTCTTGTTTTGCAAAAGATTTACAACTGAGCAATAAGCATATGGTTCTGTGTTGAACTTTGTTCTGTATTTATGCAATCTGTTCTGGTTGTCCCCACTTGCGCCTGTGCGACAGTCCGGCGTTGTCCGCTTAGGGGTCGCTCATACATGAGCACACACAGTGAGTACATGTATAACTGAGCTTACTCGTACGGTAGTGCTAGTATATATCCTTTCCTAGAGCGTGCACAAATGTACCTATTTCACAAGCAGAACTCAATAGAAATGGAATCACGGGTATATAGATAATCTGCACTGATATGTTTGCTATCTGATCATCGTTCAACTGAAATGTCCATTATTATTCCGTTTGCAAAATTTAACAAAGTGACAAACTCTGATAATCCTTCCACACTTGGAGGCGTTCCCTGAACGTAAACACCTGACGTCAGCTTTGCCGTGTGTGACTGTAGTTAGCTGAGAGTTTATATTTCGCGCGCATCTGCTGGGCACGTGATCAGCTGATCCAGTGAACCTTATCAACACCTGTCACCAGTGACTGCCTCAGTCGCTCTTTTCTTGTTATAGCAATGGGTGGAGGCGTCAGTTTTCCCGTGGTTCCCCTGTCTCGCGACCGTGTTGTACTGGTGACCGGTGGAAACACAGGTAAGAAGAGGGGCTACACTCCCATGTACCACCCATTCTTCCTTGTCTTTCAGCGTCACAAAAAGTTACTGCTCACGTGGCTTCACGTGCACGATGTAATTGTTAGCGTGCGTGACGAGGTGAAGGTTATTTATATAAAGGTTTAGAAACCTATATTTAATCTAGTATTGAAATTGGTTTCAGAGAACTTTTACTCAAGTCATCGTAAGTGCAGGACATTGACTCGTTTAATTCCAATGTTTCACCAAGTTGCGTTGTTTAGAGAAAGCAAAGACGTTTGCCCTGACAGACGCGCGTGTCTTGTGTCACGAGAGGAGGTGCTGACAGGAGTTACTTCCCTTCCATAACAAATACCATGATGGATGAGAGCAATTATGAAATGTACGAGATAATTATACCTGTGCATTGTAAGCATATGATGAAATGTCATCACCAACAGCACTCTCCCGAGATATACAGGGTTTTTTAAACTGAGGGAAAACGGGCCCTTAAGATTTCCATCCACAATACAAACTTAATTTGGTCCAATTGTGTGCAGGTCTGGGGTACGAGGCAGCTAAACACATCGCCATGATGGGAGCCTCTGTCGTCATAGCCTGCAGATCACAGACCAGGGCGACTCAGGTGAGTTACAACAGCCGCCCACTACGGAAATATCTCACTCTTAAATCAAAGGATAACTCTGAAAACGTCGAAAATGAATGCACAGTGTTTTCGTTTACTCTCCGAAATTCCGCAAATATGTTTGTGTTAAAACTCGGAGTATATTGTAACTGTAGTCTCACATTTTGGTGCGTGTGCGTGTGTGTGTGTGTGTGCGTGCGTGCGTGTGTGTACACGAGTGTGTTTACTTGTTTGTCTTTGGTGAGTCAGAAATAACCTGCCTGGGTAATACCTAACACTGAAATACTCTAAATGATGGGAAATGTACAATATTTAAGATAAGAGTTGAATGACCTATGATTATGAATATATAATGTTTTGAAACATGTAGCTATTTAATTAAGGTACTTAAACCATCTCTCACTTCTTAATATATATCACCATGGGTGTAAAGTGAAATAGATTTGGAAAGCCAAAGAAATCGTCAGAGAAAAATTATCAATCGGAAGCGCTGTAGCCGTCATGTGAATAAACGTACGTGTGTGGATTTAAATCTATCACCACGCATGGCCCTATTTCTTTTTGGAGACTGTTATATGTATGCAGCATAATTCTGTTAACTATGTACTTTGTAGGCCTACTGTAAGAATGACGATATATATTATTCACGATTAATAGATCGATGCTCATGCTCACTGGATTGTCTGGTTCAGACTCGATTATTTACAAATCAACTCCATGTAAGTGGAATGTTGCAACAAACAAACAAACAAATGACGATTTTAAACAATTACATATTGATATAACGAACTTTAGTACTCGGATTTATTTTTTATCGAAGTACTTGTTTGTTGTAATTATGCACATACATGTAGTTTTCTTGGGACGAGAGGTGACGATTTTGTCAGCCCTTACAATTACAGCCTGAAAATGTATGAAGAACTATGATATCTGCATTTCAATAGCCGCGGAATGATGTGGACGAGAAAGCATGGTGGTCGAGAGGGGACACCGTTTTGTAACCTTCAGCTACGGCCGCGAGAAAGCCATAACACGAGATGAGAAAGCGATAGCACGAGACGAGATTGTATATTCCTTTCTCGTCTTGTGATCTCGCTTTCTCGCGGCATCATATCTTCTCCACCGCTATGTCTGCAGGATGAAAAGTATACCCATGAGCATGCAAGAAGGATCACCTGAACTCAAAGTCCAAGTCAAAACATTGAATACACAACAGTCTCGTTTCCTGTTGACTGGGTCCCGTCCTATTGCGCAACTTAGTACAACAACCAGTCCAGAATTTTGAGACCAATTCATTTAACTGGATACATAATTAATAATCAGTATTATTTGATACATCAAAGTACTTGTATAATGCAACACTACGCTACCTCTAATCCTTGCAAACACATCGTGCAACGTGCTCTGTCGTACAGCGAGCTCTGACAAACGGAAACCTGGAAATCGTGGAAATCTCAAAACGAGGCTCTCCCGCTAGAAAGGTTTAGCGGTCTGGTACGTACTTGATATGACATCAATCACATTGTGAGTTACAGAACTACACTGAATAAGCGCATAACATAACAGGTGTAACCAGTGAGCCAGATGCATTATGAATCACTTTACGACCTCATCAAACAGGGTCAGTCTGTGACGTCTTAGTTAAGGTCATGCTGTCTACACCTCGCCATAAAATATAGCAAGACGATGTCATTAAAGTTTAAAATTAAAATTCATTTGTAAATACCATTTTCTTATGAAACAAGGATTTGGAATTCAGTGTAACCATAGTTGTTTGTGATGTCTATTTTCACTTTCACACGAGAAAATTCGGATCGGCTGAAAAGTAGGTCATTGTCTGAATAGGTTAATGAGACTCATGTTTCGGTTTGATTATTAATAATAGTGTTCCAAACATGGATTATTAGAATGCACTTGTAAAGCACGTGCTTCACACTATTTCTCAAAAGCTATGGATGACACATTGGGCGATACATTTCTCTGAACTGATTTAAAGAACGACAGTACTAATTATTTTCTTGACATGGCAAGACGTTGACTTCAGAATTGAGAACAGACACAATGGTTAGTTATTGGCATGCATGACGCAGGGATGTACTGTCGCAACATTGGTGTTAACTTAAACATGAACTACCACGGAAACGTGTGGCCACTGATGAAGTAAGGGATCGTCCAAGACCTGGAAGACCAATGTCCGTGATGACCGCAAGACGCAGTCTTATGACCCATGCCGAAGAACTGCGTCGTCAACGAAGATATGAACACCGCAAGTGTTGGGGGAATTAGCTGGCTTGGCTTGAGGTTCTCCTATACCAACCCACACACAACACAAGACCTGAGTAAATAAACAACGAATTTATTACACAGCCTCTGAATGATTTGTGACTGTGTGTCGTCCCTATTTACACCTGGTCCAGCTATCATAGATAAATGCATTTACTGAAAAAAACTGACGAAAAAGTTGTTATAGTGAATGTCAGTTGCATGCTTTATCTAAATCCTATTAACTCGACTGACGATAAGGTGGCTACTGCGAAGTTAAATCACTCTATCTTGACAGGATTATATATTTGATAAACGTATTGATGACAAGGGTGTTGATGGGTGAAGTTCACTGTGAATTAGATCAGCTTATCACTATCTGCCGACACAGTACAAGATACTGGTCTCGGACGTTCGTTATCACTGTGACCCTTGGCAGCTTGAAGATTGTGATCAGTTAGTCAGTTTTCAACAAGAAGACATGGCCATCAATATCCCCCGCCACAGTGTTCTGTTCCTATTTGGTTCCTGTTGTTTAACTCCACCACGACATTCATGTCCTGAAAACACATGCCACATTTTACCCGTGAAGGTCCGGGTTAGAATGAACCTTCAGTAACCCATGCTTGTCGTAAGAGGCGACTAACGGGGTCAGGCTCGCTGGCTTGATTGACACATGTCATCGGTTCCCAATTGCGCAGATTGATGCTCATGCTGTTGATCACTGGGTTATCTGGTCCAGACTCGATTATTTACAGACCGCCGCCATATAGCTGGAATGTTGCTGAGTGCGGCGTAAAACTGAACTCACTCTCTCACTCACACCACATTTGTTTTCTCTATTTATAACAGAGAAAATCTGTCTCCGTTGGGGATACCGTGCAGGAAATGCATGACAAGGGCCATAACTCTGTAACAAATTATAACACGGTTTCCGGTTTCGAAACATATACCGTAAGAAAATGTTTGTAAGACGTGTGCGTTTCCTCCATGTTTATAAAGAGTTGAAGTCCATCTCTCCATTGATAGCAACCGAAGGAGGCAGCGGCTCCGAGAAAACATGGCTTAGGGTTCATTGGTCTGATGAAAGTCGCTATCTGAGGAGTGAATGAATTTAGTTTTACGCCGCTTTTAGCAATATCGCGGGGACACAAGACATGGGCTTCACGCATTGTACCCATGTGGGAAATCGAACCCGGGTCTTCGGCGCGACGAGCGAACGCTTTAACCACTAGGCAACCCCACCACCCCCGTTATCTGAAGAGACGTCGTAACGAGGCATATCACAAGGAGATGATCCATGCAGCGGAACCCTTTGGCGGTGGCTCAGTGATGGTGTGGGGTGTAGTTTCAGTACCAGTGACAGCACTTGGGACACTGATCATGGTTATCAGCAGGAAGTACTGGATACCGTAAGCGTGCCACATTTTGATAACCATTCCCGTGCCAGCCGTGTGATACTCATGGATGACCTCATGGTTCATCGCGATAGAAACGTTACCTGTTCAAACTCCGACGCTGCAAATTCGATTGTCAGTACGAGTTATGGCTAACACCAGGTACTGATGTGGTCGCCATTGGTGGTTCATGCAACAACAACTATAACTTTGTGACAATCAGAGAGGTGGTTTAGTCATGGTGACCAGATTGCAAGGAAGTTGTTACGAAATTTAAATTTCAGTTTTGTTTTTGTTTAAAATATGTTACAGTCACAATGTATATGCGCAGCATTTGGTTTCCAAAGCATATGCAACAACATAGAGTGTGTCTTTACTTACCATACGAACAAGTGCGAGGTGCTTGTATTGTAGGCACTTTGGTGGGATATGGTGTTTAACAGGGAGTATTGGACATGTTTGCCCAGTTCTGCCAATATTAATGAAATAACAGCAGCTCATCACAGCCATGTGCAGGTCATGGCTGGTTTGCCACGGAGTTTAACATTGTGGATGAGGTGCTGGGAACTGCAGACGGACCATACATGTACCGTAATACGACACAGGTCTGCCTGACAGTCAGTAGTATATATACACTGCATTATCGTTGTAAGAGGACAGGACCCTCGGACAGCAGCTAGGCAAGTGGGCTGACGATCGCCTCTGTGATGCTGCCTGATCGTTGCTGCACTATCATGAAATTGTATATTCATGATATTTCGACGGCGAATAAAATGTTGTGAACACGTTAATGGACTTTTGTATTTGAAGAGACAGATATCCCAACCTTAAACCAGCCCGGGATACTTGATTAATGCTTATGTGCATAGATACAAGTACATTTACAAGTATACTTTACAGGTCAAAAGATACCATGGAAGTTGGTAAAAAAACTTCAAGGGCAACAAACTCGTGAAGATCCGGGTTAGAATTTGTCTTCCGTAACGCATGCTTGTCGTAAGAGGCGACTTACGGGATCGGGTGATCAGGCTCGCTGAATTGGTTAACACTTGTTATCGTATCCCAATTGTGTAGATTGATGCTCATGCCGTTGATCACCGGATTGTCTGGTCCAGATTCGAATATTTACAGACCGCCGCCATAACTGGAATATTGCTGAGTGCAGCGTAAAACAACAAACCAACCAATCAAGGGGAGCCCAATTATGGCATCTGTAGTATAACGTCATATACTCCTCAAACAATTGTTAATAAGTAGACGGCGTGTTGCAATATCCATCACCCATAACAGGTATATATTTAGATATTAACCTGATATATTTAGAATATGACCCTGACTCGCCACGCGCTGACGTCGTGATGATTCTCCTAAACAGCTTTTTATTCTCTGAAATACTTGGATTTTTTTACACAAACGGCTGGCATTTGAACAACACTATGTTTAAGTGCATGTCAGAGACCATCTTACAAGACACTGTTAATGTTCGAAAGAAACACAACAAGAAGACAAAGTCATCAATATCCCCCCGCAACGGCAAAATACTCTTTATGAATATGTCTACTAGTTATGATTATGTCAAATGTTTCGGAGTGTATACAGCAAAGTGGAAGGAGAGTATTGAAAGGTTTTTAAGATCTGCTCCAGGAAGGAGCACTACCACCAAATTCAGTTGAAGCCTAACTTGTTACCATGGAAATGCAACAAGATGACAACCTCATAGTCACAGCCTAAGTCATGTTTCCATGGAAACAGCCAAAAATATGATTCACATCTGGGTCTAACCCCCATAAGGCACATCTAGGGATCATGCTTGATATGTGTACCATGTTTGATGAAGCTAGCACGTGTAGTTTAGGAGATCTGCTCCGGACAAAATAACATCCTCATAGTCACAGCCTAAGTCACGTTTCCATGGAAACCACAAAAATAAAATTCGCATCTGGGTCTAACCCCAAAAGGCACATCTAGGGATCATGGTTGACATGTGTACCAAGTTTGGTTAAGCTATCACAAATAGTTTAGGAGATATGCTTCGGACAAAGTGTGACGGACGCACGGACGGACGGAACTCGTTTCTTTATCCCCCGCAACTTAGTTGTTGCGGGGGATAAAAAGGCCAATGCGATTCTGTTCCAATTTCTAGGCCATACAACGGATGAACGAGGAGTTCAGAGCTTCGAAAGAAGCCGGAACACTCCCAGAGGGCATCAGCCAAACCGGAAGTTTGGCAGTAGATTTTATGGAACTTGATCTGGCGTCCCTTAAGTCCACCATGGCATTCATTGAGGCCTTCAAGGCATCCGGCCGCAAGCTGCACGTACTTCTATGTAATGCTGGTGTGGCAATGTTGCCCAGAGGTAAGCTAGATCCCTATTGTTTATAACAACAGACAGACTACGTATTCAGCCCACTGCATAATAAGTGCCACAGTAACGCTGCCACCCCGGGGGATATTTTTTGGCGGTTTCTGTAGGTATTAAACGTAAAAAGAACCCCTCTGCACACAGTTTAAATACGGATAACGAATTTACGCAAAGAATGTAGACTCAACTCCATTAACAATTAACGGAGAAAATATATATTGAAATCCATGCGTATACATCATATACAGTTTATACATCTCAATACTAACCTAACAGTCTCCTTATATTATATCATTATTATCTGATTTATCTAAAATCTGCCGACAATAGTAGGGAATCAGTGACGCAGTTCAGCAAAATACTGCAGCACAAGACCCGCTCAGTTTGTCATCATGGTCAGCCATTAAAGATATGTACAGTCGTCCGCAAGTGGGCGTGGCCGAATGTTTCTTCGGTTTATGGAAACACCGTCAGAACAAATTGGATTGGATTACGAAACAAATGATCCTTGCGAATTATTGATTTACTGAAGTTAGTCGAGAAAGTCATTGTTGTAGTTTATTAGCGTGACCGATGTGTCTTGTGATCACTTAACAGGGAAACTAAATCTCAAAGCATGGATGACCAAGTGATAAAGAGCAGTGTTGGCGTGGCGCCATCTAGTGTTCCTCTTCCAGCCACTGGGTATAACAAGGTGTTTGTATGAGTAATAATGAACACGTGCTTTCAGGTTTCACAGAAGATGGCCATGAAACAATGTTCCAGGTATGTAGATTCGTGTAGCTTCAGCGCCACACTTCCGCACAAACACATTTTAGGTTCATAGTCATCATTTTAGATTTCTACTTCTCGGATAAGAATGGGGAAATTGATATACAAGCCTCTGTTATGAAGGTGAACTATTTGGGCCATTTCCTGATCATTGCTCACCTGGTGCCTACAATGAAGACCTCAGGTAGCGACTGCCGCATCATCTTCACATCCAGCCAAGCCCATATGTACAGCGAGAGGGAGTTCAGGGAGTCCAAGGTCAAGGCCGAGGATCCCGCGGTATATGGAAGGATGCTCAACTATGGTACCTCCAAACTGTTTCAGGTACCCACATATGTAATTACTGATTACGTTGTTTGGGTGTGTGTCAGATTGTCGAAAAAACATATCACATCAGTAAGATTTGAGTTGAATTTCATTGCTTACATGAAATGTTTTGCTACTACTCAGATCCACCATATGTTTTGTCTGTCGCGGAGACTGAAGGGCACGGACATTTCGGTCACTTGTCTGCATCCGGGTATTGTGCGGACTGAAGTTACACGGAGCTTCACTGACAGTACAGCACTTGCAGCTATGTTTGGAACATTTAGAATGCTTGGTCAGTAATAGCCATATTGTCGTTAATGGCTTAATGCGCATATGCAACGCGCAAGAATATGTATGAATATTATTATCATCTGAATTAACGTTAACACTGAGTTATTATAGGAACACATGTACAGTTCTCGAAATATACGTCTACTTTGCCAGACCATATTAAAGTGTATACAGATAGCCCCGGGTCTACTGTCGCTAGTGTTCCAAGTGTCTTCCTCACAGAACGTCGTTGCATCAACAACCAAAGAAGGGTCCATGTGAACAACATGAACGTGGTTGTTACGTGTGCAGGTTTTTTCTATAGTAATATTATACTTCCTACTTTGAGGTTTTTGGTTTGTGGGTGGTTGGTTCCACCAAAACAGACACAAAGGGTGACATTGACAGGGGCATGCGATCTGGGAGCCGCTCCACGAAACGATCGCAAATCTGTGATGAAGTATGAGGATTACGATCGTCTCAGCGCTCAAGTTTACATTGTTACACTATATTATGGACACAGCACCATGACTGTGGTAATTTGGAGTTTAGATTGTTAAACTTCACTGTCAGCAGCACTATGTTTGACCATTGCCCGAGTATACAAAATACCATTTAAAATGATACAATATTTGCGTTCAAATGCAAAGAATGTATAGTTCTCGTGTATTGATTCAGGATTTACAAAGACCCCGTTACAAGGGGCGACAACTCTGATAGATGCAGCAGTGAACACAGTATGGCGGGGTGTGTCGGACGTTTATCTTATGGACTGTAAGCCAAGTTCTACACACTCCTGTGCAAGGTGAGTGCATATCATCAAAGTATGAGTCTGTGCATCTCAATCCACGTGTTAGTCTTTGTTTTTCTATCCAGTCAGTTCAGTTAGTCAGTGTAAGTTGTCAATTCTTGCTTCATGTATGTGTGGTAGGTTTCATGTGATGGTTTTCCGCCATGCTTTGTTGTACGTTTGCGTTTTTAAACCGTTTGTCATGTTAACAAGTAGTTTATACTGGCATCTTTGATGTGTCCCACACGTTATTCGGAAGGACACATGCCAAATGAAAACTAAGAACCATAATCATTGTTTACAGAAACCAGGAATATCAAGAAAAAGTGTGGAAATATTCTTTAGAATGCTTGAAAAATTATCTCCCAGAAGACGTCGTTGATAGCTTGGAAGGCCGAAGTTAACGACGGCAGAATAAGCTGTAGACCATGAAGGCACTGTAGCTGATGACGTTACAACAACCAGTTAAATAACGTGGGATTATCAGGTACTCCAGGCAATGGCCGATCAAATATTTTCTGACCTATCAGGTACTCGAGACAATGACCGATCAAATATCTTCTGACCTATCAGGTACTCGAGACAATGGCCGATCAAATAATCGATATATGATCGATTATGCATTGAGTAATATGGCATACTCATAACTGATGATCAGTTACATGACCTGATCAGTTTCCAATGTTTACCTGTTTACACATCCAATAGTAGCTACCAATCATATAAACTAGAGATTTATCAGATATTGGGAAGCAAAGAGATAAATTCGCACTCATAATGTCACCAATGGACAAGCACAGTACGTGTATTTAGGCTACTGACGGTGACTGTACATTCAGGTTGTGCAGTCACATGATAACTTGACGTATAAGATGATCGATTGCTCACATCGTGCCATATGCTACTGTTTGATAACTTTACAAGGGTATGTGCAGCCTGATATTTTAACCTGTGCAAATTCCCTTTCAGCAACAGTTTTGTGCCCACCCATTGCAAGCAGACGTTTCTGTTCCAGTTGGTGAAAGCAGCACAAAACATCCCTGTGTGGACGTCACTGACGATGCACAGAAACTGTTTATATACGTGACTTTCTGTGTTAATATTGTTCGTATGCCTCTTTGTAGTTATCTTTTGTTCAGTGCACAGGTCTTCAAGTTCAGTAATGTAATTGGTTCTATGAGAAAAATGTTCATGTTTGTGCCCACGAACATCATCAATTCTCAACTCAAATGGTTTTGTTGAAACCATAACGACTGAAGCACTGCTTATCCAACACGCTTAACCTTTATATCAGAACACCAATGCCTTGACAAACATGTACATTGAAGGTGCATGTTATGATTTGTAACATTATGTATTGATGAATTTATATTCAAATGTTTTTACTATTAATGATGTTCCGTTTTAATTGACGTAGCCTATTGAGAAACCTTAATTTATATTTGTCGTTCTGTTATTGATTGAGAGACTGGTATCATTATCAATAAAGGGTTTCACAATGTGCATGTTGCTGTTTTTCACACATATTGGTGTTCATATATTTTACCACTGGCATACAACTTACAACACAACACAACCAAAAAAATCACTTCCGTAACTCAGCATCCGGCTCTTCCATGTCTGTCGTCTGCGCAGAGTCTCCCCGCTGCTGAGGAAAGCAGCAGCAGATCTCACAGATAATTACGAGTGTGACGTTGTGCCGAAATCATCATGAATGGCTTGGACAACGAAGGAGTGCTGTTGTTTTAGAATGATTGTTTCTCGGACGACCAATATGATGGCCAAACTGCTTTCAGCAAGTGGACAGATTTGGCGATGCCACTGTTATCACTGTTGTTGAGACAACTGGGGGTGTTAAAAAAACCAGCTAGATTAAATTATTGCCAACTAACCAAAAGCTAGTTTTAACAAATACTCTCTTCCCTTCAACACTCTCTTATTCAGTCATATCATAAATAGAGAATACTACACTCGGTCTCTTTACATACGAATTATACGAAACGAGTGTCTTTCCTATGGTTTCTGACCGAGCGAAAGCGAGGTCAGATATCATAGGAAGGTCACGAGTTTCGTATAATTCGTATGGAATGAGACCGAGTGTGGTATTTTATTTGTTACCCATGCAAATATTGTACTACAGTACAAAACTCTTCCGCAACCTCTTTATGAATCCGGTTTCGGTTTGAAACCAAAATATGAACAAAAAACACGCTATTTTGTCAATTTAATGCATGTAAGACGTGGGTAACAAATAAAATGCCACACTCGGTCTCATTACATACGTATTATACGAAACGAGTGTGCTTCCTATGGTATCTGACCGAGCGAAAGCGCGGTCAGATACCATAGGAAGGTCACGAGTTTGGCAACGCCAAATCTGTCCACTTGCTGAAAGCACCCACGTCTTACATGCATTAAATTGACAAAATAGCGTATTTTTGTTCATATTTCGGTTTCAATGACAGATGTACTTAAAATAATTAAGAGAAAATATTTAATCCGAACATAAACCGTCATCAAACTGTTATCATTTTTTTCTTCTGGTAACTTTCGTCTTAACGTTGGGGGGCAGACACATCAATAGAACAGCGCGCCAGTTAGCCCTGTGCGAGGATTCTTAATTTAGATCACCGACGCCGTCGTTTGTTTTCTGTCTTAAATTAATCGTAATTATCCTTAGAAAGTATTAAATTTAGCATCTTAGAAAAGATGTCAAGTTCACTCTATACCAATGTGTTTTGTAATAAAGTATAGTTTTGCCCTGAACTATTATAATTAAAGCACGAGGACGGTAGAGCGAACTTTATTTCCTAATCACAATATATCAACGTCGTCATTACACCAATAGGTACCATATCACATATCATCTACACAAACCTCGGGGATATTATGGAACGTCACCCACTCGCTTGATATTAAACATATTTTTCGAACCGAAGCGAGGGAAGTAGGTTGCCAACCACTGGTCGCCTGTGGTCAGTGTTTGGCAGTCATGTTTCCTCACTGCCATTGCTTGCAAACATGAAGTAGAATCAGATGATAGTACAGGGAGTAATCATTATTGCATTTTTTTGGATGATGTTACGGCAGTGACATTAAAACCTTGTGACAAAGTTTGACCTTTTTTACAAAATGTTTTTCCATACAAAAAAGGCCAAACCACACTAAGCATGTAGCTGTAACATCATTAATTATGATATGTCAAAAGATTTCTGTTGAAAAAACATGAAAAAGACACACACTAAAAAAATCAAATTGCGCATCGGCCACTTTTTCCCAATTTTCTTAGTGTAAACTGTAGAATAAACTGAGTTTTCATAAACAATTATTGATTTTGACTTAAGTTTGTCGATGGTTTTAACTCCCATATGGCCATTCATATTCATATCATAATTAATTTAAATTGAACACTAACAATCAAAATCTGTTATATGTCTTTGCAACCAAAACATGCTCTTTATATGAGTATACATATGCTAGCGTCAATACGGAAACTCCGTCAGTAGCGTTACTGCCTAGTCAATAAGAGAGCTTTTTAACTCCTATATAGCCATTTTTATTCATATCATAATTATGTTTAAAATATTGTCGAAAATGTGTGACATTGTGCCTTTAAGCAAGTTCCAAATATCAAGTTTCAGTAAACTGTTTTTACACCTCGATAACTTGGATAATCAGTTGATGTCGTTGTTGAAATCACAAATGACAACTGCTCAAAGATAACACGTTGTTTGTATGCGGAATGCTGGCATGTCAATGAGGGCTATTGCAAGAGATGCTGGTAGTCTTTCATCGACTATCAGCCGATTGGTCAGAAAACATCAGCAAATAATGAAGTTAAGGACACCCAGCGTTCAGGTCGACCAGGAGTGACAACTCCTAGTGAGTGAGTGAGTGAGTTTAATTTACGCAGTAATATTCCATCTATATGGCGGCGGTCTGTGACCAGACAATCCAGTGATCAACAGCATGAGCATCGATCTGCGAAATTTGGAACCGATGGCATGTGTCAACCAAGCCAGCGAGCCTGACCCGTTAGTCGCCTCTTACGACAAGCATGGGTTACTGAGGGTTAATTCTAACCCGGACCTTCACGGGTCGACAACTCCTAGAGAGTATACAACCCTTCTCAGAAAAACAAGACTTACTCCGATAGTGTGCCTTCCAGTAGCAAGAATAGCATGTCAAGCTCGACATCACTGGAATTTGATGTCACGGGGAAAGGTCCAATGGTCGGACGAAAGTCGATTTCTTTTGTTCATGACTAATGCCGAACACTGCATATGCACATGGTGTGGGTTCATTGGTGACTGTAAACGTAAGATGAGTCAACATCTGAACGGACAACGGTGCATTAGTGACAGGGGTCAGCGATAACCACCCTCTCAATACAATGTCACAAGGCTAATCACGTGTCCTTGGTGATTTCGTATGTCAAGAGTCCACTTCTAAGGGACCGTTCATAATTTATGGCTAGGGAGGGTGATGATAATTTTAAGGGGGGGTCCCCCATTTTGTTCTGAGGAGCTAGGGGGGTCATAAATTTTGTACACACGAACTAGTGGGGTCATCAATTTTGTACATAAAAATATGTTTAAAATTATGCTTAGAAATAATGGGAAGGGGAGGGGGAAATTGATTTTGTACATGACATGCAGGGGGTCACTTATTTTGTACATAATTTTTTAATTTTTTTTTTTTTTGGGGGGGGGCATTCACATTGTACATGCTTCTCCATAAAAATCATCATCACCCCCCCTAGCCATAAATTATGAACGGTCCCTAAATCCCATTGAGCATGTTGAGTGCATTATGGGTCTCAGAAAACGACAGAGTGGTCTTCCAGTACACAGTCTTGATACGTCAAGAATGGAACGCAAAACTTCAACGTCGAATTCAATGTCTGATGCAGTTAGTGAGGAGAAGGGTCGGGGATGTTATTGCAGTTGACGGAGGTTACACCAGATATTGACAGTGTGCTGGGTTATTGATACATTGTGATGTCTTGAGTATTGTATAGCGCCAGAATCCTGGAAATGAACGCACTTTTTAACGTCATACGACCATAGTTATTAGCATTACAGATAGAGTCAATGTCTGCCATGTTTGTTTTTTTCTGAATAAATTACATTTTTCATTTTTTTCGCGTTTAGATTTGTCATTTAATGATTCCTTGATGGTTAGTGTATCCAGATATTAAGTTCGGTTGAGGTTTGGATAAGTCCCTTTGCTATGGTAATGGTAACATATTCATACTATGAAAACTATGGGGTGTTGCGATACTTTTTTCTGTGTATGGCTGAATTCAGCTATGCGTTTCTTTGTTTGATAAGTATAGTAACGCAGTCTTATGCACCTCAGCAACCCTGACCTTTGTGTCGAGGATATCACGTTACATCTAATACTAGTGATAACTTAGTCCATAAAGCAATCCTGTTATCTGTATACACGAACATGAACAGTACAATACGGCCTATGTGATGATGATGTGCTCCATCTTGACACTGTGCGTCCTGGCCTGTCTAAGGCTGTGCTCGGCCTACCCGATCACCGCATCCTGGTTCCGTGACCGTTACACCATCCACGACTGGAACCATACTCTGTTGCAGTTTAAGGCTATAGGCGGAGATACAGTATGGCAGAGGGCGCCACCGATCATCCGCAGGTCGCGAAATGACCTGGAGCGCGACCTTAACTTCATCTGGTGTGGAAGTACCAATAGCAGCACCGGTGTCGCCGGGACGAGATGTTTTGATGAGGCAGCACAAGACCTATCTGCTCATGGCGTGAAAGTGGCGGCGTTTGCAACATACCAGTACGAAGAAAACTTTAGTGATGCCATCATGGTCTGTCCGAAATTTGACAGGAAGATAGAGAGCTCCAGGATATATTATCGTCTGGTTTTACCAACAACGCCACAAAGGTACTTCATTATACACATTATACACGTACCACATGCATTGAATGTAAATATGGCCGTGACAACATTATACACGTACCAAATGCACTGAATGTAAATATGGCCGTGACAACATTATACACGTACCACATGCATTGAATGTAAATATGGCCGTCACAACATTATACACGTACCACATGCATTGAATGTAAATATGGCCGTCACAACATTATACACGTACCACATGCATTGAATGTAAATATGGCCGTGACAACATTTTCGCACCAAATAGAAAGATGTCTGTGAAAGTAGTCGTGGTTGGAAAGTGTAGAGACCACCACGTTGTTGCAGCACTGACCACAGCCTCTGTAATTCAACAACGTTCTACAATCTGTCACATGGGCCTTCATGTCTACATTCTCTGTTGTTCTACTCTCCTGTAGGCCCAAGTCACCACATGCAGCTTATTGACTCCTTCAAATGACATTTAAATGTTATGAGGTACATGTATGATGGGCAAGGAGGATAATAGTGACTTGCTTGATAACGGTATTAGTATCTGCACCCAATGGTCGCACTCATTGTATACTAAACTTCACATGTGTGACGTTACGTCCCAAACATACTATAGAACAAAGTGTATTGACGTAATGAGCGTACACTAACTTAGGATCAGGTATGAAGGTGCGCTTGAGGCACCCTCCACAGCCGTTGAGTTGAGTTGAAGTTGTACGTCGCATCGGTGTTGTTTCAGCCATATAACGACGAGTCCCCACAAAGCCACAGTTGCACGTTTTGGTCACTTTTTTATTACACATTTACAAGCCATATATATTCGGTCTTGTCCAGTACCACATCTACCTCCCTTTCGCATTTACAACAGCAAGACAGCGTTGTCTCATTGACTGCCTAAAACCCATAAATACAATATTAGGCAATCTGCGCCATTGCTGTACCAACATGGCGTCCAGTTCTTGAACATTTTGGGTTGACGTCTGAAGGCACGACGGCTCCCTCCAAGAGCATTTCCATACGTTTTCGATGTGAGTGATCTCGATGGCCACTGCATGACATCAATACCCGCATTTTACATCACATTTAGCCATCTTCAGGTGCAGTTGTGACCAGCTTAGAAGTACATGTATTCGCCCATATTAACTACCTTGTACTGTCCAAATAATTCATTTCTCCAACTGTGAAGTTTGTTTTTTTTGTTCAGTATATAAAGTCACACACACACACACACACACACACACACACACACACACACACACACACACACACACACACACACACACACACACACACACACACACACACACACACACACACACACACACACACCACCCCACCCCACCCCCTATGTAGATGATGCGTAGTTTTGAAGTCTGTCCTTTTGGCCGCGTTGAGACTTTTCGCCAGTGCAGCACTCGGATTCCCTGTTGTTCTAAAAACAATACATGTATATATACCTGGCCTGAAGACATCCCCATGCATAGACTATGCTTCATGATTATCTGCGACTAATCTTATCTGACGGTCTAATTGGCTGACATTATTGGCATCCTGTAGGTGTTCCACAACCTGGTAATGCCTGTATGTTCACCGCCCTGCTATTCGTTTCAGTGATCCCTGTAATATAACATCCGGGTCGTCAGTGGTGGTGCTCTTCACGTCATTCGCAGGCACGGATCCCCACGAGTTATTGTTGGAGAGCGCAGCTGCCAACAACATGTCGGTGTACCTCGGGCTTCCCGCCGTTCCTGCTAGCTATGACAAGTCTGGTTTTGACGAAGAACTTATGCCAGCTTATTACGAATTTACCTCACGGGTACTTCTCGACCACAAATCGCGATACTCACACAAGATTGGCGGTGAAGTCGACCGCTGGACAATTACAAGAACCCACCATTCAGACAAAGCCATAAAAACTGCTTTACATAGCAGCAGATCCGTGTTCGATGTCATTACAGGGTACTACTCGACAGATGAAAGCTGTCTCGCTCAGCTTGACACCAACTCGATCTATCTTCAGTTGTACAGAAATCTTGGTAAAGCTGTTCACGGTGTTGGCAAGTATTTTGCAATCTCCCCATTTGTTGACTTAAACCGGTCCCAGCTTAATGCCACAGTAGACCAACACGTGCAGGGTTTCAGGAACATCGTTTCCACGGCGGAAGTGGACATTGTGGCGGTGCAAGAAGGCCGCGGGGCAGGGAAGGGGTGCTACTACTGGCCCAACCAACTGGACACAGCTGTTGCAGAGGTGGATTCGAAGCTGGATGAGATAATCCACTATCTCAGCCCAACCCTCGAACCCAACATCACATACCGGGATGCATTCACCGCCAGTAACCAGGAGGTACTTACTTGGCTATAACTGCGTACGATGGTGTCACGTTAATCCTAATACCTAAAATACGTAACATCAAGGAACGTAAATGTACATACATGTATATAGGTTTATACACGAGGTTAAGAGGTGGAAAGTTGTAGCTATAGCTTTATACACGAGGTCAAGAGGTGGAAAGTTGTAGCTATAGCTTTATACACGAGGTTAAGAGGTGGAAAGTTGTAGCTATAGCTTTATACACGAGGTTAAGAGGTGGCAGGTTGTAGCTATAGCTTTATGCACGAGATTAAGAGGTTGAAGGTTGTAGCTATAGCTTTATACACGAGGTTAAGAGGTTGAAGGTTGAAGCTATAGCTTTATACACGAGGTTAAGAGGTGGAAAGTTGTAGCTATAGCTTTATACACGAGGTTAAGAGGTGGAAAGTTGTAGCTATAGCTTTATACACGAGATTAAGAAGTGGAATGTTGTAGCTATAGTTTTATACACGAGGTTAAGAGGTGGAAATTTATAGCTATAGCTTTATACACGAGGTTAAGAGGTGGAAGGTTGTAGCTATAGCTTTATACACGAGGTTAAGAGGTGGAAAGTTGTAGCTATAGCTTTATACACGAGGTTAAGAGGTGGAAAGTTGTAGCTATAACTTTATACACGAGGTTAAGAGGTGGAAATTTGTAGCTATAGCTTTATACACGAGGTTAAGAGGTGGAAATTTGTAGCTATAGCTTTATACACGAGGTTAAGAGGTGGAATGATGGAGCTATAGCTTTATACACGAGGTTAAGAGGTGGAAAGTTGTAGCTATACCTTTATACACGAGGTTAAGAGGTGGAAAGTTGTAGCTATTGCGTTATACACGAGGTTAAGAGATGGAAATTTGTAGCTATACCTTTATACACGAGGTTAAGAGGTGGAAAGTTGTAGCTATAACTTTATACACGAGGTTAAGAGGTTGAAGGTTGTAGCTATAGCTTTATACACGAGGTTAAGAGGTGGAAAGTTGTAGCTATAGCTTTATACACGAGGTTAAGAGGTGGAAAGTTGTAGCTATAGCTTTATACACGAGGTTAAGAGGTGGAAAGTTGTAGTTATAACTTTATACACGAGGTTAAGAGGTGGAAAGTTGTAGCTATAGGTTTATACACGAGGTTAAGAGGTGGAAATTTGTAGCTATACCTTTATACACGAGGTTAAGAGGTGGAAAGTTGTAGCTATTGCGTTATACACGAGGTAAAGAGGTGGAAAGTTGTAGCTATAGCTTTATACACGAGGTTAAGAGGTGGAAGGTTGTAGCTATAGCTTTATACACGAGGTTAAGAGGTGGAAATTTGTAGCTATAGCTTTATCCAAGAGGTTAAGAGGTGGAATGTTGTAGTTAAAGCTTTATACACGAGGTTAAGAGGTGGAAAGTTGTAGCTATAGCTTTATACACGAGGTTAAGAGGTGGAAAGTTGTAGCTATAACTTTATACACGAGGTTAAGAGGTGGAAATTTATAGCTATAGCTTTATACACGAGGTTTAGAGGTGGAAAGTTGTAGCTATAGCTTTATACACGAGGTTAAGAGGTGGAAAGTTGTAGCTATAGCTTTATACACGAGATTAAGAAGTGGAATGTTGTAGCTATAGTTTTATACACGAGGTTAAGAGGTGGAAATTTATAGCTATAGCTTCATACATGAGGTTAAGAGGTGGAAGGTTGTAGCTATAGCTTTATACACGAGGTTAAGAGGTGGAAAGTTGTAGCTATAGCTTTATACACGAGGTTAAGAGGTGGAAAGTTGTAGCTAAAACTTTATACACGAGGTTAAGAGGTGGAAATTTGTAGCTATAGCTTTATACACGAGGTTAAGAGGTGGAAATTTGTAGCTATAGCTTTATACACGATGTTAAGAGGTGGAATGATGGAGCTATAGCTTTATACACGAGGTTAAGAGGTGGAAAGTTGTAGCTAAAACTTTATACACGAGGTTAAGAGGTGGAAAGTTGTAGCTATAGCTTTATACACGAGGTTAAGAGGTGGAAATTTGTAGCTATAGCTTTATACACGAGGTTAAGAGGTGGAATGATGGAGCTATAGCTTTATACACGAGGTTAAGAGGTGGAAAGTTGTAGCTATTGCGTTATACACGAGGTTAAGAGATGGAAATTTGTAGCTATACCTTTATACACGAGGTTAAGAGGTGGAAAGTTGTAGCTATAACTTTATACACGAGGTTAAGAGGTGGAAAGTTGTAGCTATAGCTTTATATTAACGAGGTTAAGAGGTGGAAAGTTGTAGCTATAGCTTTATACACGAGGTTAAGAGGTGGAAAGTTGTAGCTATAGCTTTATACACGAGGTTAAGAGGTGGAAAGTTGTAGTTATAACTTTATACACGAGGTTAAGAGGTGGAAAGTTGTAGCTATAGGTTTATACACGAGGTTAAGAGGTGGAAATTTGTAGCTATACCTTTATACACGAGGTTAAGAGGTGGAAAGTTGTAGCTATTGCGTTATACACGAGGTAAAGAGGTGGAAAGTTGTAGCTATAGCTTTATACACGAGGTTAAGAGGTGGAAGGTTGTAGCTATAGCTTTATACACGAGGTTAAGAGGTGGAAATTTGTAGTTATAGCTTTATCCAAGAGGTTAAGAGGTGGAATGTTGTAGTTAAAGCTTTATACACGAGGTTAAGAGGTGGAAAGTTGTAGCTATAGCTTTATACACGAGGTTAAGAGGTGGAAAGTTGTAGCTATAACTTTATACACGAGGTTAAGAGGTGGAAATTTATAGCTATAGCTTTATACACGAGGTTTAGAGGTGGAAAGTTGTAGCTATAGCTTTATACACGAGGTTAAGAGGTGGAAAGTTGTAGCTATAGCTTTATACACGAGGTTAAGAGGTTGAAGGTTGTAGCTATAGCTTTATACACGAGGTTAAGAGGTGGAAAGTTGTAGCTATAGCTTTATACACGAGGTTAAGAGGTGGAAAGTTGTAGCTATAACTTTATACACGAGGTTAAGAGGTGGAAATTTATAGCTATAGCTTTATACACGAGGTTTAGAGGTGGAAAGTTGTAGCTATAGCTTTATACACGAGGTTAAGAGGTGGAAAGTTGTAGCTATAGCTTTATACACGAGGTTAAGAGGTGGAAAGTTGTAGCTATAGCTTTATACACGAGGTTAAGAGGTGGCAGGTTGTAGCTATAGCTTTATGCACGAGGTATAAAGGTGGAAAGTTGTAGCTATAACTTTATACACGAGGTTAAGAGGTGGAAGGTTGTAGCTATAGCTTTATACACGAGGTTCAGAGGTGGAAAGTTGTAGCTATAGCTTTCTACACGAGGTTAAGAGGTGGAAAGTTGTAGCTATAGCTTTATACACGAGGTTAAGAGGTGGAAATTTGTAGCTATAGCTTTATGCACGAGATTAAGAGGTGGAATGTTGTAGCTATAGTTTTATACACGAGGTTAAGGGGTGGAAATTTGTAGCTATAGCTTTATACACGAGGTTCAGAGGTGGAAAGTTGTAGTTATTGCTTTATACACGATGTTAAGAGGTGGCAGGTTGTAGCTATAGCTTTATACACGAGGTTAAGAGGTGGAAGGTTGTAGCTATACCTTTATACACGAGGTTAAGAGGTTGCAGGTTGTAGCTATAGCTTTATACGCGAGGTTAAGAGGTGGAAGGTTGTAGCCATTGCTTTATACACGAGGTTAAGAGGTGGAAGGTTGTAGCTATAGCTTTATACACGAAGTTAAGAGGTGGAAAGTTGTAGCTATAGCTTTCTACACGAGGTTAAGAGGTGGAAAGTTGTAGCTATAGCTTTATACACGAGGTTAAGAGGTGGAAGGTTGTAGCTATAGCTTTATACACGAGGTTAAGAGGTGGAAAGTTGTAGCTATAACTTTATACACGAGGTTAAGATGTGGAAATTTGTAGCTATAGCTTTATACACGAGGTTAAGAGGTGGAAGGTTGTAGCTATAGCTTTATACACGAGGTTAAGATGTGGAAATTTGTAGCTATAGCTTTATACACGAGGTTAAGAGGTGGAATGTTGTAGCTATAGCTTTATACACGAGGTTAAGATGTGGAAATTTATAGCTATAGCTTTATACACGAGGTTAAGAGGTGGAAGGTTGTAGCTATAGCTTTATAAACGAGGTTAAGAGGTGGGAGTTGGAACGTTGTTGCTATACCTGTATACACGAGGTTAAGAGGTGGAAAGTTGGAACGTTGTTGCTATAGGTGTATACACGAGGTTAAGAGGTGGAAAAGTGTAGGATTGGTTTATACGGTTATAGCCCGGGAAAGCCACATTTAAGAGAAACAGAGTTGAAAATGGTGTGGCTCAACCGGCAATGGGCATGGTTGAGTGATCGTGTGAATGTGGCAGTCCCAGCAATGGGCATGGTTGAGTGATCCTGTGAATGTGGCTCAACCGTCAATGGGCATGTTTGAGTGATCGTGTGAATGGGACAGTCCCAGCAATGGGCATGGTTGAGTGATCCTGTGAATGTGGCTCAACCGTCAATGGGCATGGTTGAGTGATCGTGTGAATGGGGCAGTCCCAGCAATGGGCATGGTTGAGTGATCCTGTGAATGTGGCTCAACCGGCAATGGGCATGGTTGAGTGATCGTGTGAATGTGACAGTCCCGGCAATGGGCATGTTTGAGTGATTGTGTGAATGTGGCAGTCCCGGAAATGGACATGGTTGAGTGATTGTGTGAATGTGGCAGTCCCGGCAATGGGCATGTTTGAGTGATCCTGTGAATGTGGCAGTCCCGGCAATGGGCATGGTTGAGTGATCGTGTGAATGTGGCAGTCCCGGAAATGGACATGGTTGAGTGATCGTGTGAATGTGGCTGTCCCGGCAATGAGCATGGTTGAGTTATCGCGTGAATGTGGCAGTCCCGGCAATGCGCTATTAGCTAACCCATGTTACCGTAAATAATGTGAAATTTACGTTATGTAAAATCTAGAAATCCAGTTGAATTGTTCGTGGAGAAAAGTCCAGATCACGCAAACTAGCTGCCTCAAGTAGGTTCTCAAACACTATTTACGAATTATGTATGATTATACAACCAATATTTTCTTTGAAGCATTTTAACTTATGGGAGGGTCAATTCAATGTTTTATCCTTTTCTGATAACTGTTTGAGATAAGAGCAATTGTTGCCTCGGTTATTATTAGAAGAATGGCCATTTATTGCACAAACATACTTATAAACAGCTACATGTATGACGCCTAACTCTTTCCATTTCAGAGCTGTTTTTAAGCAAAATTTATGACTAGGTTTTCAAAATCAGTATTTTTTACGCCGCTGCGGTAATGACATTTTATTAAAGTTAAAGCGTCATAATAAATTTGATGGACAATTCTTGCCCAACCTTCTCTGCTGATGCAATATACCAATTATACAAACCACAGTAGTTTACATGAAGACATAAACAACACAGAAAATACAAACAAAATAAACATAAAAAAGATTAATGTTATCATATGTTAACTAAGAACGTAAACCAGAATAAAGCAGCCGCCCATCATATGTTAACTAAATATAAAAAAAGGACAAGTCACTAAAACAATTTCAATCCATTGTGATCAATGGGTGACGCTTATTTGCAAAAACGGTATTGATTCCCTTACTCATTGTGGCTTTCGCGGCGATTCGCGGCACCGAGGATTATACTTGAAATGTGGCTTTACCGGCAATTGGTAATGTTCAAATGTGGCTTTCCCGGGCGGACACCGTATATACACGACATTCAGAGTTGGAGTTTCAGAAGAAAGGTCGCGTCGACAACGAGACAAGTCCCTTTTAGGATTCCTTAGGCAGGTGCAGGTAGTCTAGGTCTGATCAGGGATACTCTACAACATAGTCTCCCTGGTCTGATTTACGAGGTTCAGACCAGGGCAGGCAGGTGCAGAGAGAATAGCTCATTTACACGAGGGTCAGGTGGATCGGACTGCTGTGTCTGTTTAGGAAAAGGTTGTGGCTTAAACTCTAACACATGAAGTTCGATCAAAAGACGAGGATACGGAGTTGTCTGCTCTGGTCCTACAAAGTTCCAACCACGGACTCAAATTCCTAATCTGTGATATGCTCGTGGTTTTCATCAAAACGTCAACGACCTGCACTTCATGTCTCACAGGTCGTCATATCACTGAAATAGTTTACCGTTGTACACTGTAGTTCCTATCCGAGAAGGACGGGCAGGTTTATGGCTATGGCTTATGTGTCGCTTTCAAATACCCACTTTCATAATCAATTCTAAACTTCCACTTTCTACAGTTTATTGTATTATTGTGTTATTGTTTATTGCAGCTTTTCCGGCAATTCGGACAGATACAAGATGCCAGACAAAAACAGGGGCATCAGTTCGAGTACTGGCTCAACATTGAAGCATTTGAGTATCTTCGAAATGACCCATGTCTCCTGGTAGATTCCATGGCTTCTGGGATGGGGGAACTCTTGCAGAGGACGACGAAGTCACGTATTGACAGAGCGCTGACTGCCGCTGGAGCTACTCCGAAGAAGATTATATCATTTGCTTGGGACTCTGACTTCACGTGCACGACCCAACAGTATAAGTATAGTCTTGAAGCGGAAATACGTCAGGATTCATCACGACCAATCATTGCCAACTGCTCCTTTCATTCAAAGGCCAATTTATCCGTTGTCGTTATTGGCTACAACTTGGAGGGAGAGACACAAGGCTTCGTGGTAAGTAAACATACAGGGAATTTTGAAACCTTTGATAATAGTACAGGTCACTATTTAGACTGCAAAATCACGACGGACCCGTATTCACTATTCAAATGGGACCCTAGCATTTAGTGAGTGAATCAAACTGAGCATGCGAAACAAATGAACACAATACGTTGAATGCAGTTATCCCACTCGCCTTAGGCGGCAAAGAACGAGAAACCTAGGCGAGAAACCTAGGCGAGAAACCTAGGAAACCTAACATGATTTCGAATCAAAGTACCATACCCAGGCTTGGGGGTTTTAGCAGTCTGGTTGAGACCAAGACCTCTACCAAGTTGACGTGGAGATGTGGCTGAAATACTGTTCAATGGGACTTTTAACCATACTTATTCTCTTATTTTCCTTTTGACGAAATGACGGTTAGAGAGCTTGGTCAATCAATATCATATTTCACAATCATGTTCTACCCAGTACACTAACCTTCAGGTAACTGGCTGTAACCTTACTGACACTGAGACCACGACACAATAGGTGGGGACACTGAGACCACGACACTGTAGGCATTGAGACCACGACACAATAGGTGGGGACACTGAGACCACGACACTGTAGGTGGGGACACTGAGACCACGACACTGTAGGTGGGGACACTGAGACCACGACACTGTAGGTGGGGACACTGAGACCACGACACTGTAGGTGGGGACACTGAGACCACGACACTGTAGGTGGGGACACTGAGACCACGACACTGTAGGTGGGGACACTGAGACCACGACGCTGTAGGTGGGGACACTGAGACCACGACACTGTAGGTGGAGACACCGAAACCACGACACTGTAGGTGGGGACACTGAGACCATGACACTGTAAGTGGGGGCACTGAGACCACGACACTGTAGGTGAGGACATTGAGACCATGACACAATAGGTTGGGACACTGAGACCACGACACTGTAGGTGGGGACACTGACACCACGACACTGTAGGTGAGGACATTGAGACCACGACAATGTAGGTGAGGACAACGAGACCACGACACTGTAGGTGGGGACACTGAGACCACGACACTGTAGGTGGGGACACTGAGACCATGACACTGTAGGTGGGGACAATGAGACCACGACACTGTAGGTGGGGACAATGAGACCACGACACTGTAGGTGGGGACAATGAGACCATGACACTGTAGGTGGGGACAATGAGACCATGACACTGTAGGTGGGGACAATGAGACCATGACACTGTAGGTGGGGACACTGAGACCAGGACACTGTAGGTGGGGACAATGAGACCACGACACTGTAGGTGGGGACACTGAGACCATGACACTGTAGGTGGGGACAATGAGACCATGACACTGTAGGTGGGGACACTGAGACCATGACACTGTAGGTGAGGACACTGAGACCATGACACTGTAGGTGGGGACACTGAGACCATGACACTGTAGGTGGGGACACTGAGACCATGACACTGTAGGTGGGGACACTGAGACCATGACACTGTAGGTGAGGACAATGAGACCACGACACTGTAGGTGAGGACACTGAGACCACAACACTGTAGGTGAGGACACTGAGACCATGACACTGTAGGTGGGGACACTGAGACCATGACACTGTAGGTGGGGACAATGAGATCATGACACTGTAGGTGGGGACACTGACACCACGACACTGTAGGTGGGGACAATGAGACCATGACACTGTAGGTGGGGACAATGAGACCACGACACTGTAGGTGGGGACACTGAGACCATGACACTGTAGGTGGGGACAATGAGACCATGACACTGTAGGTGGGGACACTGAGACCATGACACTGTAGGTGAGGACACTGAGACCACGACACTGTAGGTGGGGACACTGAGACCATGACACTGTAGGTGAGGACACTGAGACCATGACACTGTAGGTGAGGACACTGAGACCATGACACTGTAGGTGGGGACAATGAGATCATGACACTAGGTGAGGACACTGAAACCTCTGGTTTGTGGGTGGGGTGAACTGACCTTGAAACCTCTGGTCTGTGGCTTTGGTGAACTGACCTTGAAACATCTGGTCTGTGGGTACGGCAAACTTACACTGAAATCCACTGGTCTGTGGGTGGGGTGAACTAAAATCCACTCATCCATTACCTTTCTGTAAGTGAAAAATTGCACTGCTCTGTAGGGGGAGCAGGGTTGACTGCTCTAGGGTAAGTGGAGGGACAATTGTACTGCTCTGTTAGGGGAGAGGGGACAACTGTACTGCTCTGTAGGGGAGCAGACAACTGACACACTGTAGGGGGGAGCAGACAACTGCTCTGTAGGTTGAGTGGACAACTGTACTGCTCTGTAGTGGGAGAGGACAACTGTACTGCTCTGTAGGGGACAGTGGACAACTGTACTGCTCTGTAGGGTGGAGGGACAACTGTACTGCTCTGTTGGGGGAGGGACAATTGTACTGCACTGTCTGTAGGGGACAGGGACGACTGTACTGCTCTGTAGGGAGGAGGGGACAATTGTACTGCTCTGTAGGGGGAGGGGACAACTGTACTGCAATGTATGGTGGAGGGGACAACTGTACTGCTCTGTAGGGGGGAGGGGACAACTGTACTGCTATGTAGGGTGGAGGGACAATTGTACTGCTCTGTAGGGGGGAGGGACAACTGTACTGCTCTGTAGGGTGGAGGGACAACTGTACTGCTCTGTGTAGGGTGAGTGGACAACTGTACTGCTCTGTAGGGGGGAGGACAACTGTACTGCTATGTAGGGGGACAGTGGACGACTGTACTGCTATGTAGGGTGGAGGGACAATTGTACTGCTCTGTTGGGGGAGGGACAACTCTACTGCTCTGTAGGGGAGCAGACAACTGTACTGCTCTGTAGGTTGAGTGGACAACTGTACTGCTCTGTAGTGGGAGAGGACAACTGTACTGCTATGTAGGGGGACAGTGGACGACTGTACTGCTCTGTAGGGTGGAGGGGACAATTGTACTGCTCTGTTGGGGGAGGGGACAACTCTACTGCTCTGCAGGGGGAGCAGACAACTGTACTGCTCTGTAGGGTTGAGTGGACAACTGTACTGCTCTGTAGTGGGAGAGGACAACTGCACTGCTATGTAGGGGGACAGTGGACGACTGTACTGCTCTGTAGGGTGGAGGGGACAACTGTACTGCTCTGTAGGGGGAGAGGACAACTGTACTGCTATGTAGGGTGGAGGGGACAACTGTACTGCTCAGTAGGGTGGAGGGGACAACTGTACTGCTATGTAGGGTGGAGGGACAATTGTACTGCTCTGTAGGGGGAGCAGACAACTGTACTGCTCTGTAGGGTGAGTGGACAACTGTACTGCTCTGTAGGGAGGGAGGACAACTGTACTGCTATGTAGGGGGACAGTGGACGACTGTACTGCTCTGTAGGGTGGAGGGGACAATTGTACTGCTCTGTTGGGGGAGGGGACAACTCTACTGCTCTGTAGGGGGAGCAGACAACTGTACTGCTCTGTAGGTTGAGTGGACAACTGTACTGCTCTGTAGTGGGAGAGGACAACTGTACTGCTATGTAGGGGGACAGTGGAAGACTGTACTGCTCTGTAGGGTGGAGGGGACAATTGTACTGCTCTGTTGGGGGAGGGGACAATTGTACTGCTATGTAGGGGGACAGTGGACGACTGTACTGCTCTGTAGGGAGGAGGGGACAATTGTACTGCTCTGTAGGGGAGGTTGAGTACTGGACATGGTGAGAGGGACAACTGCTGCTGTAGGGGGAGGGACAACTGTACTACTGCTATGGTGGGGGGACAAGTGGACAACTGACAACTGCTGCTCTGTAGGGTGGAGGGACAACTCTACTGCTCTGTAGGGGAGTGGACAACTGTACTGCTCTGTAGGGGGAGAGGACAACTGTACTGCTATGTAGGGGGGAGTGGACGACTGTACTGCTATGTAGGGTGGAGGGACAATTGTACTGCTCTGTAGGGGGGAGGGACAACTCTACTGCTCTGTAGGGAGGAGCAGACAACTGTACTGCTCTGTAGGTTGGAGTGGACAACTGTACTGCTCTGTAGTGGGAGAGGACAACTGTACTGCTATGTAGGGGGGACAGTGGACGACTGTACTGCTCTGTAGGGTGGAGGGGACAATTGTACTGCTCTGTTGGGGGAGGGGACAACTCTACTGCTCTGCAGGGGGAGCAGACAACTGTACTACTGCTCTGTAGGTTGAGTGGACAACTGTACTGCTCTGTAGTGGGAGAGGACAACTGTACTGCTATGTAGGGGGGACAGTGGACGACGACTACTCTGTAGGGTGGAGGGACAATTGTACTGCTCTGTAGGGGGAGGACAACTGTACTGCTATGTGTAGGGGACAGTGGACGACTGTACTGCTCTGTAGGGTGGAGGGACAATTGTACTGCTCTGTTGGGGGAGGGGACAACTGTACTGCTCTGTAGGGGGAGCAGACAACTGTACTGCTCTGTAGGTTGAGTGGACAACTGTACTGCTCTGTAGTGGGAGAGGACAACTGTACTGCTATGTAGGGGGACAGTGGACGACTGTACTGCTCTGTAGGGTGGAGGGGACAATTGTACTGCTCTGTTGGGGGAGGGGACAACTCTACTGCTCGGTAGGGTGGAGGAGACAACTGTACTGCTATGTAGGGTGGAGGGGACAATTGTACTGCTCTGTAGGGGGAGGGGACAACTGTACTGCAATGTATGGTGGAAGGAAATAACTGTACTGCTATATAGGGTGGAAGGGACAACTGTACTGCTATGTAGGGGGCAGGGGACAACTGTACTGCTCTGTAGGGGGGAGGGACAACTGTACTGCTCTGTAGGGTGGAGGGACAACTGTACTGCTCTGTAGGGAGTGGACAACTGTACTGCTCTGTGGGGGAGAGGGACAACTGTACTGCTATGTAGGGGGGACAGTGGACGACTGTACTGCTCTGTAGGGTGGAGGGACAATTGTACTGCTCTGTAGGGGGAGGGACAACTCTACTGCTCGGTAGGGTGGAGCAGACAACTGTACTGCTCTGTAGGGGGAGTGGACAACTGTACTGCTCTGTAGGGGGAGGGACAACTGTACTGCTCTGTAGGGGGAGTGGACAACTGTACTGCTCTGTGGGGGGACAGTGGACGACTGTACTGCTCTGTTGGGGGAGGGACAAGTACTGCTCTGTGGGGGACTGACAACTGTACTGCTCTGTAGGGTGGAGGGACAAATTGTACTGCTCTGTAGTGGGAGGGACAACTGTACTGCTATGTAGGGGGACAGTGGACAACTGTACTGCTCTGTAGGGGGAGGGACAACTGCTCTGTAGGGAGGGACACTGTACTGCTATGTAGGGGGGGAGGGACAACTGTACTGCTCTGTAGGGTGGAGGGACAACTGTACTGCTCTGTAGGGGGGAGGGACAACTGTACTGCTACTGCTCTGGGGGGAGTGGACAACTGTACTGCTCTCTGTAGGGGGAGAGGGACAACTGTACTGCTATGTAGGGGGACAGTGGACGACTGTACTGCTATGTAGGGTGGAGTGGACAACTGTACTGCTCTGTTGGGGGAGGGACAACTGTACTGCTCTGTTAGGGGAGGGACAACTGTACTGCTCTGTAGGGTGGAGGGGACAACTGTACTGCTCTGTAGGGGGAGGGACAACTGTACTGCTCTGTAGGGGAGAGTGGACAACTGTACTGCTATGTAGGGGGACAGTGGACGACTGTACTGCTCTGTAGGGTGGAGGGGACAATTGTACTGCTCTGTAGGGGGAGGGGACAACTCTACTGCTCTGTAGGGGGAGCGGACAACTGTACTGCTCTGTAGGTTGAGTGGACAACTGTACTGCTCTGTAGGGGAGAGGACAACTGTACTGCTATGTAGGGGGACAGTGGACGACTGTACTGCTCTGTAGGGTGGGTGGAGGGACAATTGTACTGCTCTGTAGGGGGAGGACAACTGTACTGCTATGTAGGGGACAGTGGACGACTGTACTGCTCTGTAGGGTGGAGGGACAATTGTACTGCTCTGTTGGGGGAGGGACAACTCTACTGCTCTGTAGGGGACAGTGGACAACTGTACTGCTCTGTAGGTTGAGAGGGGGACAACTGTACTGCTCTGCTCTGTAGGGGGAGGGACAACTGTACTGCTCTGTAGGGGGGACAGTGGACGACTGTACTGCTCTGTAGGGTGGAGGGACAATTGTACTGCTCTGTTGGGGAGGGACAACTCTACTGCTCTGTAGGGGGAGCAGACAACTGTACTGCTGCTCTGTAGGTTGAGTGGACAACTGTACTGCTCTGTGTAGGGGGAGAGGACAACTGTACTGCTATGTAGGGGGACAGTGGACGACTGTACTGCTCTGTAGGGTGGAGGGACAATTGTACTGCTCTGTCTGGGGGAGAGGACAACTGTACTGCTATGTAGGGGGACAGTGGACGACTGTACTGCTCTGTGACTACTGCTCTGTTGGGAGAGGGACAAGGGTGTAGGGGGGACAATTGTACTGCTCTGTTGGGGGAGTGGACAACTGTACTGCTCTGTAGGGGAGAGGACAACTGTACTGCTATGTAGGGAGGGGGACAGTGGACAACTGTACTGCTCTGTAGGGGGAGAGGGACAACTGTACTGCTCTGTGCTCTGGGGACAGTGGACAACTGTACTGCTCTGTAGGGTGGAGGGACAACTGTACTGCTCTGTTGGGGAGGGACAACTGTACTGCTATGTAGGGGTGGGACAACTGTACTGCTATGTAGGGTGGAGGGACAAATGTACTGCTCTGTGGGGGAGGGACAACTGTACTGCTATGTATGGTGGACAGTGGACGACTGTACTGCTCTGTAGGGTGGAGGGACAATTGTACTGCTCTGTTGGGGGAGGGGACAACTAGGAGGGAGGGTACTGCTCTGTATGGTGGGAGGGACAACTGTACTGCTCTGTAGGGGGGAGGGGACAACTGTACTGCTATGTAGGGTGGAGGGGACAATTGTACTGCTCTGTAGGGGGGGAGGGACAACTCTACTGCTCTGTAGGGTGGAGGGGACAACTCTACTGCTCTGTAGGGGGAGTGGACAACTGTACTGCTCTGTAGGGGGAGAGGGCAACTGTACTCCTATGTAGGGGGACAGTGGACGACTGTACTGCTCTGTAGGGTGGAGGGGACAATTGTACTGCTCTGTAGGGGGAGAGGACAACTGTACTGCTATGTAGGGGGACAGTGGACGACTGTACTGCTATGTAGGGTGGAGGGGACAATTGTACTGCTCTGTTGGGGGAGGGGACAACTCTACTGCTCTGTAGGGGGAGCAGACAACTGTACTGCTCTGTAGGGGGAGAGGACAACTGTACTGCTCTGTAGGGGGACAGTGGACGACTGTACTGCTATGTAGGGTGGAGGGGACAATTGTACTGCTCTGTTGGGGGAGGGGACAACTCTACTGCTCTGTAGGGGGAGCAGACAACTGTACTGCTCTGTAGGTTGAGTGGACAACTGTACTGCTCTGTAGTGGGAGAGGACAACTGTACTGCTATGTAGGGGGACAGTGGACGACTGTACTGCTCTGTAGGGTGGAGGGGACAATTGTACTGCTCTGTAGGGGGAGAGGACAACTGTACTGCTATGTAGGGGGACAGTGGACGACTGTACTGCTATGTAGGGTGGAGGGGACAATTGTACTGCTCTGTTGGGGGAGGGGACAACTCTACTGCTCTGTAGGGGGAGCAGACAACTGTACTGCTCTGTAGGCTGAGTGGACAACTGTACTGCTCTGTAGTGGGAGAGGACAACTGTACTGCTATGTAGGGGGACAGTGGACGACTGTACTGCTATGTAGGGTGGAGGGGACAATTGTACTGCTCTGTTGGGGGAGGGGACAACTGTACTGCTCTGTAGGGGGAGCAGACAACTGTACTGCTCTGTAGGTTGAGTGGACAACTGTACTGCTCTGTAGTGGGAGAGGACAACTGTACTGCTATGTAGGGGGACAGTGGACGACTGTACTGCTCTGTAGGGTGGAGGGGACAATTGTACTGCTCTGTAGGGGGAGAGGACAACTGTACTGCTATGTAGGGGGACAGTGGACGACTGTACTGCTATGTAGGGTGGAGGGGACAATTGTACTGCTCTGTTGGGGGAAGGGACAACTCTACTGCTCTGTAGGGGGAGCAGACAACTGTACTGCTCTGTAGGTTGAGTGGACAACTGTACTGCTCTGTAGTGGGAGAGGACAACTGTACTGCTATGTAGGGGGACAGTGGACGACTGTACTGCTCTGTAGGGTGGAGGGGACAATTGTACTGCTCTGTTGGGGGAAGGGACAACTCTACTGCTCGGTAGGGTGGAGGAGACAACTGTACTGCTATGTAGGGTGGAGGGGACAATTGTACTGCTCTGTAGGGGGAGGGGACAACTGTACTGCAATGTATGGTGGAAGGAAATAACTGTACTGCTATGTAGGGTGGAGGGGACAACTGTACTGCTATGTAGGGGGCAGGGGACAATTGTACTGCTCTGTAGGAGGGAGGGGACAACTGTACTGCTCTGTAGGGTGGAGGGGACAACTGTACTGCTCTGTAGGGGGAGTGGACAACTGTACTGCTCTGTAGGGGGAGAGGGCAACTGTACTGCTATGTAGGGGGACAGTGGACGACTGTACTGCTCTGTAGGGTGGAGGGGACAATTGTACTGCTCTGTAGGGGGAGGGGACAACTCTACTGCTCGGTAGGGTGGAGCAGACAACTGTACTGCTCTGTAGGGTGGAGGGGACAACTGTACTGCTCTGTAGGGGGAGGGGACAACTGTACTGCAATGTATGGTGGAAGGAAATAACTGTACTGCTATGTAGGGTGGAGGGGACAATTGTACTGCTCTGTAGGGGGGAAGGGACAACTGTACTGCTATGTAGGGTGGAAGGGACAATTGTACTGCTCGGTAGGGTGGAGGAGACAACTGTACTGCTATGTAGGGTGGAGGGGACAATTGTACTGCTCTGTAGGGGGAGGGGACAACTGTACTGCAATGTATGGTGGAGGGAACAACTGTACTGCTATGTAGGGTGGAGGAGACAACTGTACTGCTTTGTAGGGGGAGCAGACAACTGTACTGCTCAGTAGGGTGGAGGGGACAACTGTACTGCTATGTAGGGTGGAGGGACAATTGTACTGCTCTGTGGGGGGAAGGGACAACTGTACTGCTCTGTAGGGGGGAGCGGACAATTGTACTGCTCTGTAGGGTTGAGGGGACAACTGTACTGCTCTGTAGGGGGGAGCGGACAATTGTACTGCTCTGTAGGGTTGAGGGGACAACTGTACTGCAATGTAGGGAGAGCGGACAACTGCGCTGCTCTGTAGGGAGAGGGGACAACTGTACTGCTCTGTAGGGGGAGTGGACAACTGTACTGCTATGTAGGGGGGAGTGGACAACTGTACTGCAATGTAGGTTGAGCGGACAACTGTACTGCAATGTAGGGAGAGCGGACAACTGCGCTGCTCTGTAGGGAGAGGGGACAACTGTACTGCTCTGTAGGGGGAGTGGACAACTGTACTTCTCTGTAGGGGGAACAGACAACTGTACTCCTCTGTAGGGGGAGTGGACAACTGTACTGCTCTGTAGGGGGAGCAGACAACTGCACTGCTCTGTAGGTAGAGTTGACAACTGTACTGATGACTGAGTATATTTCTCTGTAAAAGGAGCTGAATAACTGATGATTGTGCCTTGTAGGTTGAGTGGACTGACAGGGAGCACAAGCGTCACAGTGACCCTGTGAATGGCTACTACTATGAGGTGGACTGGGGGCAGAGGCACAACAAGGTGGATACTCTGGTGTACATCATGTTGTGGGACATCCCCGACATGAATCAGGACCTGCCTGCCAAGGGTATTGTCACTGTGAAGGCAAATGGGGCATATCATGACTGTGTATTCCAATACGACTATTCTTAGCAACAGCAGGTTGTGTTTGGAATGTGTCTATAAGTCCAAATAAATTGATTGCATATCTTGGACATAATTTTGATTCATAAATTTGTTTCTTAGTTTTTCTCTGTTCTGTGAACAATTGCTATTCATAGAACTTGATTTTCATCAATCTATTACCTGTAGCATAAACAAATTTGACTTTCGTCTTAAATTGGAACATTGCCTTACAATTATTATGATAGGTCTATATGTTTGTGGGTTGATTTATAAGTTCTGAGCCTTAAAAGAATGATATGAGTCACTGTGAATTGTTTGTGGAGATGCCATGTTGTCACCAGGATATATCCACAAAATCTAAGTCAAATGACCTACTGGTAAACAAGGATAAGTAGACCACCACCGACCTGACAATTGACCCGTATTAGCATGTAGGAGTGCCGCCCACTGGCGCTTGCCATTGTTAGCGAAGGGGCCCCAGGTTGTCCGCGATCAAGTGTAGTGTGATGGGTGAAGCAAGGCGCAAGGCAATTTCATTTTATGCAATGCACGTGCACTAGCATACATCTGCTCTACCTTTCAGAAACCAAATGGGTTTATCTCATTGCCGTGCACCGCCTCACTTCTCGTAAACGTGTTCTCTGTGCCAGTCCAACTTATCCATGTTTGCCAGTAACAGTTTCACAGTGATAACTCAATAATGTAAGTAGGAGTCAATGACCGTTTGACAAATGGGCAGTGATCTAGTACTTAAACAAAAATGGTATAACACCAAAAGCTATAAATGAAAATTTGTGTACAATATGAGGGAAGGATATTTCTTCCTATGTCACTGTAAAAAGATTGGCAAAGGCACTTAAATGTGACAAGAAAGGCAAAGATTAGCCACACACTGACAGGCCTGTCATGTCGTTAACACAAGAAGATAATCGTGGATATGGTAATGACCAACCAGCGAATTACCAGTGCAGTAATGAGTACAATCTATTATCACAAACACTTTGGCAATGAAGACAGCTACAGCTTTTTGTTTTTCAAAGCTTTAAACATCTGATAAAAAATGTACCAAGCACAACATGTCTTCTTCTAGTCAAGTCCAAACAACAATAACAGGAGTGGAAGCACCAGACAGCACCACCATCACGATGGCAAAGACTGATCCACAAGCTGGATAGTTTGTGACCACTACCGATAATTCCTGTATTTAGGCCCATGCAAAATTTAGCCCATGGGCTAAAATACGGGATTTAGAGTGACATCCCTTTCCAAACGCTGAGACTTTGACTCTGAATAGTGTCACTCCTGTCATATTAGTTTGAAGTTAAAATGTTCATGAATTCAGACTTGATCTCGTCACTATATGGCTGGAATAATGCTGATGTGACGTAAAGCCCAACTAAATTCCACTCAAACTATTAGTTTGAAGTTCATGCTTTGCATTGAATAGACTGTTATAACTTCATCATTCCGTTCACAGTTGAAATACTCACTCGAGTGGACATTTTCACAGCTTTGAACTCTGTGTGGCTCTAAATACTCACTATAGAGACTAGGCATTGTCTTAGATGTGGGTCAGTAATCTTAAATACGGAATTCCCGGTAGGTTCTGGGATTGTGAGAATGTCATTATGATGAACCATCTTCCCCAAAACGCAGACAATAATTGGAGCATACTTTGTTGCTCTTATGAGGCATTTAGAGGAAGAAATTTTTACTAAGAGACATGGGAAGCTGTTTTAATAAGCTAATGCCACTAATACAATCCGTAAGTCTAGATTCAACCTTACTAATCACCCCTCATTCTGGAGGAAACAAACAAGTGACAACAGTATCGTTTGATGGGGTACCTGGCTTTATTTGACCAAAAATACAACAATTGCTGTACACAGTTTGCCAAAGAGAACTATAAATTAAGACTGCCTTGTACAGAGGCCTAGAATGGAGCAACTGCTTGTGTGACCTTGGCTTGTAGTTACTTTACCCAATACATAGACAGGCATGATGGTGCCTGTGACACTGAAGGTAAATACCTAAAACTGTGGTAGCCTTGTGATCATCATTGCATTGATGTTTTGTCAGTATTGTGACAGATATTAGGATTCTAGATGAAGATCTCAGAAGGAAAATGCTTCAACAGAGATCATAGTAAAATCATTGCAAATAAGAAGCACAAAGGGGAACTGCTTATTTACACAGAAAATTATGCCCAGCTGGCATAAGTTGTGGAATGCTGCTGCTGTCAGTGGCTGAATGTGGAGGTGTTTGTAGGTGTAGTGTTAGGAGCTCTACAGGCTGTAGGTATGTAATCTGTCGGACCAAGTGACATGAAACTGTTATTGGCAGGGTCTGATTTCTACCCAAGGGGTATATCATATCCAGCCACTGACATACAATTGAAGGAAGGGAATGCTCGTTTTGGAATGTGTCAACATTTTCAATACAGAAGCTAGGTTGCACCAGACGCCTATACATCATGATATGGCTTTCAAAAACAAATAAAAGAAAATTATCTCAACATTTCATTTAAAACTCTTTGGAAAAATGTCCAACAGTAAATGCAAATCTTAAAATTGTAAATGTTTATGAGAACAGCAATACAACAGCTCAAGTCTGTTTAGCATATGTGTATGTAATTAATACTATTAGCACTGAAAAAGATTCTTCCTATATTTGATTTCAATATTATGGAATTTATTGCTGTCTGAATTTTCCCTTTCAAGTAATGAGAGAATTTGGACTACAATGTCTTACTAAGTAAACTGGAATGTATGAGAAAACAAATTTGAACTCACTTGCAACAAAAGCTTTTCTTTAGTGGACTGAAAATATTCAAGTTAAATGAAACAGGAAATGTTGATCAATATGTTTTTTCCCTTTTTAGTGATGTTAACAGGAAGTGTATATGATCTTTTTTTTTCAGTACGACAGAAAAAGCACAAGATAATGATGAGACTACAGACAGGTGAAAGATAACAACCACTTACTACTGGGCAACACAAACATAGAGTAAATGCCACAATAAAAACACAAAAGACATTTCCTGAGAAATAAAACAATGCTTTCAATCCTGTTCTCAAAGCCAATCTCATAACATATACATTTGATTTCAATTTTGAACCAGGTATCACTGAATGCAGTTATATCCTTTATCTTCCCTTATTCCCTTTGTCTTCCCTCAAGTAGAATAAAACAAAACATAATAATCTCTCTACTATACATAAATATCAACCATCTTTAACGAGATTATACATTTATCACAGTGAAATATGAAGAGTGCACACACGTTGTAAGTAATGATGACACTACGTGAGAACATCACATTTCTAAATGGCAGAGCTTTACAAACATTTGAAGACTTAACAGTGATTAGCTGACTATTAGACAGGCCAAAATAGAGATTAGCTGATTAAAGGTCAGGAAAGAAAAATAGTACATGTATATGATCCATAAATGCACAAATTTAAGATGTTTCAGATCAATAGGTTTCGACAAATGTAACTAAAGCTCTGCAATAACAACTTGGGGAGAACGAAAGCAAAGAACCAAGATTAGCCTGTTAAAACAGTCTAATTAGACACCAGGATTTATATGTACAACGAAGGAGAAGTCCACTAATCCAAAAATAATCCATGATGGAAACATTCAAGTGCCGAGTGGGATATTTGAGATGCTTATATTTAGGCAGCCCAAAGTTAGAATCTTGGTGACACTGTCATTCATGGAAGGATGTTTACATTGTTATATACCACTGTATACATTATACATAGCCACTGAAATCTGTATACATTGCCTCTGATCACTATATACATTGTTTGTGAACACTGTGCAAATTGCCACCGAAATCTATTTTCACTGCCTTTGAACACTGTAAACATTGACACTTAACAATGTATACACAGCCATAGAATATTGTACACATTGCCTCCGAATACTGTACATATACCCTCAGAACTGTGTACACATTGCCTTTGGACATTGTATACATTTCTTCAGAACAGCGTATACACTGTCTTTGAACACTGTATATATTGCCATGAACACTGAATACATTGCCATAAAACTGTATACCTTGCCACAGTACACTGTATACATTGCCATTGAACGTTTTAGAACTGCCACTATAATCAGGACACATTGAAATATAACAATGTATACACTGCTGCTTACCGCTGTATGATCAGTAGAGCAAATACCTGTGTTGTGCATCACATGAACAGCATGTGCACAAGATTCCACTCGTATGCTTAAGAGTGGATTTTCACAAGCAGATGTCCATTTGTATATTTTTAAATTAATGGACTTGGACTACATGTTGGGGTTTGTAGTTTCCCCTGCTAACAGAGAGACTGAGGAAAGGATGTTACACCTATTCTGGCACAAATCATGTCCAATACAAACCCTGGGCCAAACTGTAACACCCTACACAATAATTTATGCAGCAAGAATTGAAATTTTGATTGGATTTCACGTTTTGTTAATGTTTACTCTTAGTGTTGTGACCTGCTATTTGTAAACAGTTAATTAAGTCATCTGAAACACAGTCCTATGTGCCTACGTCATGATGTGCCATCCAGCTACATCAACCACAAGTCCTAGTTTGGCTGAAACTATCTGGTTATATACACTATAGACTGAGAGATATCTGGTCAGAAATATAACTAATACCATCACCCAGACACATTGTGCACTACCAACTCCCCTAGCTGGCCTAGCATGTGGCTATTACCATCCATCAGTGCTGGGTTAGTCAATCAGGTGAGAACCGTCTTGTAAGAGTTTGCAGGTGTCGCACTTGCCTGCATGTAACCAAGTATGTATACTACTGATACACAATAGGAACCACAGACCCAACACATTACTTTACCAGACAAATATGTTGATATTAATGTCAGAGTAGACTCGACAAAACTGATAGAATTGGGAGTTGTTGCCACTGAAACATGATATAGACTAGCACTTTTGACTGATCAGATGTAAGATAGTCATAATCTGCTGAACAGACTGCTGCTGCTGGCCAGTGTTGACGTTTGTGGGGGTGCCTTAATTCTTCTCGGGCACTTCTTGTAGCGTATGCCACTGGGCAATGGGTCGGCGAGGGTTGGCCAGCATGTCACTCCAGTGACGGAGTTCTGTGCCAGTGGAGTTGCACCCAAGCATAATACGACCAATGGGCTCAGAGGTACCGATCCTGTCGTAATCAACCACTGTGATTATCAGGGTCACTTTCTGAAATGAGATGAAAACAGGCTGGATGTACATAATATTCACAGCAGTGCATTTAGATTTCTGACAAACTAGAATCTTATACTTGGATAGAGACTACTTAATTTTGTAAATATATTTTCATCATTTTTTTTATATTTTGCTTAAAAATCTTTATTGAATGATTTAATAGAATGTAAATTACAAAGAGCCTTTACACTAATGATGGATATCTTTTTAAGCAACTTTATATATTGAATAAAAGAAGTGACAGATGACAAGAGGTTAGTAGTGGACATGATCTGTGTTATTTACAGTGACATGAAGGACAGTATACATTGTTCTCAGGAGCTACACAATGAAACTCAGACAGCACCTCCAAATAGACAACTGTTATAGTAATATCTGTAGTGACTGAGTTCCACATGTGACTGAGAATCTACTAACACTGCTGACCACAATGTCACAGATTTTCAATAAGTTCAGTTATGTAGTAGATACATTTTATTGGCATTGTAGCTGCTTGTGCTTTGTTGGTCAAATATGATGTTAAAGTTGCAGTGTGGTCAGCAGTGAAATAACAAAACATCTAGTGGTGGCTCTGTGCATCAGGCTCCCACTGCTCTGGCATACATCAGTCTGGACGTACAGGGCTCTGTGTGTGTGTGTACACAGAGTTATTTATGTGTGTATATTGGGTGTACAGGGCTCTGAGTCTCATGGTGTGTGTGTGTGTGAGATTATGAGTATGTGTACAGAGCTCTGTGTGGGTATGTGTGGATGTACAGCTCACTGTGCCTGTGTGTGTGCGTGTTAGTGTGTGTGTTCGAGAGGGGACCTGTCACAGACTACAGAAACTCAACACATTCAAATCAAATCAGTGTACACTTCAGGAAATCTAACTCAAAATAATAGTTGACATGTTACTTTACTTGAAAAGGTTGTTTACCAGTGTAAATAAATAAAACGTTTTATGCACAAGAGGTTTTGTACAGTCTTTTTCCCTTTTTGTTTAGAACCTTTCAGTCACCAAGTTATTGTGTCATGTCATTGTCAGCTGTACATCATGTAAACATATAGAACAAGTTATTGTGTGATGTCATTGTCAGCTGTACATCATGTAAACATAAAGAACAAGTTATTGTGTCATGTCATTGTCAGCTGTACATCATGTAAACATATAGAACAAGTTATTGTGTCATGTCATTGTCAGCTGTACATCATGTAAACATACAGAACAAGTTATTGTGTGATGTCATTGTCAGCTGTACATCATGTAAACATACAGAACAAGTTATTGTGTCATGTCATTGTCAGCTGTACATCATGTAAACATACAGAACAAGTTATTGTGTCATGTCATTGTCAGCTAGACATCATGTAAACATATAGAACAAGTTATTGTGTGATGTCATTGTCAGCTGTACATCATGTAAACATATAGAACAAGTTATTGTGTGATGTCATTGTCAGCTGTACATCATGTAAACATATAGAACAAGTTATTGTGTCATGTCATTGTCAGCTGTACATCATGTAAACATACAGAACAAGTTATTGTGTCATGTCATTGTCAGCTAGACATCATGTAAACATATAGAACAAGTTATTGTGTGATGTCATTGTCAGCTGTACATCATGTAAACATATAGAACAAGTTATTGTGTGATGTCATTGTCAGCTGTACATCATGTAAACATATAGAACAAGTTATTGTGTCATGTCATTGTCAGCTGTACATCATGTAAACATACAGAACAAGTTATTGTGTCATGTCATTGTCAGCTGTACATCATGTAAACATATAGAACAAGTTATTGTGTCATGTCATTGTCAGCTGTACATCATGTAAACATATAGAACAAGTTATTGTGTGATGTCATTGTCAGCTGTACATCATGTAAACATATAGAACAAGTTATTGTGTCATGTCATTGTCAGCTAGACATCATGTAAACATAAAGAACAAGTTATTGTGTCATGTCATTGTCAGCTGTACATCATGTAAACATATAGAACAAGTTATTGTGTCATGTCATTGTCAGCTGTACATCATGTAAACATACAGAACAAGTTATTGTGTCATGTCATTGTCAGCTGTACATCATGTAAACATACAGAACAAGTTATTGTGTCATGTCATTGTCAGCTGTACATCATGTAAACATACAGAACAAGTTATTGTGTCATGTCATTGTCAGCTAGACATCATGTAAACATATAGAACAAGTTATTGTGTCATGTCATTGTCAGCTGTACATCATGTAAACATATAGAACAAGTTATTGTGTCATGTCATTGTCAGCTGTACATCATGTAAACATATAGAACAAGTTATTGTGTGAATTGTGTCATGTCATTGTCAGCTGTACATCATGTAAACATATAGAACAAGTTATTGTGTCATGTCATTGTCAGCTGTACATCATGTAAACATATAGAACAAGTTATTGTGTGATGTCATTGTCAGCTGTACATCATGTAAACATACAGAACAAGTTATTGTGTCATGTCATTGTCAGCTGTACATCATGTAAACATATAGAACAAGTTATTGTGTCATGTCATTGTCAGCTAGACATCATGTAAACATAAAGAACAAGTTATTGTGTCATGTCATTGTCAGCTGTACATCATGTAAACATATAGAACAAGTTATTGTGTCATGTCATTGTCAGCTAGACATCATGTAAACATATAGAACAAGTTATTGTGTCATGTCATTGTCAGCTAGACATCATGTAAACATAAAGAACAAGTTATTGTGTCATGTCATTGTCAGCTGTACATCATGTAAACATATAGAACAAGTTATTGTGTCATGTCATTGTCAGCTGTACATCATGTAAACATAAAGAACAAGTTATTGTGTCATGTCATTGTCAGCTAGACATCATGTAAACATAAAGAACAAGTTATTGTGTCATGTCATTGTCAGCTGTACATCATGTAAACATATAGAACAAGTTATTGTGTCATGTCATTGTCAGCTGTACATCATGTAAACATATAGAACAAGTTATTGTGTCATGTCATTGTCAGCTAGACATCATGTAAACATAAAGAACAAGTTATTGTGTCATGTCATTGTCAGCTGTACATCATGTAAACATACAGAACAAGTTATTGTGTCATGTCATTGTCAGCTGTACATCATGTAAACATACAGAACAAGTTATTGTGTCATGTCATTGTCAGCTGTACATCATGTAAACATATAGAACAAGTTATTGTGTCATGTCATTGTCAGCTGTACATCATGTAAACATACAGAACAAGTTATTGTGTCATGTTATTGTCAGCTGTACATCATGTAAACATACAGAACAAGTTATTGTGTCATGTCATTGTCAGCTGTACATCATGTAAACATATAGAACAAGTTATTGTGTCATGTCATTGTCAGCTGTACATCATGTAAACATACAGAACAAGTTATTGTGTCATGTCATTGTCAGCTGTACATCATGTAAACATACAGAACAAGTTATTGTGTCATGTCATTGTCAGCTGTACATCATGTAAACATACAGAACAAGTTATTGTGTCATGTCATTGTCAGCTGTACATCATGTAAACATATAGAACAAGTTATTGTGTCATGTCATTGTCAGCTGTACATCATGTAAACATATAGAACAAGTTATTGTGTGATGTCATTGTCAGCTGTACATCATGTAAACATACAGAACAAGTTATTGTGTCATGTCATTGTCAGCTGTACATCATGTAAACATATAGAACAAGTTATTGTGTCATGTCATTGTCAGCTGTACATCATGTAAACATATAGAACAAGTTATTGTGTCATGTCATTGTCAGCTGTACATCATGTAAACATATAGAACAAGTTATTGTGTCATGTCATTGTCAGCTGTACATCATGTAAACATACAGAACAAGTTATTGTGTCATGTCATTGTCAGCTGTACATCATGTAAACATATAGAACAAGTTATTGTGTCATGTCATTGTCAGCTGTTCATCATGTAAACATATAGAACAAGTTATTGTGTCATGTCATTGTCAGCTGTACATCATGTAAACACATAAAAAATGTTTGTTAAGACAGTTTTGCTTGACAACAATTGTACATGAGCTAGTTTGGGCTAGGCAGAGTAGATACACTAGACACACAGCACTGTACGTCCACTTTGACAAGCACAGTGATGACATCTCCCACATCATCTACACCAGTCCTCGCGGCCAACACCAATAAAACATTGTACAAAATATACATTACACATCCTAATGGGACATCTTTGAGTGGTGGTATCAACATGTTTAGACACTTCAAGGTAGTTTCATTAATAAATATATCATGGTCTTGGAAGGCGAAAGCTGGTCATAGCATGAAGGCTGAGATGTCAACATATTAAGATAAGAAAATTCAACATAATGAGATCTAATGCAATGGAACAGATTGCTGTTGATGAGAATAGCTGACGCCACATTAGACAATGAAGCACCATATAAAGCACAAAGGGTTGCTACTTCTACAGGCTAGGCAGGGTGAGCTAACCCTTGTATACAGTTGCAAATATGTCTATTTGAATATGTAACTCTATGTATGCAACATTTTTAATAACACCTGTCACTCATCTTAATAATAAAAATAGCATCTGCACTAATGATTGTAATTTATACTAACTTGCTCGGATGGAATTATGTTAAATTTACAACTAACATAAGTTTACTGTCATGATATTAATTATGAATTATCAAATAAATTAATATATTACAAATAAAATATGACTTAAGCTAAACACTTAAATACAAAATGACTTTCATGTTTTGCTTGTGCTAGTGAAAACATTGTATATGTTGACAGGTGTCATGCACGGTCACCTTAGCTGCTGCTTGTTGTACAACTAGCTACATGCTACCTAGCTGCTGTACAGTGTCATATAGCTCCTCAGTGAAAACTACTTCTCAAGTGTGTACTGCTCCAAGTTGTTACATGTACACTCATAGAGAGCAAGCGTCTACCTCCCAAAGCAGATGCTAACAATGTGAGAAGTGCTTTATATATTAGTGATGGAAATAGCTATCTATATCAACATATTGTGTCAGCTATGCATACTTGGCTGGATGTGAGGTGGTCAGCATAGTTAGGATTTTAAGCCAAGTGATGTAAATACAGCTCTTAAAAGCATCATTTTATGTTTGTTGTGATTTTACTTTATTCAGATTAAAGACAAATATTTACTAAAATATGCAGTTAGATGGTATCGGTTCTGGTATGTGCCTTGGGACAAGGGCCAGTAGTGGCATCTGGGAGATACATATGAAGTATAATCAACTATTTCTATCAGTATGATAGACACATTCCTGGCAGCAAAATCTAGTAGTCTGTGGTGTGCCACACATCCATATAGGCCAGACATACACTGTGCTCCCTGCAAGCACACCCCTCTCCCTGTGGTGGACTGTCTGTGACCAGCCTCATACACTACCTCATACACAAACACACTTCCACTCATAGCAAATTACATGGAATCGGTTTATTACTTGGCAATTCAATAATACCAAAAGAAGGCCTGAAATACAAGGTAAAAAAGTACATTGTCTTACACAGAGCCTCATGTTTGTTAAAAACAAATTCCGACTACAAAACAAAATGAATAGTTGCACTGTCATATAGATGTCCATGTGTTTATAGTTTGAATCTTTGGAAACTCGAGCAAAGTGGAATGCAGATATTCTGTATCATGCTCACTGTACGCTGAGCACTTAAGTAGGCAAGTTTAGTAGGGTGAGTGGCATTGAGTAAGTAGAGTGGGAGGTTGTGGGCGGGCTTGCAGGGAGAGTATGCTCTGAGACAGGCACATGTAGGGAGAGTCTAGAGCTACTTTAGTGCAACATCAAACATTGGGGTGTAGCTGGGTCACCACACCCACCCCACCCACAGTACCTGGATCTGCTCAAATGGCACTTCAAATGTAAATGATTCATTATAGTAAGGGTTGAGTGTACACTTCTTGATTGTTGTCTTTTTCTTCTTAATGCGTTTGCCGTTTGACATCAGCGAGATCTTAACATAAGGATCTAGACGATTGAAGATGGTAAGGAAGAGAGAGAGAAAAAAATGTTGGTGTTATTTCTGCAAAGCACAAGCAAATTTTCAAAAAAAGACAGCAAGAAAAGGAGGGACATGCAGGAGTGCAAGGTCCTCATATTTCATCTGGTGTTGGGTAGAGGCTCCTGGGCCAGTCAATCAGCAGTTAAAGACAAAAGGCAATTGGAACAAACAACCAGATGAAGTGAGTCCCCCACTGCAGCTTGTCCCTCACCTGAGGCCCGGCTGGCAATATGGCTGAATGTATGCACCATTGATATATGGATCCTAGCACCAAGTGTACAAAGGCAAAAATGGAAAAAAGGTCAGCAAAATCTATTTTTTCATAGGAATATACCTGGATTTGTTCAAATGGTACTTCAAAAGTGAAAGACTCATTGAAGTAAGGGTTCAGAGTGCGTTTCTTAATTGTGGTTTTCTTTTTCTTGAGACGTTTGGTACCCTGATACACAGCAATTTTCACGTAGGGATCTGGCAATAGACAAGTTGACAAGGTTATGCTCCTGCTGGTGGCTGGCTGTGTTTCCTCCAGACATCTGGTAGACTGTTACACATCAATGTACCACATCTCTTCATCATGCACTCATATTGCACCCACTTTATCAGAGGCTAATTATGACAGTTTAAAAGTGATCAATAATATCTGAATATGTAACAAATTTGCTATATAAAAAGTGATCAGTGTGACAGAATCACACTACTGGCCAAACTCAAACATGTGTCATACCACAGTATCCAGGCTGCAGCTGAAATCAACACTTGTTACAAAACAAAGAAGGCATTAGTTACATCACATTCTCATAAAGACTACAATGGTTAAGAGAATTAAGCTAATTGCTTTCATGAATATGGATGAAACTGAATGTTATCTAAAATTGTTTCATATCTTAACACCTAAAATGTTGGCTACAAGAATGAACCCCTGCAATATCAAGGCCTTCCATCCTTCCTGTACAAACTGCAATACAGATGATAATGAACTCCTGCAATAGTAAAGCCTCCCTGTACAGACTGAGAGACAGATGATAATGAACTCCTGCAATAGTAAAGTCTCCCTGTACAGACTGAGAGACAGATGATAATGAACTCCTGCAATAGTAAAGCCTCCCTGTACAGACTGCGAGACAGATGATAATGAACTCCTGCAATAGTAAAAGCCTCTCTATACAGACTGAGAGACAGATGATAATGCACTCCTGCAATAGTAAAGCCTCCCTATACAGACTGAGAGACAGATGATAATGAACTCCTGCAATAGTAAAGTCTCCCTATACAGACTGCGAAACAGATGACAATGAACTCCTGCAATAGTAAAGCCTCCCTGTACAGACTGCGAGACAGATGATAATGAACTCCTGCAATAGTAAAGCCTCCCTATACAGACTGAGAGACAGATGATAATGAACTCCTGCAATAGTAAAGCCTCCCTGTACAGACTGAGAGACAGATGATAATGAACTCCTGCAATAGTAAAGCCTCCCTGTACAGACTGAGAGACAGATGATAATGAACTCCTGCAATAGTAAAAGCCTCCTGTACAGACTGCGACTGAGAGAGACAGATGATAATGAACTCCTGCAATAGTAAAGCCTCCTATACAGACTGAGAGACAGATGATAATGCACTCCTGCAATAGTAAAGCCTCCCTATACAGACTGACAATGAGAGACAGATGATAATGAACTCCTGCAATAGTAAAGTCTCCCTATACAGACTGCGAAACAGATGACAATGAACTCCTGCAATAGTAAAGCCTCCCTATACAGACTGAGAGACAGATGATAATGAACTCCTGCAATAGTAAAGCCTCCCTATACAGACTGAGAGACAGATGACAATGAACTCCTGCAATAGTAAAGCCTCCCTATACAGACTACAAGACAGATGATAATGAACTCCTGCAATAGTAAAGCCTCCCTATACAGACTACTTGAGACAGATGATAATGAACTCCTGCAATAGTAAAGCCTCCCTATACAGATGATAATGCACTGAGAGACAGATGACAATGAACTCCTGCAATAGTAAAGCCTCCCTATACAGACTACAAGACAGATGATAATGAACTCCTGCAATAGTAAAGCCTCCCTATACAGACTACTAGACAGATGATAATGCACTCCTGCAATAGTAAAGCCTCCCTATACAGACTGCAGCAGACAGATGATAAGAACTCCTGCAATAGTAAAGCCTCCCTATACAGACTGCGAGACAGATGATAATGCACTCCTGCAATAGTAAAGCCTCCCTATACAGACTGAGAGACAGATGATAATGAACTCCTGCAATAGTAAAGCCTCCCTATACAGACTGAGAGACAGATGATAATGAACTCCTGCAATAGTAAAGCCTCCCTGTACAGACTGAGAGACAGATGATAATGAACTCCTGCAATAGTAAAGCCTCCCTATACAGACTACTAGACAGATGATAATGCACTCCTGCAATAGTAAAGCCTCCCTATACAGACTACTAGACAGATGATAATGAACTCCTGCAAGAGTAAAGACTCCCTATACAGACTGCGAGACAGATGATAATGAACTCCTGCAATAGTCATGATATAGCCATAGGTACAAAGTGCTCAATGTTCACCTTATTTTGACCCAAACTTTTTCAAAGCAGGACTCCATCCAAAGGAGGTATACCCAACAGAACAAGCATAAGGAGAAATACAGTCATACTGCTTGAGGAAGTGTAACAACAAGTTTCAGAGTGATATTTGTTTTCCATTTCATGACCTTGACTGTAAATCTTTCTCTGATCTTCTATCTGCCAAAACTTCATGGAGGAGCAATCTGTGGTATCACTAATCTTTGTGAAATATTACTGCAATGGTAAAGCTTTCCTAAACAGACTACAGGTGAGATGATAATGAAGACTGAGAGATGTGTGAAGGTCAGGATTAGGAAACATCCTTAAGACAGCCGGGCTCTACAACAAACATGTTAGGAATTTATATCATAAATACCCAGATAAACCCCTCAAAAATTGTTAACATTACTGATTTCTAATTATAGTAATATGCTAAGTATCTAAAAATGCATTTGGAACTTTTCACGCCAGGTTAAATGTATGCCAGCGGACTTCTGTTTTGTCACTCTTTGTCCCATTTTCCCCTCTTTATCAGTATTAAGCTCACTGCCTGGGGTCTGCTCTTTCTGCAGATACAATACTATCAAAGTATTTGACACTGGCCCAGGATTATAAATTCAAAAAAGATGTTATGTCAAAATGGCTATATAGTAATTATCATGGTAGTTTTATTTATTGTAGTGATACTGTCAAATGCACATTTCCAAGTGCTTTCCATAAAAGTACAACACATGATAGTGTTTCCAAAAGAGATCCTGTGACCAGCTCCTAATTTGCTATGGTTTGAAATAATGCCTCAACTTTGGTTTGGATGTGCCAAAGATATGGAATTTCTTCAGAAAACATGAATATCAAAAACTGTCAAAAGTGGGAAGTGAATACCTCGTCATATTTAGGGGGAGAAGAGTTTTCATTGAAAGGATTTTATGAGGAAGATTAAAATTTGAGGAATCCCTGGCAAAAGAAAACACCATGGCAATATGAAAGTCCCAAAATACAATCCTCCCATGTACGTCACCAGCCTGGCTGTGTGTAGCTCACCTGACAGACCACCAACATCCATCTTCTTCAGGTTCTTAGCCTCCAAAATGACCACAGTGAGCTTGCCTGCCGTTGGGACATAACGTAGAGAGAAGCAGATGTCTCCTAGTTTGTTTTCCTGAAAAGTTCAATATAATCAGCCTGCTAAGCTGTCTTACACTTAGCTCATGTGATGGTGTGCAATCATTTTTTAATCTCACAAATATGATGCAAGTTAGAAATACGAGTAAAGAAACAGATGCAAGCTGATACCAGGTCTGTTATAAGACATACACACAATTAGACCATACAGCTGGAACATGGCTCCACAATGAAGATGCATACATTTCCATCAAGCAGAGGCACTTGGTGACGTTTTCTGTCTTCCTTTTTTTAAAGGCAGTATGTATTTCTTTTCAAACCATGATTAATACCTTTCAAAAGACAATGGATGCACGCTGGTATAGACCTGTCATACAGGAGAAGATGGCCAGTGGGTCAGTGTTCAAATGACATGGCTTTGACATTGGTTGAACAGGACACCTTAACCAAGATGTAACCATAAGTGCTCAACCTCTCCTTTGGCTTCTGCAGGTGTTTCTTGCTAACAGACTAGATTCAGGGTACATTTAACACAATAGATAACAAGTGAACATCTATATGCTTGTTTTTAAAGTAGTGAACATTGAGTGTACCTTCTCAGCATCATTGTCTGGACTGGTGAGGTCCCTCCACTCCTCAACCACCCGACCCAGGTCGATGGAGTTAAGTGGCACAAGAACCTGGCCTATCTGGTCATGTTTAGAGAAGCGATCAAAATCATAGACAGCAAAGGTCAGTGTCTTGGACCCCACTTCAGCATATGGAACCTGCAACAATAACAGAGGTACATTTTCCCTGGCTGCTGATCAAAGTGAGGGCTAGTAACAGAAAGAAATGCGATTGACAAGCATGTCTCATCATCACTGTCCTGAAAACAGTTTTGAAACAGGAGTTAAATGCAGTCCTTAAGCATGACAAATGTCATGCCTTGTACACTGTTGTCAGATAAGCATAAAAACAACTCTCCAATCAACTCTAAAAACTGGTATCAATTTGCCAATCACTGTAAAGAGTGCTTTACCTATATTCATCCACTTTGCGATTCAGGATACTGGCATCAGTATAACACCCCCATATAAAATCAATGAAATACAAAAATAGGGCTAATCAAACACTAAATGGCCTGGCTTGCTAGTGTGCGAAATATGCTTTATGTCGGAGAGCACACATTAAATCTCTAAAGCAGCATCATCATAAAAAATAGGGCACCTATCAACTACAATGTTGCGAAATTTTTACAAAAATGTCTTAGTGTATGCTTTAAAAGCCTATTTTGTTTTAGAGATGAAAGAAACAAGTGACAGCTGGTCAAACTGTGATGTCAATAACCAGTCCAACTGTGACGTCAGTAACCGGTATGGTCAATACCACAAACCATCCAGACATGCAGCTGTCACATCTTCATAGGTATATTGTACACCAAACACCAGTATGTGTATACAAGCATGTCCACCCTTTGCATGGAATCTCCTTTTGGTTAAACTATAGAATTGAAGACCAAGACGCCAAAACAAGGATTGTCCGTCAAGTAACTGCCACAAAACTGAATTGTCATAGACTTGTAGATTCCATCCCTCTAAATCTCATATCACTTCCAGGGCTCCAGATAAGGGCCGTATCGACGTACAGTCATACAGAAGTAATTACAATCCATCTGGGAGGGCTGTAAAACTGTCTGGGAATTAAAATGAATATTGCAAAACATGTTATTTTCATCCACATGAACTGCTCACACCTCTGAGCAGGACAGCGAACCTGAATATATATTGTTGACAGTTTAGAATGTCAACAAAAACAGCCCACTTCCTAAAGTTTCTATCAGCATTAATACAGAGGACTCATAAATGTCACACACACTAACATCTGAATGATTTGACACATGTCAAGTTCAGCTTCTTCAACCTGGCACTTGCCCAGAAGATATTTACTATATTTACAGAGTCAAATTGAGAGCTTTTAAGTTTGACTAACAACATATTGTAAGATATTACCACTACAAGCATGTACCAACATCACTTACATTTTGAACAAAAATTGCTGAATAATGACTATCAATTATTTTTTTCTGTAGCACTGCTGAATTCCAATGAAGAAGCCTTGAACATACTGGGAGCTACATTTGGAGATCTTTTTATCCACCAAGTTTCAATCTTCTGGTCTTTACAGACAGGGATAAGAAGAATTTCATAGTTTGGAAGAAGATGAAGGATAGCCACCTGGTGGCTACACTAAAATTGCAATTGTTTTGAGAAGTCCAAATGTTAAATGCTTATGCATGGCAATTCTGGCCAGGTGATCTGAAAACTAGATAACAGATGGTGCAAAAACAAAATGTTGGAAAACAGAGTCTATATAATACCATAATAAAACAGCTGAGAGAGATGAAAAGGGGAACAGTGTTTCTGAGAACTGCCTTACTAAAACATACAGAAATCTGTTCACTGCTACCTTTAGCTGAGTACTGGTTATATCACTGCTACAACCAGTTATATTTCTGTGATCAGTGCCAAACATCATGTATACAATGAACTACATTGTCCTGATGACATCTTTAACTCACTGAATCATGCTGTAGGGAATCCCTACCTTAAATGTGAAGGTTTCATTGAACACTGGGTTCAATGTTTTTCGATGGACTTTAGTTTCATATTTCTTCTTCTTGTCTGGGAGGAGGTAAACCTTGACGTAAGGGTCCGATGTGCCACTCATGTCCATCCCGGGGAGGTCAGCAGCCTGGATGACGCCTACAGACAGCTGCAGGACACACACAAGGGCAAGTTACACAAGTAAAGCTGTACCTAAGGCCCTAAGACCAATAGAAGATGAACAATCTCATACTGCCAGAGTTGTAATCAAAACTAACAAAACATCCTCTTACTCTTTGTTAGAATTATTTCCTAACTAGTTACTGTCAGGTATAAACTGTCCTGGGGCAGCAGCACCTCAGCCAGTGAGGTAACGGTGTGAGGTGATCAAGTCCTCTGGGTGTACTTACCTCTCCCTTCTGGAAGTCATAGTCCAGAGAGAATTGCAGTTTGCCCAGCTTCACCTCCGACTTGGTACTCTCATTGTCCTCATTGTCCTCCATGTTAACATTCAACTCATCCAAGTCTGGCTGCACCTACAACCACAAACACACTGCTACAGGAAATACCTAACTCAAAATACCCGTTCAATTAAAGAATTTCTTCAGTAGGATATTGAGTGAGATTTCTGCCATGGCCAGTGTGTATGGGATTTCTGCCATGGCCAGTGTGTATGGGATTTCTGACAGTGCCAGTGTGTATGGGATTTCTGACAGTGCCAGTGTGTATGGGATTTCTGCCATGGCCAGTGTGTATGGGATTTCTGCCATGGCCAGTGTATATGGGATTTCTGACAGTGCCAGTGTGTATGGGATTTCTGCCATGGCCAGTGTGTATGGGATTTCTGACAGGGCCAGTGTGTATGGGATTTCTGACAGTGCCAGTGTGTATGGGATTTCTGCCATGGCCAGTGTATATGGGATTTCTGCCATGGCCAGTGTGTATGGGATTTCGGCCATGGCCAGTGTGTATGGGATTTCTGCCATGGCCAGTGTATATGGGATATCTGAAAGTGCCAGTGTGTATGGGATTTCTGACAGTGCCAGTATGTATGGGATTTCTGCCATGGCCAGTGTGTATGGGATTTCTGCCAGTGCCAGTGTGTATGGGATTTCTGACAGGGCCAGTGTGTATGGGATTTGTGACAGGGCCAGTGTGTGTGGGATTTCTGACAGTGCCAGTGTGTATGGGATTTCTGCCATGGCCAGTGTATATGGGATTTCTGCCATGGCCAGTGTGTATGGGATTTCGGCCATGGCCAGTGTGTATGGGATTTCTGCCATGGCCAGTGTATATGGGATATCTGACAGTGCCAGTGTGTATGGGATTTCTGACAGTGCCAGTATGTATGGGATTTCTGCCATGGCCAGTGTGTATGGGATTTCTGACAGTGCCAGTGTGTATGGGATTTCTGACAGGGCCAGTGTGTATGGGATTTGTGACAGGGCCAGTGTGTATGGGATTTCTGACAGTGCCAGTGTGTATGGGATTTCTGACAGGGCCAGTGTATATGGGATTTCTGACATTGCGAGTATGTATGGGATTTGTGACAGTGCCAGTGTGTATGGGATTTCTGCCATGGCCAGTGTATATGGGATTTCTGACATTGCGAGTATGTATGGGATTTCTGACAGTGCCAGTGTGTATGGGATTGTTTCAGCTCAAAATATGCATAACTCAGTCATTAACAGGCAATAATGTTAACACCACTCCTTTTGGGTAAGACTTGACACTGTATTCATCAGGGTTAGCTTAGAGTCAATGTGTGAAAATGCAGCATATACAATAGGTTGTATGCTCAGGTGAAACAATAAACATCAACACATGACCTAAAGGTGACATTCATATTTTTTTCCAATTCCCAAATCAAAGTCAAACAATTTTCAACAAAGCTGTTGAATTCAGATCAACACTGATCTGGTTTCCTTACACTCAGACTAAGTCACTATGACCAGCATACATGCAACATTTTGTGAAGATATCTATTAGTAGCAGTCAATAACTTGTGAACATTGTGGTGCCACACTTCAACACACACACGCTATCAGTACAGTCTGATCTATTGTGTCTGTCAGCACCTTGAACTGCAGTGAATATATTGTATGACACTCTGTCACCCCTCCTGTACCTTCTCCTTGATGGAGTTGCCTAGCAACTGTACACTCTTCAGGTCGACAGCCCCTTTCAGCCCCTTCTTGCCTTCCTTCTTCTTTCGCTTCTTGCAGCAGCATCGCTTGCACACGCAGTAGGTGCAACACAGCAGGAACAGCAGTGCACCAGCACATATCAGGATGATCGCCCACAGAGGCACTGAAAGTGACATGTGAGATAACTCAAAGTATATGAAAAACAGAATATAAATTATTGTTACCTTAAAAACATAAAGCTATTAAAAGGGGTGAAAGTATACCGAGGTATCAGTAGAACCGCAGTAGTTTGCTTTTGTTTCGGTTTACTGTAATACAATCCAAAAATTCAATATTTTCAGTTTTCGTGCCGTCATTTTATTAACCTTTTAAAACCTTTTCTGAAATGTCTAGAAATCAAATCATTTTGTCAATATCTATTTAGGTTTGGCTCTTGTCAACTTTCTGCATTAAGATCATAGTTTAAACATATTTTATTCACAATGTGAAAAGGATCGGGGACAAGTTCTTTCAACTTATTAAACCCCTCTCCAAGATATTTACAATAACTAATTACATTAAGATCATATCTCAGAATGAGGCTAAATTTATAGTCATAAATAGGTTTTTGTGTGAAGACAGAAGTATAACTACTCCATACGCTACAATAAAAGTAGCAAAGTACTAGGGTTGGGTATTGCGATATATTGCGATATGTGTTGGCATACTGCAATATGTATTGCAATATATTGTAAAAGTGTAACACATGGTTTAGCTCTTTCAACACCAGTCAACCAGAGACTTTTACCACCATTATTAATCATATTATTCAAATAATACAACTACAATTTAAATAAGTTATTTTTTTAATGAAAATGAAGCTTAAACATTATAAGTGTTTTCAGACATTGTGAAAAGTGATAGATTTGATAAATGAATCATATGTTAGGTAGGTTGCTAAAATCATATGTCATTTTGATGTGACTACTGCCTGGCTGGTTTACTGGCCTACGGTGCCTTGGCCACAGGCCCTCGTGTCTTTGCGAGGATTAAATGATTGAATGAGTGAGTTTAGTTTTACGCTGCACTTGGCAATATTCCAGCTATATGGCGTCAGTCTGTAAATAATCGAGTCTGGACCAGACAATCCAGTGATCAACAGTATGAGCATCGATCTGCGCAAATGGGAACTGATGACGTGTGTTAACCAAGTGAGTTAGCCTGACCACCCGATCCCGTCAGTCGCCTGGGTTACTGAAGATCAATATTCTAACCCGGACCGTCATGGGTGTGAGGATTAAAGGTTAAAGAAATATTGTTTTTGAGATGACCCCCAAATCAAACTGCTTCCCAGTACAGCACATCATGCTTGTATTGTACTATGAAGCATTTCGAGTTGGGGGTCATCTCAAATTTGTATGTATTTTTTTAAATCTTTAATCTTCGCAAAGACAAGAGGGCCTGTGGTCTTGGCTGTTTTTCCGGCCTGCGGTGTTGAATGGGTTAACTAAGGTAATGAAATTACTGTTTTCGTTTCTTTTGAAACAATGCCACTAGCAACTCTCAGGACTCAGGTGTGATTGACAAATAAACATTCTCAAAACTATCATAATGTAAAGAAAATACAAATGTTATTAGTATTTTTTACTACATCACGACAATTACTGATCATGGTCACGGAAATTGCCGATTGTATTGGGTAAACCAGTTCGCGAAAAGTGTACTACAATATATCATTTTGCGAAGTTCAAATTGCAATATACTGGTTAACCGGAATTATCGCCCACCCCTACAAAGTACTGTAGCTCAGAAAATCTCATCAAATCTCTGTATTTACTGATATCTAAAAATTCTGAACAAATTTGGAATTATGACCTAAGTCAAAGCTACAAGCAGGTGGCAGCATGAAAGTCTGTGCTGGACCATGTGCTTGGTAGTTTTCAAGATGAATGCTGTCTGCAGCAACCCCTGACAATGTGTTAACTATCTCTGACACTACAGGAAGCATGGTACTGTCTACTGAATCATCCTGTTTCATATGCTAATTATCACATTAGGTGTCAATTATCATCCACAACATTACCAACCTTTGACATGATGAGCTCAGTACATATAATTGATGTTTGCCACATGTTTAGTGAACTTGTCACCCATATTCTACTTGCAATTAATGTGTGTTTTTTACCATTCATCTGGCTAATTGTGCAAACGACTTTTAGAAGCCAACCTATTACACTCTGCCAATAAACATATTGCCTTCTATGAAAGTCATTCCATAATAATTGATCTGACCTAAAGTTAATCCAATGACACATACAGCAGCCCTGGGAGTCAACTTGTCAAATTACATGTAACATTATCAAACAGCTGTTATAAACTGTTATGCACAATGCTTGCCTTCACCAAATGCAAAGATATGTATCTATTTGTTTGACTGGTCATAAAATTGTACGATTTGTGTACAGGGAACTTCCATGATACACTTAGGAGAGCATTGATATTCTAACACTTTAGAGTGGCATTATAAAACTGTCATAGCTGAGCGACATAGTTGCTTTACTTAGTGCAATGTTTCAGTACAGATAACTTCATTACCCAAGGGGGGATCCCACGCCTGGGTTTGGTGGGGTTCATTTAGTTCATCTGAATAATAGAGGACAAGGGGAAACAGCTGAAATAATGATAAAGGTGACAAATGGTATCAGTGGATATGAAGCTTTAGGAAGAAGCCCCGCAATAATAAGGTGACTGGATGTATTGTGTGTAGTCACAGTTTGATGAGATGATATCATTTTAATTGACGATATAACCCTGGTCTCTGTTGATAGCCATCTTGGATGTACTGATGTCAAAGGCTTCTGTCAGCTTTCTATAGTGATGTTTATCAGGATGGAAGCAATGGGCTGGTCCACTGGATCTGACAGACTGAAGACTACATGTCTCCTCTGTTACCAGTAGGACTCATGACAGACTGCCGCTATGTATGATAACCAATACATACAATAGTTGATAACAATAAACTTACAAGGCTCTGGTGTTGACCTTAATTTTTCAGACTTTACCCTGATATCAGAATGGTTCTACAAGTACAAGGTAAGTGAGCTTAACACCACTTTGAACACTAGTTTAGTAGCTTGGTTTATCAGCTGGAAGTGTGAGTGCTGCTGGTCTTGGAAACCTAGAGACACGATCAGATACACAACTGGCACGTCTTAAGTATGTATCTCTGCATAGCAAATTGCAGCCCTGTATACACAACTGTGTCACTCTAATCTGGCATATCAAAATACCATTTCTTCCGTTTTCCAAGTGAAATGACAGATTTCGACATGAGAAGTGCGCCGATCATTTCGAGTCTGATGCATATGAAAGAGACATGCATGCATGGGGTATGGAAATCCCCAAGCTAGGCTGAAGAAGAAAAAAGTACCCACAAGATTCATTTATACTCCATCATTCCCTGTAACAACTTACTGTCAGTGGTATTTTGAACATAAATTAAATCAAGTCCGATTGCCAGTCGAATTGCCCCCGCTACAAAATGACCCAGCAAATTTGGTCAAATTGCCCCAGTGGGGTAGTCAAAATGCCCCATTTTATGTAAAATGAATAAATATAGACCATAAATGCATAGTTTTGTCAACTTTGATATTATGTTCTTCATATATAAGTATATACATAGTTATGAGTTTACTAATGAAACATTTATCAGAAATATTACTTCCTAATAACTTTTATATGAAGAACATAATATCATAATAAGTTGACAAAAACTATGCATTTACGGCATATATTTAATCATTATAAATAAATTTGAACAAATTAGAATGAATGACCAAATTGTTTGGGGCAGTTCGACTGGTATATATTATCAAAATCAGTAAGAGATTTCACATGAGCTTGAAAATGTTTCGCTATGACGTTCTTTTCGGTTTGGAGCCCTAAATGATGCAATCAACTTGAAACATTGCCGAATACAACGGCAAATCATGAAGTACTTGTTGCTTTCATTGTTTTCCATTTTGTCCAATTACGCACGTCGTCATCAGACTCGCTATTTGTCAGGTGTGTGTGCCGTGAAAGTTGTTCTGTATTCTCATTGACTGACAAGATGTCATTCTCAGGCTATGACCGAGTACCATAACTATTTCCATAACCAAACAATGGGGAAACATACGTTGTCCTGAGTAGTATTTTATAATTCACCAGTTTTCAGGGAATAACTAAAGTCTTTCTGCGTTGTGAATATTATCTCTGCTCGACCAGGCTGGGATCTTGTCTGACTGACTGACTGACTGAGGTTAATTTTACGCCACTTTTAGCAATATTCCAGCAATATCACGACGGGGGACACCAGAAATAGGCTTCACACATTGTGTCCATGTGGGGAATCGAACCCGGGTCTTCGGCGTGACGAGCAAACGCTTTAACCACTAGGCTACCCCACCACCCCCTGGGATCTGGTATCGAGACTTGATACGTTATTAATGAGAACTAGGATCCTAATTTTTTTCTATAATTCCAGTGTAATTTTTGAAGCAGATAATTTTTATTTTCCTTCGTCTGAAGCATAATTATTTTGTTTTTAAATCCAAGACACCCTAGTCACCAATATGACACAAAATGAACTGTAATCACATTTAAAAAAAAAAATTCTTAGTGACTGGTCATATATTTATAGGGGTGAGTTTGCTGGTTGGAACTGTATGACATTTTGCTGACAAATAGTAATCTTGTTGAATGATATGGTCTATTTTTAAATTTATTTTGACCTCAAGTGGTGCCTCCATTTCGCTTGATTCTTCTTCTTCATCTTCAGTGGAAGATTGTCTTGCAAGATGTAAAATCGGATCATATTGATACCGTTTAACATCCATTTCAGAAATGGCATCAGGAACATCTTTTACTGCTTCAGCATCCACGGACACTGTTAAGCTGTGAGGTAAACTCAAAGAGGAAGCCGTCAGCACGGGCACTTATGACGTCATGTCACGTGATACCCCCTCTGCTCATTAACTGTCAGGTGTTTCCGTAATAGGCGGAAATACGAGTACGTTTTTAGTGGTTTTTTTGCTATTTTACAAACTTTTTGTTCAATTTTAATCACGGAATGTGACTTTTAGAATATCCTTTACAATAAATGAAAAGTTTTGTTTTCGTTTGTATTCTCCTTTAAACATTTGTCAATGACACTTAATGAACACCTGGTTAGTATCCTGCTAGGTAACTGGTGCCATTAGCCACCTCACTAATCATTGTGAGGGTGTTAGTACAACATAACCACTGGCAGAGTGGGTAGCACTGGATACACTGGGGGTTCCAATTTGTTTTAATGGATTTAGAAAAAGAGATAAATGGATTTGTCGAAAATCTTTTTCTGGTGTTAACATGTCAGCAGCAGCCAGGTTTGTGCTGTTAGAGGAAGGTTAAAACTTAATAATTATCTGTATGTACACATACATTCTACACGGCTGTATTTAATACAAAACAGGCAAATATGTACATTCTTGGGTCCATACAGGTGCATATAAGATTACAGGTGGTAATATCTTAAGATCAAGATGGTTTCATACTGTATATGTTTCTTGTAATTCCAGAAATCTGAGAGGTCACACCCAATGAAACAGACTACTTCAAAAACACTGGAGTGTCAAAGGAATACCAGTGCAAGAGGAAGGATTTTGCCTTTTTTCTTGGGCACACTTGATCCTATAATTATGATTACTGTACATGCATAAGAAGGCAGGTTTGGGCTAAAATCATCATCTCCTTGCACAAACTGATTATAGATCAATGATTTGTTACAATGGAAATTTGCAATTTGTCCAGACCAGTCTTCATAGGCAAAATCATTATTGTCCCTGAAAATACTTGCCTCCAGAGGGTTTCAAATACGTAATATCATTTAATTTCAAACACTGTCATTCATTTTGTTAAACTGCAATTCAAATCAACTCTTGGCAAATGTATCATAACTTTCACACTAGAAATATTGTTAATTGCCATATTGCCACAAAACTATTAAGCCTAAACCTAACAATATATTTTATCCACATCAGTGCTGAAGGAGGAGTTAAATAGCATACCTTTTCCATGGAATGTGGGAAGGATAAACACAACAATATGTCTGCTTGCTATAGTAATGACAGTGACCCAGGTAATACACAGGGAGTTAATCTTAGTTCATAGTGTAGTTGGAAGAAGTTTCATTTGCACATACGCTTTGATTGACAAGCTCTGTCAATTTTGTTCATTTGCATTCATTGGTTAATGACTTTAGAGGCGTGCCAGCCTCTGTCACTATATTAAAAGATTTATCCCATCATATGAACCTGTTTTGACAGATATGACTGGTTGTCATTAAACTATTATAGAGAACATATACTTTTGTTGTAAAATGTATTTCTAAGGACTGACACTGTATTTTGTTTAGGTACAGTCAATCTTTGTCCACTACAATCTCAGTAGGTCACCACTACCTTCATCAACAGTGACAACCTTACACTCACACATCTAGTGGCTCTCAAAATGGTCACCCTCTCTACCTTTCTCAAGCAGCCTTACTTTATCATGATAGACAACACACCTTGTATTCCAAACAGAATTTGAAAACATGTAACTTTCATCATACACAATAGATACTCACTGCATTGAACACCAAAACCTACCTGCAGACATGACACTGTTAATTCCCTGAGCTTCTATCACACAGAATCAAGTGAACTCATAGGACAGACAGGTGTCACGTGAAAGTGGTAATGCCAGATGCTACAAAACCTATCATGCGATCAGGAATATTCCTCACTGCCTTTGTTCTCAGTCTGTGATGAGCTAGCTAGTGGAAACATCCAACTGTACATGCAAGAAGTCTGTTTACAGCAATGGACATTCTGGAGGAAATCTTATTCTTATGTGTTGAATGTGGCACCTGGTATGTGTGAGCAAGTTTTATTCCTGAGAAATCATTAATGAACCAAACAGTGTGCAAGATACAACTTACAAGTTCAGACTGAAGGAGGTAAGTCAACTATTGAGAAGAGATCAATGCTCCATCTTACTTACATTTATTTACATTTTCCCAAAACATGGCTTCCAGCTTTCCTATGCCTGTTGGCGCTTCTGTGGACCCCCCTGCTTCTGCTGCTACCTGAGTCACATCTCCAACAGGAGGTGCTTCGCTTGCAGCTGCTGCTGCAAGGCCTCCACCATCTTCATCGCCTGTTACAGCTCTCTTCAAAGCCCGACGGGCTCGGAGTAATGCCTCCATTATGGGCACAGGCATTTACCTGAAGTGCTCACAACAGGACCTGCAACAGAAATACTCTGTGTAAATCATCTATCAATACAGTAGTCATGACGAGCAGTATGGGTGTCAGCCTACCTCCCCTGATACATACCCGAATCATACATGAAGTCATTTCTCAGTTTGATGTAGTGCCGTTAGTTCACACCTATTTCAATTCTACAATGAAAAACAATACACCTCAACAAGTGACGGTGACAATGGAAAGACTACACAAAGTAAATTGGCTTCAGTCATGTTTCTTCACTTTTAAAAATGAACTGTATGAATGTTTTGCTTACAGATGCAGAGTTTCACCATGCCCTACAAAACTAGTGGTCGAAAGGACCCCAAACTACTCATTTCAAATAGTCCTGCAAAGTAATGAAGTAGTGTAATGTACTGTACCACATAGTGTAACAGCTGTTCTTTACCAAATGGTAATATTTCTTGTCGAGAATATGGCACAATGAATGTATTTGTGCAATCCCTTGGGACACAATACCAATTTTCCCTGTATCCATTCTACATATTTGTCACTATATGAGCTTCTCCAAGTTCCATGCAGCTCGCAAAGTACTCTATCAAGTCGTCAAATCTTGAACAGCCAGTCACGTGTATTCCATCTATTTCATTTTGGATGAGTGTATCCATTTAGATTCACATATCATGAAATATGTAACTTTCTGAGAAAATTGAGAAAATCATGAAGAATGGTTTCATCTGTGTATTTATCCTCTCCATGCTCCCGTCAATAACTTGTTTATATATAAAGTACCTCACTGTCACAGTTGCTGTTGTAGTATGTCGGTATGATTATGCAAGACAAGCATTGTCACTAAGGTGACATAATCCCCCGTCGCAAATTATCAAATCAAACTTAAAAAGTAATGAAATTTTAAGTTACTGACAAGCATAACATGCAGCTTAATATGCTGAAATCTTCAAAGTGTCGCCATGACCTTGAAAATTAAGTGTAGGTCACCAAAATTGACTGGGCCCTGTGCCTTCAAAAATAAAGCTGGATGTCAAATATGAAGAAAATCCAGAGAATGGTTCTTGAGGTATCTCGCTGACAAGCTTAACATGCAGGTTAATAGGCTGAATTCTTCAAAGTGTCGCCATGACCTTGAAAATTATGTGAAGGTCACCAAAATCGACTGGGCCCTGCACCTTCCCTAGATAAAGCTTGGTGTTGAATATTAAGAAAATCCAGTGAACAGTTCTTGAGATAGCTTAACATTAGGGTCGGGAATTGGTTAAAATCTTATAATTGATGATTGGTTCATTGCAACCGATCAATCATCGAAAATAATTGGTTAGCGTCATTTATCAAATGTTCCTGTTATCTTTGTTAATGCACACACAAAAAATAAAGAAAAAACATGTAGTAATTTGAGTTTTTTTGCAAATTGCACAAAATCTATTGGCAAATTTCGCATATTTAAAGGATGATTAGTATGTAAGGAACACAGATTTCCTGGATTCTTTAAGATAAATTCAATCATGACTTGGAACGAGCTTGTAGTGCTTATGAAATGTAAATTTAATGACACTGACAAAACCAACCTTGTGTAAAATATTGTTGATGCAAACAAGTGTTCCAAAATTGGTTTGTTCGATTATGAGAAAACACAATCGATTGCTTGGTCGTTTAGGCACTGCGACCAATCTTCGATTATGTCAATTAATCGGACCACCATTACTTAACATGCAGATTAACATGCTGAAATCTTCAAAGTGTCGCCATGACCTTGAGAATTATGTGAAGGTCACCAAAATCGACTGTGCCCTGCGCCTTCCCTAGATAAAGCTTGGTGTTGAATATGAAGAAAATCCAGTGAAAGGTTCTTGAGATAGCTTAACATGCACGTTAACATGCTGAAATCTTCAAAGTGTCGCCATGACCTTGAGAATTATGTGACCAAAACTGACTGGGCCCTGCGCCTTCCCTAGATGAAGCTTGGTGTTGAATATGAATAAAATCTAGAGAATGGTTACGGACGGAGCCTAATACTATATCCCCCGCTTCGCGCTAAACGTGAGGCAGGGGATAACAACATAGATTGCAGAGAAAGGCTTGGCCTCTTTTGTGTGTGTTTCTTTACAAACAAGAGAAAAGTTCAGTCATGCGATGACTTAGTCTCGGTATTATTCGTTACACTGCTATACTGAGTCACCTTGAGGAAATATGAGTTAATAGTAACCATGTCATCAGAAACCCCTAAGTGTATATACTGCAGGTCAAATATCTGTGTTTTATGCGAATTTTCATTTGTTGAGAGATCACTGTCAGCGACCGGGGAAGAGAAAATACATTTTGTAAGTCCCGCCGATTTCTAAATAGTAGCCGTTGCCTGATTGGTTAAATCAGTTCGTACGTCTCGCATTTGATTGGACAGTAATAGGTCGCTCAAAGGCTACATTCTACTAGGGTTTGATAGACTCAGAATAGCAGTGTAACAAATAATACTGAGACTAGGTTTACTTGGACTGACACTTGCAGTGTGGTCAGTGGAGCAGAAATTTCTACTGCGGAATAAAGCAGGCAGAGGTGAGTAAACTTTGGGTAAAGGATGCTTCAGAATTGTTGAGGTACTGTCCCTTTATTTGGTAGAAGGTGAAGGTAGGTGTACAGACACAAAAGATTGGCAACTTGTCTCTGTTAATTGTGGTTGAGTTTGGCCATCCCAATTTTCAGTCCCATTTTGGCCTACAAATGCATATTGTAAGAAATAAGTAATGGCCAAGAGATTTTCAGGAGTCTTTTTTCTGATATTTGTTCATGTACAAGTCACTGAGCCAAGCAGATTTTACGTAGAAGAGGTAGGTGATGTAGCACAAACATATGGCAAAGAATCTTTGGTTACCGGATATTAAAAGTTTGTTTCCCTCATCATGTATAGTATGTGCAACGTTTCATCATTTTACAACATTTCTCAGTTTACCTCAGAATACCATATCCTTCAACGATAGGGAAAGTTATCAATAACAATAATAACTCCCGTTCAGCTACATGTTGATGGGTTTTGCATTTGAAATAATTAAGCTGTCTAAGAGGGATTTAACTACCCAATCTATGATTTTAACTTAAATTAGACACTTACAAAAATATTCAGGGCTTCAGTAATTGCAACCTGGGAGTTAAATTACTCAGGTGTTCACGTGAGGGTTCTGGAAATCCATAGATTTAGTAGTATGGTGATATGTGCTGTAGCCAGCATCACTACTCAAGTTGCTGTAATCTGTGGGCCTACTAACATGTAGCTCCAAATTCGTGAATCAGTAATGCTATGATAGTGACTCGCTATTACTCCAACACATTGAAAATTACAAACTATTAGAGCAACAGAGTAAGTACGTAAGTGTTTTGACAAGCGACATGAAATTGGTCACCCACAAATATTAAATAATATCCCCTCACTAAACTCTGATCAAATTAACTCAGCAGTGTTTGTGATCACTACCTGATTAGTGTGTACAAAACATGAATTTGCTGTCTTAAAAATGACTCCTGAGAAACCATGCTCCAGATTTAGACCATCTAGTGGAGCACATAAGTGGCTGTTTTTAACTACACATCATCTGAGCACTACTTCTGCACATATTATTAGTATAACATAGAAAAGGAAAGTCAAAATAATCTAAGTAATTCACCACATGGAAGTCAGCAGAAGGACAAATTAACAACTTTGACCTATGCTGCAAATTGTATGCCATGCCAGAGATGCATTCATGTCATTTGATTACACACAACAAAGTATTCACAAATGTTGAATATAACACCAAAGTTGCAATAGGAAGACATACATTAAATTAACAATTCAAGTCAAAACGAGATGAAATAGTATTTGTAAAGTATGTATAATGTTTGATGTTAAAATGAGTTGTAGATATTTCTGAAAAAGATTTTAATAAGGAAATACAACTGATGGCAACTGTCTGACAAGCACTGAATCTAGAACAGGCCCCAACCCCAACCTGTTGCTTTAATTCTGTACACACTAGATTTATAAATCTTAGTATTTGAATATTTATATGATTATGTAAGTACAAACTGAAACACTGGAGAGCACGCTGTATAAATCTAAGGAATGGAGAACATGACTCACTCAAGATATTCAACTATATAATGTATCTGAGAAGGCTGCATCCCTCATGGTCTACGTTCCCGTTTCCAACGATCTTAGCGTTAAGGTGACCGTAACTCCCATACCTTAACATAGACATAAGGTAGTCTTAGCGCTAAGGTTGTTTTGTACGACAGCACCCTGTAGTGTATGTTAAACAACTTTCTTTCTTTCTTTGTTCTTAAATAACATCTATATTGAAGCAAGTGGTGGAATTATAATAAGGTGTTGAGAAATAAAATATACCAGAAATACATTATGTCATCATTCATCGTTATCTGTGCATACATTCTGTCCATTCATGTGTAATTTGTATTGTCATAAATGATTCCATTATTGCAGTTTTCATATACATCTATCTCATCTATGTTTGTAAATTTATACGTGTTCTTCAAAATGTCAAACTAATTACATCTTCCGCTACAAAAAGTTATGAATATAAAGACTACACTACCTTCCACATCAGCACATAATAATATCCAGTTGAGTGCAGTACAGCCTTCCTGAATGTCACCACTATGGTATTAATGGCAAACTACGCCCACTGGCCACTTCAGTTGCTGTGTAATGCTTATTATGCTACTTACTAGCTGCTAACTGAATGGCATCAACTAATGCAGTGTGACTATAGTGTTGTCCTTCAATCCAGCAAATCAACATCAAGCTTCAGGCCATAGTAACAGAAACACAAATAAATATTGCTCAAAATACTAGTTACTTAAGGTTACAAAAATATTTTTGTCAAAATTTTCTATTCAGTCAGCCACAATGTCTGTGTGCATATACACTCAGGAATTGTGGACAGAAGGTACCACATGGATTAGTCAACAATGTATAAACACTCCTGAGTACTCATTTTAAGTGTCAATAAACCTTGAAAACTACTTTGATTTCA